CTCGCCAGATGTGCCACATAATGAGGCTGTATCGTCAGAGGCCTGCAACAGCGATAAACAGGCTTGATCGGAAGTAACGCGGCCCTCTCCTCCCTGATCGACCAACGGCGGCATCATTCGCTGTATGTTCGCGGCTATCCTGATGATCTCTGTCTGCAAGGCGAGCTCCTGCTCGGGGCCCATACGACCTCGAATAGTATACTCTGTGACGGCTCGCAGCTGATCCGCGGCCAGCTGTCGAAGTCTGTGACAGTATTCAACGGATCTCGTGATGCTCATCGTCAGTGATGTGGGCTGGGGTGGTGGGGCAAACAAGCCGCAATAAAGGTATAGGAGAAGAAAGGAGAGGATGTATGCACCACGGTTTACGCTATGTCTCATGGCTATCAGGTCAGTTCTGAAATACGTGATATATATCGCACGACAGAGGTGAGCTGTGACTATGGGTGGATCGAGACAAAACAGAAACAGGATCCCACGGTCACCTTCCAGCCGTGCTTGGACTTAAAGCCGATAGTTGATCTGCGCCCAGTATAGCCGCTGCTTCGATTCGGACGTGGGGAGGTAAGCTGGCAGGCTGAAGTTGACTCCACAAACCAACGTGACAAGGAACCTTTCGTGACGTGCATCCTTCTCACCCGAATAACAAGACTATGATCATCGACGAGGCGACAGCGGGTGTCTGATACAAAAGGCGGCTTCATTCTCGAGACACAAAACCCCCTGACATCATCGCTGCCAAACTCAGAATCAAGTTGTCTTTTCAGGTTTCCCTTCGCAGGTGTTCTTGCTGTTAGGCTAGCCCCCAGCTACGGTACACCGTCTTCTCCAACGTCACCTCGGATATCGGCCCTTCGCCATGGAGTTCGACTCATCGCTTTTGCTCGACGATGTCTGGAATGCGAGACGAGACAATCGCCACGAGCCATCGGTCACGAACATCCCGCTGCACTATGGGCGAGCCAAGTCTCTTTGCCTGAGCCGAGGTGCGTGTCGCCGATACGCACATCATCGAAACGAACTGCGCCATGCTAACACCAAAGTAGGCCTCACAGCCGATGACATTGATAAGCTGACCCCAAGGTTTTGGGATTTCCACTTCGATCGTACGTTCTCTTCCATATCTATCGTACATCAATCATGCTCAACTACTATCTGCCAGCCATTTCTTCTCGGGACATGACAGCCTTCGTCATCGCAACGATCCACCTCAACTTGTGTGTCGGAACGATTGCAAGGTTCTCACGCGAGCGGCCTGACCTCATGGCCACCCTCGAGGAACTCCTCACTTTCAAGGCTTGTGGAGAATTCATGTTGACAGAGGTCGGCCATGGCCTCGACGCCCGCAACTTGGAGACGACTGCGACGATGGAAGCCGACGGGTCCTTTACCCTGAACACGCCTAACGCAGGCGCCGCCAAAGCAATGCCGCCGTCCTCGCCGCTGGCCGGCATGGCTCGCGTTGCTGTTGTTTTCGCCCGGCTCATCGTGGGCGGCGACGACCGAGGGGTGAAGCCCTTTGTCGTGCGGATCAACGACACGAGAGGCATGTGTGACGGCATTGTGTCGCGTGTGCTCCCTGTGCGGGCCGGGACCAAGCCGTTGGACCACTCCATCACGACGTTTCACAACGTGAGGCTTCAGCCCGAAGCGCTTCTGGGATCGGCGTCGCGAGGTGACAATGAGCGCGAGGAGTTTCTCGCCCACATCTGGAGGGTGTCCGTCGGCACGCTGTCTCTATCTATTATGGGGGTGTCTGCTGTCCGAGTTGCGGGCTGCATCGCCGCCCTGTACAGCCAGCAACGTCTGGTCGGAGATAGGAACAAACAACCCATCATGCAGTTCAGCACACAGCAGAGACCGATTCTGGAAGCACTGGCGCACGGAGAAGTCTTGCATGCGTACGCAAAGTGGAGCGTTGGCGAGTTCACCAACCGTAATCACAACGCAGACGTCCGCCGAGGCATCGCTACCGTCTTCAAAGTCTTGGTTGTGCGATCGTCTCGTCTACTTCACGAGCTGGCGGAGCGATGTGGCTGGCAGGGCCTGTACGCGCACAACCAGATTACCGAACTCGCATCAACATTCCAGGGGAACTCCGTGGCCGAGGGCGACACTCTCGTTATCAGCATTCGTAGGTCTTCTTCATACACGAGCCTAGATATGGGTCCTGACACCTCATAGGTCTCGCTTCTGAACTCCTCATGAACAGATATGAACTTCCACAGCCGACTGATCCGACAGGATCTCTTGCCATGTATGAAGCCGGGATGATCGAAGAGGTTGCGAGAGACAAAAACGTCGCAGTCGGCGTATCCGGCAGCTTGAGGGGCACGACCTACAACAACAGCGTTCTCCCTCGATGCAGAGCAATGGTGGAGGCCATTGGACAGCGCATGGCCTATGAAGCAGCCCGGGCGCAAGGCAACATTGCGCCCGAGGTGCTCAATGTGTTCGAAAAGTCTTGCATTCAGAAGGATCCATCCTGGTTTGTCGAACATGGCTACGTCACTCGATCTGCGTTGCGGGACAATGAGAACAGGGCATACTCCAAGTTGCTGCCCTCTTGCCCACGCTGGTGGAAAGGGTGAATGCTAAAGACTATATCACGGCGCCGTTGGTTGAAGAGGGAGCCATGGAGGACTTCATCAAGGCCCTGCCGGCTTTTGGGGCTCGTACGGACGACGTGGTGGCAGAACGGACCCCAAAGTCCAGACTTTGATGCAGAAACAATCCAAATACTTTAGTTTCATCACTTGCATCTTTCTTCTCGCCATGTCACGGTTGCACATCGCCGCGGAGTGAGCGCGAGGGCAGTACGGTCCATATGGTTAGTCTTGATGGGATGAGTCTAGCGTCCTTTCTACTTGCAGAGCCGTGACTTGACGCCCCGCGACAAGTATCTTGATAGCATAAAATCCAATCGCAGTGCTAGCTCAAGGATATCGGCGAGGGAACCATACTTGGAGACGTATGTATTCGGGGTTTCCTATCTACAAAGGTTATGTGGAGACGAGGAAAAGTCCGGTGAAAAAGATGGCGCTGATCAAGTACTGGTAGATGAACACTCGTCCACATCCTAGTCCTTCGGGCCTGGTGCTTGAAATGCAGACTCGCTGTACGGTCCCTTCTCCATTCCTACGAGCCCATTCTCAGCTACGTATTCCCTGGCATCGATCGGAAAGCGCCGTAGCAGGTTCCGGAACTGCTGTTGTTGGTTCTCCGATATGGGAAAGCGGTCGTCTCCCGCTTTGCCAGTCTTAGCTAGAGCAATGACCAGGCCCTCCTCTTTCTCTGCAGGGAAGGCCTTCATGGCGTGCCGCCGTTTGCTCTCCACACGAGGCACGAGGTATTCAAAAATGTCAGCGATGCAGCCGTTCTTCGTACGGGTCTTGGCTGATGTCCAGGGTAGCCTTGGTCAGCTTGCCGTACTTTTCCGACTTGGGAAAGCCAAACCGCGTGATAGGTGCATCAAAGATGCGCCGCTCATCAAATAGCCCGCCATATGACGCAGTAAGCTCGATGTTGTATTTGTTGTTTTTGCTTGAAATGTCGATGGTGATCGCATAGGCAAGGCTATGTCAGCCCTCAAGGCGGGTTTGAAGTCGAGTCTGCAGCTCCACGTCTCGCCTATCGGTGGCAGGATGTCGAGTACCTCGTTCCAGAGCCACCACAGTAGCGGCGCCGAAGTCGAGTTGTGGATTGGTTTGGAACAGAACCTTGTGGTTACGCAGGAGAACTCGTCTGCGTACATTAGGCACGGTAGTCGAAGCAATCTTTTGTCCGCGAAAAGCGCGTTTTGATGGAGGGAATCGTCAACGTTTTTGCCATCTTGAATCCAAATCGCCCTACGAGCTGTGATATGTCATCGGCGGCCTGTTGGATTTCGCGCAATAAGACCGTGGGCTGGTGCCGACGGTGCCACAACAAGCTCAGACAATGTACTGTCGTGGGTGAGGCTGGAGGTGTAGATTCCATAGATGCTAGTACCGTCTGTGAGCGTGGCCGTTGAGGCGGTTCTGGCACTACCACCCTGATGAGATATCTCGCCATTGCCAGAGATAAAAGGAAGAAGATGAGACATTGTATGTATACTTTGATCTCGCAAGCAAAAGGTGCTTGAATTGAGCAGAGACTTGGCGATAGATAATACAGACAAGAATGTGCAAAAGACTGCAGGCTGCCGACACGTATTTATATAGTCTCCGGACATGGTCTGTGGATGCGGCCGCTGCGAAGCCTGGCTCGCAGAGCTCTCCGAACCTGAGCAATACAAACCAGGACCCCAGTCCATTTGGCAGCGAATTCGGTCCCCTAGTCAAGGCAGAGCAAGTTCAGCGTAGAGACCCTGCACGCCCTCACAAACGCCAGCACACAGCGCCTTGTCATCCGGCGGCTCATGATACTCAGCCAGTCCACCTTTGCAGCTTATGCAAATAGGCTCGTCAGCTGACTCTCGCAGCCCCTGAGGCGCATTCGGCTGGTTAAGCCGTGTGGCAGATTTTTGTTAGGCTTAGCAGGAAAATTCACTCCCAAATTATCCGCCACTGCTCCACGCGATTCCATTCTACAACATTTATTCTCTACTTTCTCCCCCGTTAAGCAATCAATATCTGCCTGCTTAGTAGCCTCAGCGAAAGTTCTCAAAAGTTCTGCGTACAATGTCGCGACTGCCCAATTTAGCTGTCGGATACATCTGTACGGATGCCAAAGGCGCTTGTCTGCTGTACCATTTCGCCGGCTAGGTCAGGTGCAAAGCATCTTGATATGGCATCGTCGAACTAGCCTTCCAGCTCGCGAAGTCTGCCAGGCTCAAACAAAAAGGCTTGAAGACATACATATAAATGTCTTAGCGGGATTGAGCGAACCTCCGGATCGCCAGGAGAATGCCCTGCAGAGCGTTGCAACATGTATACTTTTGGCGTATTGGGACATGATTTCAGGACTCCGGGCCGGGATATGGGGAGGAATTCGTATGTATTACTTGGACTGCCGCAGTGTCCTCTATTTACAGACCGAAAGCCTCGCGCAACTAAGCCGTCCTACTCCGGAAAGCGGATGGCTACCTTGGTTTCCTTCTTTCCATTGAAGCGTTCGTAGTATCTTGGCGCGTCCTCGATGCCAATAACTGCGCTGATCACGAAGCTTGGATGGGCTTTGCCGCTGTTGATAAGATCGATCAACTGCGGAGCGTACTGCTTCGGATCAACGGCCCCTGTTCGGAAACTCAAGCCCTTGGCGAAGAAGGACGAGACGGGGAAGGGAATCGTGGGCGAGATGTCGCTGCCGTACGGTGCGCCAGGCGAATCGTCCTGTGAACTGTACACGCCCAGTTGGCCCATGCCTCCTTTGAAATGCGCCACGTCAATCATCTGCTGTGTGATAATGCCCTCGTCTATCTCAAGGCTCGAGTTCAACGCCTCCATGCCGACACAGTCTACAGTGCGCATGACCCCGTCCGGCTCGCGAGCCAGAATCTGGACGACGGGGTCTTTGTCAGCAAAGTTGATCGGGATGGCGCCGATGGAAGCGGCGAGATCGAGGCGGTCCTTCACGTGGTCGACAACGTAGACCTTGGAAGCTCCCCGCAAAATGGCCGAGTAGGCAGAAAGCAGCCCAACGGGACCCGCCCCGAAAACGGCGACGGAATCGCCGGGTTCGAATCCGGTGTAGTCGATGCCGGCCCATCCCGTAGCGAAGATGTCCGAAACGGTCAGGTAGTCGCGCTCGATCGTCGAGTTGGCGGTGTCATGAGTCAACGGGATAGGGATCAGGTTGGCTTCAGCGAAGGGGACCCTCGCGTATTCAGCTGCGCAGCCTCTTGTCAGCGAACCTCTCTTTCGCATGCCCAGGATGCATATGGAGCAGGCATATTCGTACCTTGCAGACCGCCTAGACCCATCTCACTATTCCCGAAGCCGAAGTATTCCTTCGACCTCGGCTCCATCTCCAGACGATCCTCAGACACGGTGTCGGGGATGATGACATAGTCCCCAACGGCGAAGGAGGACACGGCATCGCCGATCTCCGAGATGTAGCCGACGGCCTCGTGGCCCATTGTCCATGGCACCGCACCGCCCATGTAGCCGCGATAGATGTGCAGGTCGGATCCGCATACGGCCGCGGTGGTCACCCGCACAACGACATCCGTCTCGTTCAGGATGGCTGGCTTGGCGACATCTTGAACCATCATTTCGAAAGGCGTGCCATGGTAAACCACTGCGCGCATGGTCGCGGCTGGCCAGGAGAGATTGAGCGACATTGTTAGGTGTCAAAGAGCGTCGATGCTCGAAATAGTTGTGTGTATGAGGCGAAGATGCGATTCTATGGCGTGTGTGACGACGGTCTGGTGCGATTCTTGGTCCTCATTCACAGAGGTTTAAGACTTTGAGACATGGCGAGAGCAATAGTTATACGGGCATATGTTGACAAACGATGCAGGCTTTCCTCTACTAACACAATTGATTTACTACGTTGGCACATGTTGTCGGAGCACTCGTAGCCTAGCCAGTTGGCGTAGCAGGTAGCTCGAGCAACAATTGTTGAAGAAGCAACAGAGTATGCGCTATGCCTCACAGGAGTCAAAATAGACGCTCCGACCGATATGACCATCCTCAATTGTGGAGTCGTGGCTGCCGTATTCCGACATGCACATCAGCATCCCAAACGTGACGCTCAAAGGCGATCATCTCCACTCTGTCGAGATGGAGGCAGAAAATGGACTGGCCCAGAGCCCTTTCTGGCCTCAATCGGCAGCAAAAGACGACATTGACCCAGCGTGGATACTGCCAGGGATGAGGACCCACACATGAAGGTTCAAAAGCGTATCTGGATTCACGGAGGCAACGACCGTGGAAACATCGGAGCAGCTTTTCGCCGTTTCCACCACCCAGGTGTGAGATTATAGGCTGACGCCGCAAAGCGCTAGCCAGCCTGATGCGAGCCAAATCGGCTGCCTTGCAGTGGTCGAAGGGATGGTCGGGTGTAAAGGCAGCCATGACGCAGATTCCTTGAGGAGGCCGCCAGGAAAAAACCTCGCGTTAGCTTTCGGCTCTCCGAACCAAGCGTGCCCCGCTCTTCACCAGACCTTGTCATCCAAATACGGCGCATGTCGCAGAGTCACTTCTATCCAAGAAGCATTATTAACTAGACCCGCGGATGTTATGTGACATTGGTAGGCGCCGAAAATGACCCTTTGTTACGCATCTTGACTCAGTTGCACGTACTCAACTCCTGGAGCCATGCCCTCCATTTGGCAAACACACGCATCCATGTCCTTGCATGTCGCTTGAGAACCTCCCGTGCCGTACAGACCCGCCTCCGATCCTCGTCTTGCCTTCGCTCGGTCAGCGACGGGACCCACAGAGCCCAGCAGCATTTTCTGGCCGAGGAGGGGGCCCGGGCCCCGCAGCAGGATCTGGCCCGCATCCAGGTGGAGGTGGTCGATGATGTCCATGCCGGCCTGCCCCAGCTCGTCCAGTTCTTTCCACTGCTGTCCGCCGTTGCTATGCGCAGACCCGAGAGAGACTAGCTGCATCGTGTAGAGATCTTGACGCAGGGACTTTTCCGACTCTTTGACGCGTTTCGCCAGCGGGACGAATAATGTCCTCCACTGCTTCTTGATGTTGATGAGCGTTACGTTAGGGACGTCGTCCGGCAAGAAGCTGACGGAGACGGTCGGCGTCGCTCCGTTGTCACTTGTCAGGCTCGCACGGGCGACTTGGGCTTGCAGTATGAACTGGGCCTGGAGCTTCGATATGCCAGCCGCATGCAACGTCGGCGGCTCGCCCATGATCTTTTCGTGCGCATCCATGAAGTCGTCCAGGGTCCAGTTCTTGGCAAAACGAGAGAGCGCCACAACGATCTCTGGTTCTACTTGATGTTTGACATCTACGTCGCCTACATCCCGACTATGTCGAACCTGGTCGATGACGGCGCTGATGCGATGCTCGGCAGTTGTGATCTCTTCGGGGCTCGGAGAACTAGCCGTCGGCGGTCTGTCGTCCCACAGACGGATCATTTCTGCCTTGGATCGCGCTGCTAGCATGCCCTGATAGAGTTGTCTCTCATCCGCCGCGTGTGGGTCATCATCGGCATCAGACAAGTAATCCAGGCACTTGACCAAAACCTGAAGCTTATGGATATATGCGAGCTGTTGCAAGTGGCTCAGCAGCCTGATCTGGGCGAGTGTTTGCGACCTATCTAGCAAACTGTTGTTGATGACATGAACAACGAACATGAAACTGCGGGACTTTGCCCCTCGCACAGCCCAAGGCCGTAGAAGGCGACACGCTTCGTTGTGCTCATTGTATGAGTATCGAGGCGGACGAGTTACGGCTAGTGGATAGTGCGTAGGCAGGGCCTGGTCTACATCTGTTTGTAAGCTATTGAGAGGTCTCGATGGATTACAGCCCATTGTCACGGCGAGACGAGTACCAGAGTTCGCACGTCGGTCTGATGGCAGACAGATGTTGGCTCGATGTCTTTTCATACTTATACCGCTTCGCGCAAGATCCAGAAGCGGTGACATGGGCCCGGTACGTGGCTGTCCAATTCAGCTTCCTAGGCCGTTGACTTCGCTGCTCGATGTTCACGCCGTGCACAGGTTCGAAAGAGTCCAAACTATCCCCGCGGCGCAAAGAGCCACATTTTGCAGTGTTGCATTTCACTTCGCTGAACCCACACCAGTTGCACCATGGAGGGGTCGATTTGGGCAAAGACACCCAGAACTGCCCGTGATCGCGTCTGCCACGACACCATGACCTACGTCCATTCCACAAGACGTGTCATGGGCTCCACGAAGTACAATACTGTATCCAGCATACAGCCTTTTTCAAAGATCATTTAAGGTCTGATCCCCTAGACCTCCCTATCCGTAGACTTCTCGGTGCCAGAGACGGAGTAACAAACGTTGACCTGCCTTCCTTGCTCTCGTCATCCATCAGCCAAAGCTACCCACCAAGGGCTCACGCAGCCAGCGCAATCAGCAGCCAGCGCAATCAGCTTCCCTCCGCCATGGGGAATGTTGCCGCCTTCACGACCATCTTGACGTGGGGCCCGTTCTTGTATGCTGCCGTGCTCATCCTTCACCAGTATCTACGACTACGACACATCCCCGGCCCCTCTGCCGGATTCTCCCTTTGGTGGCTTCTACGTGCCGCGTATAGCGGTAGCATGCACCTCAAATTCTACGAGGCCGGCCTCAAATATGGTGTTTACCACTGTTCTCAGTCTCGTTCACGACGCTCGCTGACTCCTCTCACAGGATCTCTTGTTCGCGTCGGTCCAAACGACGTTGTGACGAGCGACCCGGACCTCTTGAGGCATATGCTCGGCGTGCGCACCAAGTACACGCGTTCAGACTGGTACAATGCGATGCGACTAGATGCAGGAAACGACAACGTGCTGTCCACTAGAGACGATACAGTGCACAGCAGACTCCGGTCTCAGATGGCGGGAGGGGTAGGTCATCTTCTCTCGTGTGCCGCAGGTCGATTCGTATGGACTGCTGACGATCGCGACAAAGTATTCTGGCAAAGAAGTTGTCGACCTTGAACTCACGATCGACGAAAGCGTCCTTCGACTCATGTCGATGATTGACGCATATGCTTCTCAAGACAAACGGTTCGACTTCGGTCTGAAGGCGCAGTACTTCACGCTCGACGTCATTTCGGATCTCGCATTCGGCAAGCCGTTTGGCGATCTGGCTACCGATTCAGACGTTTACGACTATATTCGCTCGACGGAACAAAGCATGCCGAACATCGTCGTCGCGGCCGTTCTGCCCTCTCTACTCCATGTGTTATCATGGCCTCTGCTTCGGCGGCTGTTGCCTTCGGAAGATGACGCCAACGGCTTCGGAAGGCTGATTCGGTGCGTCTTGTCCGCGTCCCATCTCGGATCTGGTCTGCGCTTGAAAGCTTAAATCGCCGACTCGCGCGGTCTTTGTTGCGTTCTCGCAAGCCCGGCATAGCTGACACGCCGACAGGATGGCGAAGGAAATCGCCGGCGAGCGCTTCGGGCCGAGCAAGAAGACGAGGCAAGACATGCTTGGCTCTTTCGTAGCACACGGCCTGACGCAAAAAGAGGCGTCGTCGGAAATCCTCATGCAAATGTACGACTTGCCAAGATCTCTTCGATCCTATACTTTGAGGCCACTACTAACCCTTTCGACAGACTCGCTGGATCGGACACGACGGCCACGGCGATCCGAGCTACGCTGCTTCACCTCATCACCAACCCACGAGTGCTCGCGACACTTCGTGCAGAGATCGAGCGCTTCCGGCCGTCTTGGCCTGTCGTGAAAGAAGCGGAGGCGCGAAACATGGCTTACCTGCAGGCTGTCATCAAGGAAGGCTTACGTATCTTCCCTCCAGTTGTCGGACAGATGTCGAAGGAAGTCCCCAAAGGCGGCGACACTTTCAAAGGCGTGCACTTACCGGAGGGAACGTGCATCGGTTACGGAGCGTGGGGTATCTTCCGCCGAGGCGACGTTTGGGGACAGGACGCCGACGACTTCCGACCGGATCGATGGCTCACGGCAGATGCGGAGAGCCTGAGATCGATGGATACAACACTCGAGCTTGTCTTTGGCCACGGCAAATGGAAGTGTCTAGGACGGAATGTGGCGATGATGGAGTACGTTGCTGCGGCGTGTCCGGCGTATGGTTCTCTTCTTGCGAAGACGACGTGCTGACGCTTCAAGCAGCTGCTGCGGAGATTTGACTTCGTATTGTGTGATCCTACGAGGCCGTGGAAGTCACTCAACTATGGGATCTTTCTGCAATCCGAGTATTGGGTGAGGGCATACAAGCTACCGGTAGGAGCGTCCGGCCAAGATACGTCAGAGCAGAGCGAGGTTGCGCCGCATGCCGTCGCCGCTGCAGGTTAGTGGCTGGATAGCGCCGGCCAAACAGGCGACGACAAGTGTGGCGGCGCTGCGGCTCGCCTAGTACCACGGAGCAGGTCGCAGGGACCTGACTCGCATCAGCCACCCCCCTTTTTTTTTCTTCTATTTTTTTCCGTATCCTTTAGATTGAGGGTGTAGAAGCTAATAAAAAGGCTCGACTCGCATCGCCTGCCTCCTGTCTCTCTACCTATTGTCTCTCCCTTCAAGCGTTGCGTCAGGTTCAACAGCTAGGCTGTCGAGACGATGCGACATTACACATGGGCATTGCTGGTGACACGACCGAAATGGTCGTTCGGCTGCGAAAGATCACCGCATTTTCTTGGCCCTCCTCTTGAAAGATCAGCAAGGTAGGAGAGAAACGGTCATGCAATTTTTGGCTAGAAGAACTGGTCAGCAACCAAGTCACACAGAACATCTCGTGAGTGTCTCTTCCACTACAGCAGACGCGGCAACAGCAATAGGCGACGGTGAAGCTGCAAGCGAGAATAGTCTGGTTTGTGCCCCGATCTCGACCACAGCCTACTGTACACCGTCACACACTCCAAAGGCCTCCATTTTGCCCGCCAGCGTGTTAAGCTCGCCCGGAGAGTCGGCATCAGTGCGACTCACCGGACAAACAAATCGGCTGTTCCTGCAAGGCATGCTGTCGCGCACGTTGTCTCGTGCCCGCCGGCCCTCAATCCCCGGTCTGGTCGACGCCGGAGTCCTTGTGTGGGAATCGGTCCGCTCGTAGCCCTACGACTCAAAACCATTATGAAATAGGAGTTCCTGCTGTGCAAGCCCACTAGTGCTTCCTTGAGCATCGACTGTGAGCTACGTGGCTTGTGTTCCTCGTCGTCTGTCAGCAATTAGAAATTCACGAACAAAAGTGGGAATGTGTCGCTTCGCCACACGTGGCGCTGCCCATTCCTGCCGTACGATGCCGCCTTACCACAAGACCTGCCGGCGGTCTCGTACGGTACAGTATCTAGATACGACCCCTTCTTGCCGAGACGAAACAAGCCACTATCTACCGTGCATGTTTTCCACTTGCTTCCTCGCTTTGTGACAGAATATGATGCTAGCGGCGAAAGTTCAGGAAGCGATTCTAGGTGTCATTGTACTTCTGCCCCTGCCATTCTGCGTTCTGGGTCGGAATCGACGTTGGACAAGTCGAGATTCGTGAGCTCTAGATTCGCATCCAGGCTCGCTTTGGGAGCAACAAATGGATTCAAAGGCCTAGACCGACCCGTTGGGTGGCTGATTGGTCTGTGCAATCGGACCTAGGTCCGGCTTTGCTCACTTGTGGCCCGTGGGTGGGGTGGAGCCTCGACTGGCTAGCAACAACGACTTTGCAAGGCCATCGGATGCCCCGCTTCCTTCACCTCACGCCACTGTCCCTAAGACACCACGAGTCTCTACGGTTACGATGTGTCGTTGGCATCCCGGGTTCGCAACTGCAAATTCCGGTTCGCTTGAACCATTGACTACGTAGTAGCGAGAAACAAAGTCGACGTCTACCAGCGGGCAACCTATTGCGAAATGGATCGTCGCACGGTCAAGCAACGAAGCTTCCTTCCGAGTCCAATGCAGCCAATCGCACCTCAGCGGCTCGGCAAGGCGCCGCCAGCATGCAAGACCGAGGCCAGAGATGATGATGCAGGCGCCAAAGTCGAACGTTCGGGCGCTGTCAGACCGCCTTTTCGCCCACCTAGCTCGCCTTACATCCACTCGGCACAGCCCTCGACTCAAATAGAGAGAGCTGCTGCAGACCGCGCCAGGCCGTGGCCTGGTATAATCGCATCTATCAGAGCTTTCTTCCGAAGGCCCGACGAAGATCAAGTCAACAGTAAATGACCGACGGTCATGGAGACCTAACTGCCGTGACGCCATGCGCCCAGCGGACTGTCGCGCGCTGTGATCGGGATGCCCGATCAGCACGCGACAACGCAGCAGCGGACGTGGACAGCACAGTGGATGATGCGACAGCTGGTGCTACATCTCCTTGTTCTGGCGCGACGTCAACTTTGGGATGGCTGATGGAAAATCGTGGTTTGCGTGATACGAGCACGCTTACGAGGGGTGGTATGCCAGGTCGTCTTCCTCTCCAAGCGTTTTTCTCCCCTGCTAATTGTAACACAGCCGTAGTCATAGAAGCCCCTGGCGACCAAGTAAACGATTTCAGGTCTCCGCCAACAGGAACTGCTGGGAGCAGACATGTAGTCGACGCGGGCAGCGAGGATGCGTCTCTTGACGCACACGACCTCCTCATCTTCGACAAGATTGTTGGTCATCGTCGAGACCCCCAGACCCGGACTATTTCTCACATGCGCATGCGCTGGAGAAACGGCGCTCTGACATGGGAACCGGAAGCGAGTATACGAAAATGTGCTGGTCAACACCTGCTGTCCTACTGGGATGGTGTGAATGGCATACGAGAGGGCGCTATGGCGGAGAGCTCGCAGCGCACTTCAGAGGTCCTTCCAGAGGTTGAGAAGCACGTGACAACGACCGCAAGCATCGTAGCCCTGGATGTGTGTTGGATTGCGTCGCTTAAGCGGCCACGGGAGCCTCAATGGCCTCAATGTGATGTGCCATACAGCGAGCGGGCAAGTATAGAAAGTTCTGCGGTTGGCGAGCGTGGACGTGAAAGGGCAGCGATAGTCGACGAAGCTTGAATGCGATAGCGGGTCCGGATACGGTAGCCACCGCACTGACGAACGCAATAGGACCGGCCCGGCGACAGGCACGGAAAAGGGACGGTCATGGTCAGCGGAGAGTTGATGGGATAGCAGACAAGTTGGCGCCGGCAGTTGCGAAATCGAACAGGAGGCTTTCGACGACTGAGCTGATGGCACACAAGAGACAGCGGCCAGCGGAGATTGCCACTACGTCGTCAAGAAAGCGAGTCCGTCTACTACAACACCGGACATTCAGTTCTGCCAATCGCCAGCTGATTAAATCCGATGACCGAGTTGACGTGGAATCACGCGTGACAGGAGCAGGGCTGATGCCCATCATAAAGCAATGCCGACTTGGCTACACATCTTGCAGGTTATGTAGCGTGCGATCACCGACTTTATCAAATCTATAATATAGTTCATCCATTCATGTTGTCATATCTGTGTATGGCGGGAATCACTTGACGCCATAGTCTCCTTTCTTCCGCCCCCGTCAAGATGCTCTCACTCACGAACTCGACTCCGATTGCACCGGAACACCCTTGAGTAACAACCTCATTCCCAAGCTACATCTTGCTGTCTTTGACCTTGAGAATCATGATGGCCCTTGGGCGCCAGAGTTAAATCGAAATATGGGCTTATAGGAAAAACATTTCCCTTTCGGATGTCTTTGATGTCACTGTCAGACATTCGTGCCAATATTTCGGACTCCCAAGGAATTGAGGCCAGGAAGTTTACCTCCGTCTGGTCCTTGGCCGAGTGCGAGTTGCAGTGCTTGTAAAGGAGACGAAACAGTTCGAATGTGTTTTCGCGTTGTGAAACTAACGTCACGAGCTCCTGGTGCGTCCGGAACGTTGTATCCCGTATGATACCTCCAAGGGAGTGTGGCTGTAACTTCGCCCCGCGCTCCAGGAGCAGTGCTACCGTCTTACGCGCCGAGTGGTTTTCCAGTAACAACCGACTCAAGGCCGTCTGGCCGTATTTATCCAGGATGTTCACATCGACGCCTCCAATGTCAAGCAGACATTTTGTCGCCTTATACGATGTCATTGCCAGCTCAAAAAGGAGCGGCCGTTTACCAACATCAACATCTGTTGCCCGCACCATGCCGTTCGGATTGGCCCCACGTCGAATCAGCCTCCGAACCAAGACGTCTCTGTCAGAGCTGGATCTCTCCGGAAGAGACGCCGGGGGCCAGAAGAGCCAAGCGAAGGAGATGTTGCAGGTCACACCTTACTTCATGTTCAAGGAAACATGCGGCAAGGCGAAACAGGCCATTTCGGCAACAGCGTTTCATGAGGAGGTCCGCCTGATTCTCGGGGGCTATCTTGCCATAAACATCGGTCTGTTGTCGAAGGAGTAGTTGGATGGTTGAACTACGTGTAAGCGGGCACTGTACCGCATAGAACAGCGGGGTGCGGCCACGCGCGTCTCTCGAGACCACCTCCGATGGCGTTTCCTCGAGGATCCGCTTGACAACAGCGTCCAGACCGGTGGCGGAGGCAACATGGAGAGGCGTAAGTCGACTACTTGATGATGGCTGATCGCTTGTCGACTTTCCCAGATACGTCGTGATATCTGGAGCAAGCAACTCGTCCAAGTGCCATTCAATTGCACTGGTCATGCCCAGAATAGACGTAACAAGCTCCTCTCTCCGCTTAAAAACGGCGACGGCAAACGGGGATAAATCAGCAGGAGACTGACCCAGAATTCGTGAAAACTGCGATGCAAACCGCTTTGAGAACATATCGGTACGCGTGATGGCGAACTGCGGGGCCCAAACATCCATCCCAGCATACACCGATGCCTCGATTACGCGAAATGCCACGGCATCATCACGGCAGTGAAGAACTGCCCATCGAGCAGCAGAACAGCGTTCTGAAAGAACGTTGTGCCGATAAATCCGTGGTCCGAAGGCTTGCCGAAACTTCTGGGAGCACTGCAGGACGCGTATCCGTGTTGGACGGTCACAAAGTCAAAGATGATGTCAACAAGCTCGGGGAGTAATCTGTCCAGCATGATGTCTCAAGAGAAAGTGAGAGAAGGTTTGATGGTGAGATCTCGAGACGACTCTGGTTGCAGCTGGTCGCGTCCTACTTATACAGGCCGGCCGCTCAACAACGCACGTGATAATTCGGGACCGTCGAGCCATAGGAAGACAATACAATGCAGGCCCGCTGCGTCTTCAGTTGCGAGATGGAACTATTGAGTCCTCATACCAGGGCCATCGGAGATTGGCAACCTTTCGTGTGTCTACGGTACCTATGAGGCCCAATGCCAGCACATTCGCTGCATTCATTCTTTTCGCCTTGTGCCCTGACGACGCTATTCACTCAGCAGACCGAATCTTGCCCCTGTATCACTCTATCGCTTCCTAGTCGCGTCCCCATCTGGTCGTGCGATCGCACGGCAAAGATCCCCGTCCTCAACCACTCAACAGAGTGTGTCCAGTACATGCATGACTAAAAGTTGACAAGATTGGTCATGTCTCCTAGATCCACACCGTCCGCGTCCAAGCCCTCGGGCGCAGGAAACGCCTGAGACTCCATTATCTTGTAGAAGCTCTCTACTTTGTCGTTCAACTTCGCAACGCTTTACACGTGCCAGACATTAGCACGCACCGCCAACAGTATCCGCTCAAAGGGACTCACAGCTCTGCGAGGCTAGTCAAGGTTGACTCGAATGATTTGTGGAAAGCCTCATCACTAGCAGACATATGTCAGCATATATTGCCAGTGGTCGTATCCTGGCGACTGAACATACCGATCCGTGGTGTCGGAGAGAATCTGCTGCAGGGTACTGAAGTTTTCGGACAAGTAGGTTCTGTGCAGGGGTTAGGTAATTCCGGGCAGTCTCACACCAGAGAGCTCTTGGTAACGGACATACTCCAGCTCATGCTTCCACTCTTGCATGGGTGAGGTGTTCTGGGGGCCCTCTCGGGGTCTTGTTCTACGAATGGATGGTCAGTATGGAGCGGTCGGGAATTCTCACATCCTCTTACATTGAGAAACCCTGAGGTAATTGAGGCCTGACTGAGCCGCCTTGGAGGCCGTCTCTACCCTGCACCGCGACCATCGTCGGAGACTGTCTTTGCACTCTCACTGCCCCGCCGGCAGCCTGCTGATGGCTACCGTGGCCGCTATTGCCACTATTTCGAAGCGCACGCGGGTCACGGGTCAGGTAGAACAACGGGCGTCGCTGCGCCGGACGGTCTACTCTGGACGGGTGTCCATTCGATGGTTCTGTATACATCGTCGACGGCCGACGCGGTATGAGGGCAAGGAAGCAGGGCGGACAAGCCAAAGGCGAAAAGCAGCGTGGCTATGGTGCGGAACTCATCTTGCAAAACAACCGTGTTCGCTGATTAAGGACACTCTAAGTAGTCGATGCAGCCCGGCTGATCATTGTATGTGCTGTTGCGGTCGCAAGTCAAGCGGGTCTTGGAATGGGAGCCGCTTCAGGCTCAAGGCACGGAATGCGCTCTGGTCCGGCTGATCCAGAAGTGAAGTTGGCGTTTCCCGCTTCGCCGCTTGTCCCGCAGGTACGTACCGCCGCGTCTAGATCTCACGCTCATCGTGGCTGGGGTGCCGCGGAGTCTAGACCGACGAGGCGACGTTTCTTGCCAACGGCAAGGCGGAGCTGGATCCACAACCGGCAGGGATCGCAACGCACTTCATTTCGCCTCTGAGCCAAAATCGTCCACGAGCAAGGGTCCAGAGCGAGGGTTCACGAGCAAAGGGACCAAACCAGCCCAATGATCACAAATTGGACGCACTGCGTACCGCTTCGGCTGAAAGTTCAATGTATCCCGTTGTCGTTATTTTGCGACCATGCGGGGATGAAACGGGAGCTCCAGATCTGGAGATCGCTTTGCGAAGCCAGCTTTAGCTTCTTCAGTGCAGACCAGAAAGGGTTATAAGCTGCTAGTCAGCCAGGTTTTGGACACGCCTTGAGAAACCCATCAAGCAACAAACCTCTCACAGCCATGGCCACCTCAACCCCGAGCAACACCAGCGATGACTGGGAGAAACTGAAGAAGCTCATCTTTGAGAACGACACCTATCTCGAAAAGCTATCTGAACAGGATCTCTTCCTGTTGATCATCGGCAATGACCTCCGTGGGATCCTTGCGGGGGAGAAGAATCGGGAGTTTCACTTGCTCCTGACGCTCGGGAGCAAGCAGGATAGCTTGTCGGAACGGTTCTCAAGCACTTCCAAGGCCGACGAAGATCTCATCTCTTCGTTGAAGGGCTCGCTGAGGAATGGCGACAAGATTGACGAGGAGAGGTTTCTACTCAAGATTGACGAGGCCGGAGCCAACCTTCATCTACACCTCTACAGCCTCCTCCATCCCGGCAACAAAGAGGGATACATGAGTGTTCCGTCGAACCTTTTCGTCTCGGAAAACAATGCAGTCCAGGAGTCAAGCTTTCTGTCCACATACGACGTTTTGAAGCCGATGGACAACCTCCAGTTCGTTTTCTCGTCTTCCCATGGCACCTCGGAACTCCAAACCAGAGAATCCGCCGACGTGCTCTTCGCACAGCTTCCGGACGGTACCTGCCCTGACCACCTCAGGACATGGACGTTCAAGGAAGGAGAGGATACTATGAAAGAGGACGATGCTGCGTAGGGCGCAAGGGAAAGCATAGGAGAGAACATAGCTCAGCCGATGGCATTCGTTTATGGGCCAGATGTTTTCGGACAAATTGTAGATCGTTGCTCCGGCCCAGACGACGGGAGTTAGGTTACATACACAAATGCCAAGAGTCATTCCACGATCAATTCTCAAGTGCAAGTGGTTCTGTGTCTTTTACGGAAGCTAGTGCATTCTCTTCGTCCCCGCATCGGCTGCGTGCACAAGCTCTACATAGGCTCTACATAGACAGCAACGACGTATACGTCCCGCAGTTAGAAGCAGAAACGGAATCGTCGTTCGAGATATGGAGCATGCCAAGTCCAGTATATGACAGGTAGAGACATCAGAGTACGTGATCAAGTCACACGGCTCTTGCGAGAACAGCCATCACATAACACAGACGCCTCGACATTTTCCTGTCTCAGATAAAGGACTTGATTCCGTGGTATAAAAAGGTAGGAGGAAGGGAACGACTTAGTTTAGGGTTTGTTTTAGCGTGTTGAATTTGCGATTGCGAGATAGACTAGGGGACAAACATAGTGAAACAGAGAAGATATCAAATCCCGATCGTTATCCTATCTAGCTAGAGAAAATACAAGAGGTTATGAGCAGGAAAGAAAGGTAAGATTCGAAACAATGACTCTGGAAACCAAACGTCAATCTGTGCCCTAAGACCACTGGGCTTCATCGCGGAATTGAGACGCGCTTAACTAGCTACTCCGTCACTTAGCCGTTTTTTTCGCCTCACGCTTGGTCTTTGTCACCTCCAGCGGATCGTGAGGCGTGGGGCTGCGCTCTTCTCTCTTACGATCACCCCTCTTCCACTCTTCATGACGGTCCCAAGAGATGATGGCAGCTGAGAAGATGGCCAGATCGGCGGCTGGCATGACCGTGCCCTTTGCGAGAATGACTCGGTCCCCGATCATATAGTCTCGGACGGCGGCCACGGGCTTCATGCCGAAGACCGACCTGACTGTGGACCGCGTCTCGAAGGTTTTCTGGTTGTTTCCATCCAACCACTTTACCTTGACTACGGTATGTGGGAGGGGTTTCCTTCGCTCCTTTCTCCCCGCACCCTTTCCATCGGAGTGCGCGTCGTCTTTCGTCGTCGCCTCCAGATAGTTGGGATCCAGCAGCCTGATCGGGTCCTGATGGCCCTCCGGACTGACCCACGCAACACCCTGAATGGCGATTCTGAGTCTTCCGTTCTGCCTTTCGGAGCGTATCTGGTTCGGATCGCGCCTTTCGTCGTTGAGACACTTCTGGCCAGAGACCCCGTAAGACGGCACGAGCTCTAGCTTCTCGGCGTTAGGTGGTCCGCGGCCAACGACATTATGGTATCGATTGAATCCGCTCCCCGGAGATAGCCGTATTCGGTGACGTCCCCTTCCTCGTCATCCGCAGCACGGAGCCCAAAATCGTAAGACGTTACCAGGTCGCACGGATCCTTAAGCGGATCGTCTGTGACGATGATAGGCACAGCCGTTCGCGAGACGAAGAGAGCTTCGTCTTCTGCTTCACTCGGCCCATCTTCTTCCCATTCGGGGTCTTCATCAACCGGCATGGCCTCTCCAGGCTCTTGTTTTACCGCACTCAACTCGGCCTCGAGCGCGTCTGCACGTGCCTTCAGGGCCCAGACGGCTTTCTGCAAGCCGTCCGAGGTCCCCTCAAGCTCGCCCTCCAAGGTGGACGCGGCTTTCTTTGCTTTTGCGGCATAAGCCTCTGCAGCCTTGTTCACCGTTTTGGAAGACTTGGCTGTACTGGCCTTGCTGACAGGGGTCTTTGTGGTTTTCGAACGTGTGGTTGGTGCCATCGTGAGTTGCTCGAGGCCGATAGACTTGCGGAAATCGGCAGTGGGACATCCCAATCACCTCCGATTTATATTCTACAATGCCTATGACGGAAACCTGTTACTTGAGTGATACGAAACCAGCTCTTCGGTCGCGACAAAGAAGGCGGGAGCATGAATGGGATACTGGGGCAAGACCCAAGCGGGACAAAGGACTCAAAGAGACATTTGTCGGCACGTTTCAGGTCCCGGCACGAATTGTAGATGCTTCTGATGAATTGGGGAGCCAATTCGTCTTCCGTATCTATGCTCTCAGCGAATCTTGTTCCGCCTCTGGGGTGGTACACAGTTACTGTCGAGTTCCAGATTCTGCCAGGTACCACGACAACATGAGAGCCGGGTTGATTCACGAGGCGTTAAATGTGGCTTCAGTGAGACGAGTCGTTTCGGCGGAGGCCCTGTTCGGAAGGCGTGTTATTCTCGAACACCAAATTCGGAACCCTTCCAAGGTTTTCGGTGTCCTCTTGTCTTTTTCCAGTGCCTAATTTTGTCCGTTTCTATGATGCATTTTCGGCCGCCATGATTGCCCGCCTCGTTCTTTGAACTCACCATTGACAGCATAGCCGTGTGATCGGTGCCCCATCGTGGATGAGGTGGAGTGTAGTGTACGTAAAGAGGATGCGCTCGATGGACTCATCTGGATCGTGACTACAGAACTCACCTTCGAAAGGCACACTGTACGATAAAGTATGTACATACAACCAAGCACGCGTCATAATCAAGATTTGTTTATGGCTTTACCGATTCAACGAGTTACACTCAAGACGAAAATCAAGATGAGGCTCGTCGCGACATCGAAGAGCAGCCGCTAACGGCTCCGGCTGCAAGATATCGGCATAGAATACCAGCTCTTCGTGCTGATCGCGCACTTGAAAAGACACGCGTCTGACGCGGCATCTCTTTTACAAATGATGAGAAAACAAACCTCAATATGCCTGACGTCTTTCCGAGCCAGTATAATGTTGAACAATATCGCGCCACAAAAAGAAATGCTGGAAGCACGCATCAAGCGACAAACAGCGAGAACGCCAGAATACCAAGCCCAAATCGCCAAGGCGGAAGGTAATCTTCAATTGATCAACATGATTCTGATGAGCTTCTCGGCTGAGCAAAACGCCTCTGTTGATCAGCGGGTGAGCCTCAACCAGCATCAGTATAGGACGCAAGAGGCTCTACGGACGGTGATCTACGACATGACATAGAAAGAGATCAGCCTGATGTTCGATCTTCCCACTCGTTATAGAGAGAGAGGCACCGCTGAATTCAGTCGTTGTTCTAGACCATGGGAATAAGGTTGCTGAAGTGCTTCCAGCGCAAAGACGGGGTTACCTTTTTGCAACGAGACAGGGCTAGAGTGATCTTCATATTTCACCGTATTTGAACATGACAGAACATGAGGAAGGAGATCGACTTATGTTGCGGGTGATTGGGAGGATCTTAAAAGGTTCGGTATAGCATTAGATTGTTACGTTGAATAGCGTGGTGTCGCTAGGTAGTGACGCAATACGGAGATTCATTTTTATTTAGTGACTAAGATACATTGTCAAAGAACTCATGCGGCCTAGTCTGAACATGTGTCGTAGCTTGATTCATCAGGAGGCCGTTGCTAATTTTTGCGGCCTTCTTCGGACTCGTATCCTCAAGTGGGACAAGGCGGCATCGAGTAACTTAATGCCTTTGCCTTGCTTGAACTGATCACACGCCGCATAATTCAATAACCGCGAGAACCCCTCTTCTAAATGCTGATTGGATGGGAACGCTACTCTATTTTTAAGGCTCAGCGATCCGTACAAATGGTACGCGTTCGGCGATGGCTGGTCCGTTGACTTCCTTGAGCTCACACCAGGAGCGAAGGTTGTGGGGACAGAACCCACCGAACTCAAGGGAGAAGAGATACACCACAAGCGAAGCAAAGATGGATGCAAGATTACAAAACCAAGCCCTTCTCCTGTTTTCTGACTATATCATGCTGCACTTCCATGTTGGGCGCAGTAGTGACATGCCAACGGCAACGGCAGCTGTTGCACGATGGTAGTCCTCGACACCATGGCTTTGGGGGTATAACTGGAAAGAACTGGAACGACCTAGACGGTGCGAGAGATATTCAGCAAAAACAAATTGACAGACTGAAGTATAGACATCTTTACCGATTTAACTATGCCCTAGCTTTCGCGTTTTTACGATCTGGGTCCGATCCAGTGTCAATTGCAGAAGACGCCGAACTCGTGGATCTATGTCCGCGCAATTCAGTGTCAACCGCACGTTGTCACGGAGCTGCTTTCGCTGCCGTTTCTTAACGTCTCTGCGCAGAACAAAATCCCACGTGCATACCTCGTACGACGCAGCAAGTCCTGCATGCAATGGTAGGCGATATCTTGATACTGACGACAGATCGTGACCCTCAATAACCATTGGCTGCAAACAGAGGCGTCCTTGCACATAAAACACCGCCGTCGTTGTCACCGCCGTCGCGGTTTGTGAGAAGAGCTTGTCGAATGCGGTCACTGTTGTAGCACTTTGGTCGATTGACGGGTCCCAAACGGCTAACGTGAGGTCTTTGAAAACTACCTCTCTTCTTTTCGGGTTGTAGTGGGCGTCGGACGATACCAGGTAGCGGATGATTGGACAACCCGCTTGGTGTTGTTGAGGTTGCAGTTGCCGGAACGCGAGATATCTCGGGGATTCCCCATGCAGGAGGCATGTAAAGTCTTTACTGACCAAAACAAAATTCACACACTTAATTGCGTCACTGAAAAGATCATGGAAAATAAAACGATGGATTTCTTCCATCTGTGTTGTTGTCGGGCATTGTAACGCCATTCTCAGGTGAAAGTCATTACTTTTTTTGCGTATCGGCCAAAGGAAGTTGATCAGCTGGAAGGAACGACTTATGTATGAGTTGGCGCAGAACACCAAGAGCCTGTTCTGATGCTGACGAGCGTCTTGGAGCAGTATCTACCTCTTGAGTGATGACGAGGAAGGCTGCCATGAGGCGATCCCTTAAAGAGAAGAGCATAGGGGGGCGGAAAGGTCCAGACCCGCCTTTCATGTCCATGTGAAAAGCCATTTGGTGAGAACTGTTTTGGATGATAAAAGCAAATGATATGAACACAGACGGAAGAACGCGAAAGTTCTGCAACGAAGGCACCTCTAGAAGCTTGTGCCTTCTTGCATAGTATCTATGGCCGGTCATGCTCTTGACTCCCATGAAAGCTTCCAGATATGGGCGACGAAGTGGCATGTTGGAAATGGTGAGCGTTTCGAGTCCTGTAATTCTCCAAGGTACGCTTACACAAAACAGACGACAAGAAATATCTACCTCATGAAGATGACTCGGAAATAATCAAAGACTACGATAGCGCTAGTCTCTTTTCTTTGAGAAGACTTGAGGTAAGTAAGGTCGCTCGCGAGCATCAGGCTGAGCTGTCTCTAATTTCCGAAATCAGCGAAAGACCTTGCCTTTGGCACATTACATGGAAATTCAAGAGTGCGTTTCGCAGAGATGGGCGTCACGACTACAGATCTGTACGAAGTTCGTTCGATTCGCAACGTATCTCCACATCCCTATCGAGACGGTCTATCTAGCGGTCAACTGTCTTGACCGATTTCTCTCGGTTCGAGTCGTGTCAGAATACCATCTCGACGTCATTGGAGCGACCATCTTCGCCATTGCGACCGAGTTCGAAAGATCGAGTATACCTTCTGTGTTTGAACTCGACAGTAGTCTCGCAGAGCGATACCAACCAGAAGATGTTCCTTTTGTCAAGGCAACCATAGTTGACGTTTTAGAGAACTCGCTCAAAACACCGAGTCCGTTCGTGTTCCTTCGTCGAATTAGCACCGCAGACGCGAAGGTGCCGAACATCCTCCCGCTTGCGCAGTATCTATCGACGTGTAGTCTGCTAGATGAAAGATACGTCGGGATTGAGCCGAGCCGCATTGCGGCAGCGGCCTACCACCTTGCTCTGCGGATTATATTCACGAGGAATCGTCTCCAACTCGATTGGGTAAGAAACTACCCTACAGCAGTCACCGGAGCTAATGCCGTAGTAGAGCTACAAGCACGTCAAGCTCTCTGGGTACAGGGCGGTAGAGCTGAGACCACTAATGGCTGCGTTGTGGAATACCAGCCAACAGGAACAAAGCACCACACCTATCAAAGCCATGCGGATTGGCCAGTTTCGAGAAGCAGCCAAGGTCGTAGACCTTACTTCGAACGGCGTTCTCCTTTTTCCACGATGCTTTAAACCGTGGGATTATGAGGGCCTATACGTTCCCTCCTGGGATGAGTCAGCAGATAGCTCGCTAGAGAACATCTCAAGCTCGTCAGAGTCCAGCTCACAAGACGGATTTGAAGAGGAGATATAAATGGACAGAAGTGATGATCTCCATGGCAGGTATGGTGGAGCCTGTTGTCCTGTCACCTGCGGGCCATAGCAAGCCTCAGACCTGACCCTTGATCAATGATTGTTACAACCTACGAAAGACCATGTGGTTTTCGCTGTAAGAAAAAACGGGCTGTCTCGGGTTTGACGAAGTCGACTTCCCGCTTGACCAATACTTCAGAAAGTGCTTTGGGACTGGTTAGAAGAAGCCGACGTTCTCCAAAGAGGCACTTAAGCAGGATCAAGCCCTCGTTTGGAGTTGAATCTGTCATTGAAAGTAATTCCGCCCCCAGTGGTTGGCTGATCACTGCACCATAGTGATAGACTGGAAACCCACGTCCTCCCTATGCTTGGTCAGAAATGGTATAGGAATTCTGGACTTGTCATTATACATACTGATGGCTGGGGCAGATAGTCTAGTGGTGTGGTTCTCAACAGTCGTGACAAACAATACCAAAAAAGTACAACCGCTATGGTAGCGCTTGCTATGGCTAACTTGCCGTTGGACAGTAAAGACATTTTCTCTCTGGTCGTTGTTTAAAACTGATGGACTGATATGTTCACAACCTCGTTGTTTACTTGATACGCATGGGAGGTTGTAATCGATCCTTTTCTTTCTTTTCAGCCTTTGACGGTGTACCTTCTCAAGAGAGTTTGCACTGTGGCCAGCTTGTTCGTGTCCTTGAAGATGCAATAAGTCCAATGGGCCCTATCTCTGAAGGCATCTCCTCGGACATCTTCGGCCCTTTATATGTATAAAGCTGCAAGTTTGCCTGAAATTCTTATCCGTAAAACCTAAAAGAGCTTTTAGTCAGCTTGGAATGCCGTCCGACGATTTAACCTGGTGCCGAAATTTCAACTGCTATGTAGTATTGAACTTCCCTTCGTGAACTCAAAATAACAAGGTAATGTTACGTAGTGTTAGATAACCGTTTCATATGCTCTAATGAGTTTAGCGTAGATATGCTATCTCCTGGAAATATTATAAAGTATAAGTGATTATACTTCCAAGCGATGGTACGCATCAGCACTGCCGACGGGCAATTATATTACCGGGTGGTCTAATTGCGGCACACCCGCTAATCCAAAGTTTAGCATAGGTTACCGTGCCTAAAGGGGACTCCCTTGCGATTCTAGTGCTGATAAATCTAGTTAAGTTGCCGTGCTCATCTGATCGATATCTGGCTAACATTACGAACTTGGTTATGCCAAGTGAGTTTTGTCAGATGACTGCCAGCATAGCTTTTTATTTATATTCCCCACCAGCACCTTGTCCGACGCTTGCCCTTTTCTTGATATCGGTTGTTAAACACTTATCGTACAAAATATTTGACACTATGTTTAGTACTCTTTTTCCAATCTCCGTTGTCTGCGCCCTCTTTACGCTACTAGAGCAGCTTCGTCGCCGAATGCCAAACTAGAGAATGCGGTCGCCACTCAAAAGTACCGTACTACCTACACAGCCCTCCTTATGCTCTTCGTGAGCGCTCACCAGTGGATGGTACCTGCCTTAGGCTTATTTTACCTCTTTCTCTCTATCGCGCTCAAGAATCACGATAATCCCACTATTCGAAATACCTCAGAGCTGATTTGTCCCAACATCTACAATGTCAATGTAAAAGCGTTTGATTGGTCCTGGTCAACAGGTCTTGCATTGGCAGCAATGGCTTTCGGGGGTGTCTTGCGAAAAGAAGCGTACGCGCAGCTCGAATCAAACTTCACCTTCGCTTTACAGAAGCCGCTCAAGTTGAAAACGGGCGGCCTTTACAAGTACATGCAACACCCGTCATACACAGGCGCGCTTATTTGTCTGTGGGGGACTGGTCGACTACTTCTTCGAGGCGATGGGCTTATACGGTGCTGGACTGATTATACATATACTCAGTGGGCTGTTTGGGAATCCTGGGGTGTTTGGGTATTCCCGTGGATGCACTTGCTGGTCTGGTGTACGCTCTTCGCACGTCGTATTCACAGGGAGGAGAAGATGTTGAAGGCTGAATGTGGCGACGAGTGGCTCCGCTGGCACGTGAAAACCAAGAGACTAGTGCCAGGTCTTTGGTAAAGATATTGAGGCATGAGTAAGTAGTCGGCGCCTTCCAAGATGTGGAACATCTGCCCTTTTCAACGATACATGTATTATCAGTCTAAACAGTCTTCGCAATGATATATCAACATATCGTCGAGATAGAGCAGCATTAATGGCTGACGAAGACAAACTGGGATAACGTCTGACACATCGGTATAAAATAGCGAACTAAACACTGTTCGCCGTTTGTATCCCAACATAGACCCCACGTGTTACAGCCAGCTAGTCGTAGTGAGTATATTAGCAGAAGTTGAGGCTGCGAGACTCAGTAACAGTGTCGTAAGTCTGGATAGCTTCCTAGAAGCTATGTCTGTCAATCGTAGGGTAAGGTAAGGCTTCGGTGATCAGTCGTAGTATTATCAAGGTGATAGCTGAAAGCGGATGTGAATCCTGATACGAAGCTAATTGCTGAAGAAGCTATGAGAAGTCTGTCCTTGAGCCCGGCTCAAGGCCATCTTATATACAAGTCTGTATACCGCCGAACAGTTCCTTTGTGGTCGAGACCGACATCACGATGCCGGTTCTACAGGGGTGGACCGCCTTTGTCTCGTGGTGGTGGTGGTGGTGGTATACTTAACGTCTCGAGCGACAAGAGACGTGTCGGGCGCGATGCCGACATGGTCTATGATAATCTACACTATGGTACAGGGCTACGTCTTCACCTAACGCTCCTGTTCAAACCGCTCAAAAATGAGGCAGATCTTCTCACCTGACCAGAATTCTCTTATCCGCCATCCTTTTCCCGGGTCGCTTCATCCACAAGGAAAGTAGTTCGGATAGTGCTAGGAAAAAACCACAAGGGGGAAAAACCTAGCACAGCCGGTCGTGATGTGGTTCCACGCCTTTCTCCTCTCCACATTGCATTGGAGCGAAGCAACGAAGGCATACAGCAAGTTGGCTCCCAGCCGATGGCGATACAGGAGCCCGCAACAATCGCTCCCCGTTACTGCCTGAACAAGTCAGGCTCTGGCAGGAGCGAAGGTGTTCAAGACCTTCCAGACAGAAGGTCTGGCCCGGAGACAGAAAATGACCTAACTGCTGTTCCGGGGCTTTGGTGTGTGGACAAAGGCAATTCGAGCCCTTGTCGGAGTGGTGGCCCGCACGCGGCGGGCACAGCGCGCCGCAGGCTGGCGGACGCGCGGATCGGCGAGAGCGAGAGTGAACTTTAAAGCTTCTAAACTCTCGCCCTACTTCACTTTCGGGGGAGGTCTAGTCGTGTTTGGTGTTGTGAAAGGAGAGAAGGGTAGGGGTGCTGTGGTGGTGCTGAGGGACGAGTCCGAAAGTGAAGACGGAAATGATAAGACCCGCCACGTCAATCATCTGTTGTGTGAAAATGCTCTCGTCCATCTCAAGACTCGAGTTCAACGCCTCCATGCCGACACAGTCTACAGTGCGCATGACCCCGTCCGGCTCGCGAGCCAGACTCTGGGCGACGGGGTGTTCGTCAGCAAAGTTGATCGGGATGGCGCCGATGGAAGCAGCAAGATCAAGGCGCTTCTTCACATGGTCGACGACGTAGACCTTGAAAGCTCCACGTAAAATGGCCGAGTAAGCAGAAAGCAGCCCGACGGAACCTGCCCCGAAGACGGCGAGGGAATCGTCGGCCTGGAACCCAGTGTAGTCGATACCGGCCCATCCCGTAGCGAAGATGTCCGAAACGCTAAGGTAGTCGTGCTCGATCGTCGAGTTGGCAGTTTCACGAGTCAACGGGATAGGGATCAGGTTTGTGTTCGCCAACGCAACCCTGGCGTACATTCTCACCACCGACTGTTGTTTGCTCGGAGAATCTTCAAATTGAGTTGGCAACATATTCCTCTGCCGCTTATGGAACGCCGCCCTCGCGCTCGCGCGCGCGCGCGCGCGCGTGGAACGCATGTGCCAAGTCGTATTGACAACTCGGACTCCATCGACGAGAATTTTAGCTTACTATAGCGGCTATATAGACAACCCCGGGCACACAAGGTTCGCTTTGCTGTGGCCAGGAAACCAATCAAAGCTTAACCAGGACTGGTGGGGCCGCACAAGCCTACCTGACATGTTGCTGTCAACGTCAAAGTTCTGTCTTCATTAAACCAATTTCATAAACTTGCCTACCCTAGCGGTTTCCCGCACTTTGTTCCTGGCATTTCGGGGTCTAGTGCGCCCGTGGCTGCCATGACGGTTACACGGCCCCAGGGTATTGCGCTCCATGCGGCACCTTGCCTCCTTCGGCACTCGTAAATGCAGTCACCTCATGATCCGGCTCCTCCGGCCACGCCGGCTCATATCGCTGCGAGAAGTTGGGATGCTGGACCTGGCTGCAATAAAGACATAGATTCTCCCCGGCTACGTTCCTGTTTTGGTCGTTTTTTGACCGACGTGCCACGACAGCTCGTAATCTCAAGTACTGCATATGCTTATACGGGGCCCGCCTTGCAACCTCAATCACTCTTTACAACTTCCACAAGCATTTCATAATTATGAAGTTTACTCAGCTCGCCACGCCGGCCTGGGCTCTCCTGGTTTCTTAAGCAGCTGCGAAGCCCTGCGCCGAGCCCAAGATTGACGTCGACGTCGCCATCATCGGCGGCGGAAGCGCCGGCATCCACGCGGCGATTCAGCTCAAGGACGCCGTCATCGAGAAGAAGTCCCAGATCGGAGGCCATGCCGAGACTTACACCAACCCTCAGACCAAGGTCCCGGCCAACGTCGGCGTTGTCGTCTTCGAAAACGTCGAGCTCGTCGCCAGATACCTGGCCCGCCTCAACGTCGCCACCATCAAGGCCAACCCGCTCACCAGCGCCACCGCTGGCGGCTCCAGGAGCTGGGACTTCTCGCTCGGCTTCCCGATCCCGGCGCAGAACGCCTCCACGGCGGCCATGCAGCAGCAGGCCCTCCAGGCCGCCGCGCAGGCGTACTCCACCAACGTCCTGGCCAAGTACCCCTGGATCGACCAGGGCTTCCTGGTGCCGGACCCCGTACCAGAGGAGCTGACGCTTCCCTTCAGAGAGCTTGCGCAGAAGTACAACTTCTCGGCGCTCCTGGCCGTCATTGCCCAGTTCAACTGGTGGACCGGAGACATCTCGACCATCCCGGCGCTGTACGGCATCAAGGGTCTCGGACCAGGCCTGCTCAGAAGCCTGTTCGGCGAGTTCATCCTTTCCGCTAACGGCGACACCCGCGCCATCTACGACGCCGCCGCCGGTGTCCTCGGCGACAGCGTCCTCCTCGACTCCGACGTCGTCGAGGTCAAGCGTGATGTCAAGATTGACGAAAAGACGACTTCCGGCGTCACCGTTCTCGTCAAGCAGCCCGGCGGGTCCCACAAGCTCATCCGCGCGCGCAAACTCATCGTTGCCATCCCTCCGACCATGGAGAACATTGCCAGCTATGATCTCACCGCGAATGAGTCGGCGCTCTTCTCCAAGTTCTCTGCCCTCGGCTACTGGGCCGGCGTCGCAACCGTCCACGGTCTGAACACCAGCCTCACCAACGTCGGCGCGCAGACACCATTCAACCAGCCCGCCATCCCGGGCACCAACGGCTTCAACTCGGCCGGGTCTCCCGGAGACTTCCTCGTCGCCGTCGGGTTCCAGGACACGGACTACACCGAGGAGGATGCCAAGGCCGTGCTGGTCAAGAACCTGGCGACGTTGGCGGCCGTCGGCGCCGTGCCGAAGGACGCCGCGGAGACGGTGACGTTCCCTTACGTGTCGGACCACAAGCCCTACTGCGTGCGCGTCTCGGCGGAGGAGATCAAGGGCGGCTTCTACAGCAAGCTTTTGGCTTTGGAGGGCGCGCGGAACACGTACTGGGCCGGCGCAACCTTTTCAGGACACAACAGTGCGCTGGTGTGGTCGTTCAACGAGGGGACGGTGCTGCCTGGTCTGAAGAAGGATCTCGGTCTGTGAGGAAGAGGTCTGCATGTGTCTATGCAATCGATCAAGTTGGTCAGTGATAGCTTATAGACCTACCTTTCTCAGTAGCAAGATAGTTGAGTACATAAACCGAATTCGAGGTTTCTGACTGTCTCGCTCAACATCATGTTCAGGTTTCCGGGAAATTGGTAAAATGATGCTGTAGAGAAGCAAAGGAAAGCTAACTCGATGACCTTGGATCCTTTTCTACTTCAACGGCATATCCCATCGACAACTATACGGCGTCAGTACCTTGCTCCAAAGCAAAATATCCTCGACCAAAATCTTCAACTCCTTGTCGAGTAAATTTACCAATTCAGCCAAAAGATCAACCGTCTGAAGACAGCTCATTGGCTGTTACCTGAAGTACCTTTGATTGTGCCTCACGACATCTAGTAGTAGTTGCTGTTATTGGAGAACTCAACGCCATGGCGGCAAGGGCGTAGCCCACCTTGCGGTAAACCTCCTGCAGGGTACGTAATGTAGAGGGCCGTAGGCCGTGTTAACCTACTCTCTCGTATAGTCCTACCTTCCTGTTCTATAAGTCAAGCAATCTAGCCACTGCGCATTTAGTTTGTCCCCAGTTCCGGCTGATGTCCCGGTTTCGTTCCTGTTTAGTATCAAAGCACCAAACACTGCTTCAACCGCCGTAGATATGATGTTGAACACTGGGAGAGTGGGCCTCGGAATGGCATGTCGAGAACACACTAAGCAATAGGATTCTAAAGTAAGTCAGCAGGAGTGAATTAAGCAGGAAGTGGACATGGTTTGAGATCAAAGGACACAAAAGACACAAAGTCGGACATGCTCATTGACGAGGTCTGGTTGCTCTTTCGGGTTCCTCGCCGGGCGTAATACAGAAGTGTGTGTGTATGATATCCCGTAGCCGCTAGGTGCCCCTGAAGGGCACCTTAGTCCTATGTTCATTCGGTTGCTACAACCTGAGTTAAGACATTTTATGTTGCTAGGAAAAGGCGCACTAGCTGGCTGCCTGATCTAAGACCTCGTATAATTCCCTGTCACGAGCTGAAAAGGGATCCATTTTTAGAGAGCAGGCTCGTCACTTGGTCCGTCCTCTAATAGTGCGGCTGTATGTTGCAACAGCCCTAGCCCTACCACAGTCCCGAATAGCCCAGTGTGCGTGGCTCTATCACTTAGGACTTGCAAAGACATCCATTACCGGAGCAATTCTGAGTCATACCAACGTCGTTCCCACATACAATGAACCCGAGTCCGCCGCAAAAGCAGTGCTCCGAGCAGAAAGATTGCCAACCAGCTTTCGGGCAAACGATATGGCCGTCACTTCGTGCGTGTCAGTCGCAAGACTCGACTATCTGGAAGAGTGGTTTTTCTTACCGCGCCTGCAAAAGCGTGCCAGTGGAATCCTCTCCATCCGCAAGATGACCAACGTTTTTGGGTTGGTCCGCAATAGGACTCGCAACCGCTCTTAGGGGAAGCACTGGACGTAATTACGAAGTTCATCATAAGTGTTACCAAAATCTGGGGGCCTGAATCGACTTGACTCACAAATTGCGATCGTAAGTATGTTCATTAACAACGCCATGTTTGTTAATCAAGACTGAGCTTGTACGGAATCGAAGTGATCAATGCTGGCGACTTCTCTCCTTTGTCTGGGCATAAGGAGTGTACTTATAATTAGACATTTGTCCCCGCTACGAAATGTCCACAGACATCACGAAGTCTCCGGCGGAGATGTAACTTCCGATACAGATTTTATTAGACGGAATTATGAACACTCGTAGGGTATTTTATCCACTTCTGCTTTCTAATATACCTTTAGTAGATTCTAATATACTTTTAGTAGATTCCCAGTATACAGCTGCCTATGATCCACTGTAGCAGTTGTGTGGGGCATTGAAAACTAGCATCGGCACAATTGGCAAATCTACGAGCTATTTTCTGAAATCGATTCGCCGCGACTTCAAGGCTGAAAAGTCTTGTCGTAGTTTTCGTAGTGGGAAACCTGCCCCTGTCTACAAAACAAGCCGACACTCAAATCGATACTCAGACCTTTTCTTGGAACAGCGTCGCTTGGCCAGGATATTGGATAATAAATTAGGATCATATCGACGGGGTTTAGCTCATACTCGTTCGTGGACCAGGTGGTTGGTGCAGTGAATACAAGAATGACTGAGCCTGGCCAATATACTTTGACGGTGTATGAAAACGAAGTTCCCCTCTCACAGCAAAAACCCCGAAAGATGTGTTTGTCTCGAATCGGTAGACATTTTCTGGGCCAGCGGCGTTTTGTGTACTACCCACTCAGTACTATGCATCCGAAGCATGGTGGCCCGGCAAGAGCCGGATAAAGAATGGACGTACTATCTCAAACGGGGTTGGTAGTCTGCTACACTAACTGGACGCGACGCAAACCAAAGCCATCAGAGCGATGGTTCCCGTATATAGAACGACGCCTGTATAGATCCTACAGCACGAGGCGGCTCTACCCCCAGCAGAGGTGATACTAGACGCGAAGCTCCACACAGCGTCCACCAGAATCCACCGTCTGGACGAGCGACACCCTCTCCGAACGAGACTCAGGGACAAATCAGGACCAGACTCACGGTTACGACAAATGGCGAGCCTCGTAAGCAAAAATACCGAATACATTGATCCCTTAGAACTCCCCCGTTAGGAGCAACTAGCGGACTGGCAGACAGCCCTCGCCAGGGTCGGCTACGAGCCTAACAAGACCAAAGAAGAACAGGCCCTCTCCTTTGCAGGCAGGGTGGCAACTTTCTCCAAGCGGGATATTGTTGTCTATACTGACGGGTCCCAGATGTAGGACGGCAGCAGCACCTCCGCCAGAGCAGGCTGGATAGGGTACCAAGCTACACGGCAGATCTTCCGCGGATCCGAACCACTCGGCTCCCAAACTGAGCTGTATGACGCGGAGGCACATGCTGCGTATCACGGCCTGATGGAAGCCGCCCGGGCTCCTACGGCTCGTATGGCAGATAACGTCCACATCTGCCTCGACAACCTCTCAGTCGCGGCTAGACTATACTCCCAGAGCAGAGGAAGCAGCCAGGCTAGATTCAGGGCCTTCAATAGGCTCTCTTCCTCCTGGGCTTGGAGACAAAGAGAAAGCTGGACAACCCCCGGCAGGGTTTATGTTTGGTGGTGCCCTGGGCACACGGGAGTACCAGGAAATGAAGAAGCGGATGCTCTAGCCAAGGAAGCCTACAAACTAATCCCAAAATCACAACCACAGCCCTCATTAGAGCACCTAGAAAGGCAAGCTAAAGCAGCTGCCTTCCAAGCCTTTGCCAGAAAATGGCTGTCCTAATGCCCTCGGCAATATTCCGACCTCGAGATGGTTCCTCATCCCAAGCCGCCCGAACTCCGCCTCCCTCGGCACCTACTAAGAAGGCTATACGCAGCAAGATCCCATCATGGAGACTTTGCAGCATACCACGAGAGATTCGCTCATCAAGATGCGTTGCTCAACTGCAGCTGTGGGAAACCCAAGACACCAGTCCATTTCTACTTCTGCAAGCGTGGACGCAAGGCTACACCGCGCTACCTCCGTCGACGTACGGCCAAAGCAAGCATTGATTTCTTGTTAGGTTCTGCTAAGAGAGCCTCTCTTCTATGCGAATGGATAGAGGAGACCAATTTCTTTTCCGAAATTTGCCCGAGTCATTGAACAGGAACGTTAGGTGAGGACGATTGCCTGTAACGTAATTTAGATTAGCATAGACCGTGTCGGCATAGCGCCCGGCACGTCTTTTTGTTACCAGACGTTAAATACATCATCATCATCATCATCATGGGGGCTGACCGATCATTCTGGATCAGAATGATCGAGGGCCGACTCAAGAGACAAGGAATACATTCAGAATCAGGACTTGTATATAAGATGGCCTTGAGCCGGGCTCAAGGACAGACTTCTCATAGCTTCTTCAGCAATTAGCTTCGTATCAGGATTCACATCCGCTTTCAGCTATCACCTTGATAATACTACGACTGATCACCGAAGCCTTACCTTACCCTACGATTGACAGACATAGCTTCTAGGAAGCTATCCAGACTTACGACACTGTTACTGAGTCTCGCAGCCTCAACTTCTGCTAATATACTCACTACGACTAGCTGGCTGTAACACGTGGGGTCTATGTTGGGATACAAACGGCGAACAGTGTTTAGTTCGCTATTTTATACCGATGTGTCAGACGTTATCCCAGTTTGTCTTCGTCTAGCCATTAATGCTGCTCTATCTCGACGATATGTTGATATATCATTGCGAAGACTGTTTAGACTGATAATACATGTATCGTTGAAAAGGGCAGATGTTCCACATCTTGGAAGGCGCCGACTACTTACTCATGCCTCAATATCTTTACCAAAGACCTGGCACTAGTCTCTTGGTTTTCACGTGCCAGCGGAGCCACTCGTCGCCACATTCAGCCTTCAACATCTTCTCCTCCCTGTGAATACGACGTGCGAAGAGCGTACACCAGACCAGCAAGTGCATCCACGGGAATACCCAAACACCCCAGGATTCCCAAACAGCCCACTGAGTATATGTATAATCAGTCCAGCACCGTATAAGCCCATCGCCTCGAAGAAGTAGTCGACCAGTCCCCCACAGACAAATAAGCGCGCCTGTGTATGACGGGTGTTGCATGTACTTGTAAAGGCCGCCCGTTTTCAACTTGAGCGGCTTCTGTAAAGCGAAGGTGAAGTTTGATTCGAGCTGCGCGTACGCTTCTTTTCGCAAGACACCCCCGAAAGCCATTGCTGCCAATGCAAGACCTGTTGACCAGGACCAATCAAACGCTTTTACATTGACATTGTAGATGTTGGGACAAATCAGCTCTGAGGTATTTCGAATAGTGGGATTATCGTGATTCTTGAGCGCGATAGAGAGAAAGAGGTAAAATAAGCCTAAGGCAGGTACCATCCACTGGTGAGCGCTCACGAAGAGCATAAGGAGGGCTGTGTAGGTAGTACGGTACTTTTGAGTGGCGACCGCATTCTCTAGTTTGGCATTCGGCGACGAAGCTGCTCTAGTAGCGTAAAAGAGGGCGCAGACAACGGAGATTGGAAAAAGAGTACTAAACATAGTGTCAAATATTTTGTACGATAAGTGTTTAACAACCGATATCAAGAAAAGGGCAAGCGTCGGACAAGGTGCTGGTGGGGAATATAAATAAAAAGCTATGCTGGCAGTCATCTGACAAAACTCACTTGGCATAACCAAGTTCGTAATGTTAGCCAGATATCGATCAGATGAGCACGGCAACTTAACTAGATTTATCAGCACTAGAATCGCAAGGGAGTCCCCTTTAGGCACGGTAACCTATGCTAAACTTTGGATTAGCGGGTGTGCCGCAATTAGACCACCCGGTAATATAATTGCCCGTCGGCAGTGCTGATGCGTACCATCGCTTGGAAGTATAATCACTTATACTTTATAATATTTCCAGGAGATAGCATATCTACGCTAAACTCATTAGAGCATATGAAACGGTTATCTAACACTACGTAACATTACCTTGTTATTTTGAGTTCACGAAGGGAAGTTCAATACTACATAGCAGTTGAAATTTCGGCACCAGGTTAAATCGTCGGACGGCATTCCAAGCTGACTAAAAGCTCTTTTAGGTTTTACGGATAAGAATTTCAGGCAAACTTGCAGCTTTATACATATAAAGGGCCGAAGATGTCCGAGGAGATGCCTTCAGAGATAGGGCCCATTGGACTTATTGCATCTTCAAGGACACGAACAAGCTGGCCACAGTGCAAACTCTCTTGAGAAGGTACACCGTCAAAGGCTGAAAAGAAAGAAAAGGATCGATTACAACCTCCCATGCGTATCAAGTAAACAACGAGGTTGTGAACATATCAGTCCATCAGTTTTAAACAACGACCAGAGAAAATGTCTTTACTGTCCAACGGCAAGTTAGCCATAGCAAGCGCTACCATAGCGGTTGTACTTTTTTGGTATTGTTTGTCACGACTGTTGAGAACCACACCACTAGACTATCTGCCCCAGCCATCAGTATGTATAATGACAAGTCCAGAATTCCTATACCATTTCTGACCAAGCATAGGGAGGACGTGGGTTTCCAGTCTATCACTATGGTGCAGTGATCAGCCAACCACTGGGGGCGGAATTACTTTCAATGACAGATTCAACTCCAAACGAGGGCTTGATCCTGCTTAAGTGCCTCTTTGGAGAACGTCGGCTTCTTCTAACCAGTCCCAAAGCACTTTCTGAAGTATTGGTCAAGCGGGAAGTCGACTTCGTCAAACCCGAGACAGCCCGTTTTTTCTTACAGAGGCTCATCGGCGACGGGCTGCTATCACTTGAGAGGCAGCGTCATCGCCATCATCGGAAAGTCATTAATCGAGCCTTTCAACCTCGACAGATCAAAGCGGTTTATTCTACAATGTGGTCTAAATGTATGACGTTGGTAGAGTGCTTGCAAGAAGAAACGCTGCAAAACGTCGATCATGATACAGGGTTCGCAACTATTAACTTTACGAGCTGGGCTTCTAGAGTCTCGCTTGATATTATTGGACTCACGAGCATGAACCACGACTTCGACACCCTGCATAACCACAAACACCAGCTGATCCAGCACTACGACGTCGTTTTTGAGCCTTCATTAGCCAAACGAATTTTCCTTCAAGTCAACATGCTGCTTCCTCAGGGATTGATCATGCAGATACCAACCAAGCTCAACAGGTTCATGAATGAGGGCCCCGGATACCTCCATGACCTCTGCCGAGGTTTTGTTGCTCGTCGGCAAGATGACCTAAAATATCACGACTTTACTGATAGTAGATTGGATGACTTGTTAAGCATAATGATCCGAAGCAGAGAACTGCAAGAACAGGGAATAATCGATCAGATGCGAACTTTCCTATCAGTCGGGTCAGCTGTCCCTCGTAACTCTGGTAAACACATTCTGATACCCCTCTACAGGCATGATACAACGGCAAGCTCTATAAGCTGGGCTATATATCTCCTCTGCAAGAACCCTTCAGTGAGAGCTCGGCTCTACGCGGAGCTTAACGAAAACAGACCATATAATGAGCTCAATGTCTGTCAGAAGCTTGAGAGTCTCCCTCTATTAAACGCAGTCTGCAACGAAACTTTACGTCTCTACCCCGCCCTCCCCATCACCGTACGGGAGGCAGCCTGCCAAACCATGGTTCTCGGTACTGTCGTACCAAAAGGCACCTGGGTCATCATGTCGCCTTGGGCCATTAACCGCTCACGGGCGATCTGGGGCGACCGCGCCAACGACTTCTGTCCAGACGCCTGGCTCACAACGGAGGAGGAGACTGGCAGAGTGCATGTGAACAATCAAGGCGGCGCCTCGCACGCCTTTAGCCAGATGACCTTTTTGCACGGGCCGCGGATCTGCATTGGCGAGAAGTTCGCGAGGGCGGAGCTGCGATGTCAAGTGGCTGCTATGGTGCTTCACTTCGACTTTGAACTGCTGAATCCTGACGAAGATAAAGTACATGCTGGCGTGTTCACTGCGAGGCCGAGCGGAGGGGTCATTCTGAAGCTCAAGCAAAGACGTAAAGAATGACCCAACTCCAGGTATCAGATAGAGGGACTGGTGGTGGACTTCACGACCAGTAGCCACTCGTCTTGAAGATTTGTAAATGAATTAGAAGTTTCTTCAGGCTAGATTACTGTGATATGGTGTAGCAGAGCTGTTGATGGCAAGAGCTGAGAGTAAAAAAAGAAGATGCTTGGAGAAACACAGCTCAGCAACATCCTGGGCTCATGAAAGCGTGATATTTCACTTTCCCATCGACTGCGAGTGGGCGTCAGTACAATTGCCCCATTGTCTGCCCCACTTCTTCCCCTCACAAAAGGGCTACATGTGCAGTACGTCATTTGGCCGCCGTTTTCATTCCCATACCTTCCACCGCTAATATCAGACATCTTGCCGATGCACTATTACATGCTGGATTCAGACGACTCTGATGGATCCGTTCGATCGCATATTACTGTTGCCGTGACGCCCGAGGACCTCGCCGTCGCCTGTACAGCCGACTGTACACCAGAGAGATGTGACGAGTCAACAGTGCGGCCGCGAGAATCGCCGTTAGTTGAACGTGGTGATCCTGTTGGTATCCCTATCACAGGGATATTGGTCGATTGGTTCGAACCGTGGGTTGACGTAGTAGTAGGTCAATTGACTATATAATTCTGCTGGCCCCTGCGCTGTCGCGAGGTCGAATTGGACTTCCAATCCGACAGATCCCAATCAGTACTGCCCGTTCACTGTCCCTCAACGAGATCCCACGATTCGAAGCCTGCCGGAAACGTCCCTGGAGTTTTTGATGCAGTACATTCCTCATAGGATGGTTGAGTCGTGGGCAAAGTGGACTAATGAGGCGAGAAATACGCGGTACGGTCCATGGAAAAAGGACTCCAGAGAGAATGGATGGATGCCAACCTCTGCAGAGGAGATCCATCTGTTTATTGGCATTTTGATTTACATAGGCATCCATGAGGAAGCCCAAATATCTCGATATTAGTCCTCGTCTCAAGAGAAGGAAGATCCCATCCACGTTTTCACCCGGGCTTTACCACGAGACCGTCTCTAACTGCTCCTCCGTCACCTTCGCATTTTTGATACCACTAGATTCGATCAGCCAGCCATCCCAGCTGCAGGACACCGCAGGCAGCAGCGGGAGCAATCCCGCGAAGATTCAAGGCTAAAGGTCTATCGCTAGTTTAATGAATGGTCAACCCATATACAGGAGGTTGGAGACTCCTTTTTCTTGCCTGGCAGTAACCTTACCGTTGATGAGGCAATGGTACGGTTTACTGGGCGTTCGCTTGAGACAACAACAACAATACCAACAAAGCCCACGCCGACCGGATACAAAGTATGGGTTTTAGCGCAAAAGGGTTACTACATACGACGGCTTTGGCACGTCCATGGTAAAGGCCCATATGGGCTGGTGCCTCAGGAGCAAGAAAGCGTTACCAACAAAGGGGTAGCGGAGGAGCGTCTAACGCTCACCCAGCGAGTGGTTACTACCTTATTGGCTCCACTACCAGTTGCCATATACCATGTGTTTCTTGACAATCTATTTGCCTCGGTCAGGCTCTTCAAAGCACTCCGATTAAATCAAATCGGGCAACAGGGACTTGTCGAAGGGACAGTGGCATCGATGAGTTGCTAGTGGCTGAAAAAGAGAACGAGGGTAAGGGGATCCCATGGGGGGAAGTTCATGCCATGCCAACAAAAGACGGGCAGGTAAGTATACAAGAAGGAAGTTGGTTCTAGTGATAATATGGCACTTATTGACTCTTTGGTACTTGAAGCAGGTTCTTCAAATAAGTTGGAAGAATAATGCCCTCGTGCTTTTCCTTACTACAGTAATTCTATCACGACACAGAGCAAGTCATCCGTAACCGCCGCCGGCCTGCTGGCTCCTCTGCTGCCCACCAAGCTGCCCGCGAAGTCTTTGGAGATAGTGCGCGAAAAAGCTACCTATCCCTATCTATATCAACGATTACAACCACAATATGAACGGTGTAGACACAGGGGATCAGATGAGGTCATACCGTCAGTTCGGACGTCCTATCCGTCGCGGAGGATGACAGTCAATCTCCTGGAATTTCCTCCTTAAGGTTATACTTGTGAACACCTTCCTTCTACAGCTATGGGGCGAGCCAGACTGGCAGCAGTTGAAGAGTCAGTATCAATGGCGAAGGGAACTATCTACCCAGCTTATTCAGCATTTCGGGCTATTGGTAAAGGATTTGATTTGATTGATTTGATTTGATTGATTTGATTTGATTTGATTTGATTGATTCCTACTCGGTTTTGGCCGCTTTAGTCAGCAGCTATGCCCGGATAGCGGGGTTTGGCCAACAGCCGAAGCGCTCCGGGTGTTAATCCGCAACGCCCCACTTCGCCAGTGCAAAACACTGACCAGCTGTCTCCAAATCTCAAAAAAAAAAACACCAACAGCAGCGAGAACGAAATTTTTGAAAACAGCACCAAATTGATAAAAGTACGCCCGCTCGCGCCTGCAGAGGTCGCTTTGGGCACAATGTCATCCTCGGCATTGATTCTGCATCCAAAGGGCCTGCTCGTGGCCGCGAGCGGGCTCTGACCACGAAAAATTCGAGAGCAAGCCACAAAGCACGACGTGTCATAAGACAACACCATCGCCGCCTCCGCTGGCGGGTCACGGGTTATCACGCGAAGCACAAGGACCGCGCCCAAACACGAATCAACACAACAGCCACCGATAGGTTATGGGTCGCCTATCACCCTCGACAAAGTCTGCAACGTCCCGCGACAGCAACGACGACGAGCCCGACAGAACGGTATCACCTCTTGCACAGAGAAAGCACCAGACACCAGGCATGCTGCGATCGATGCCACAAAATACTACAGATTACAGACAGATTGGTCGCCTGTCGCCCCCTCCGCGAAGAAGGATTGTCGCCCCTTCAACGTACGACAACGTCTGCGGAACCTGTGCACGAGCTCTCATATTCAGTAATTGGACGAGTCGAAGCGGCTGGAGCATTGTGTTTCGCGGATTGAGCCTGGCTCCAGGCGGCGGACGGCGGTGGTGGTCGCAAGATGGAAATACAAAGCCACATAGGAACCCGGCAGGAGGCAGCAAAAAGATTTACAGATTCAACTGAGATACGGCACATGCGAGTCTGAGAGGATGCAGACAAGAGAAACAAACGAGGCTAAGCGCTGGGGGGAGACTGTAGGTACGCGGAACCAGACATGGTGGTTACCACCAACAGAACCGAAGCAGGAAGACGCGAAAGAGGGAATTCCGAGGCAAGAAAAACAACCATGGCGGGGGGAAACAATGCAGCAAGAAGAGACTCTTCAACAGAGAGAATCAACACGAGGATAGACAGTGCAGCGAGGAATTTGGAGATAGCTGGCCTTGATTCAACAGCAGGGCGAAGTGGGGCGTCGCGACTTGTCGTGGACGCGTCGGCTGTTGGCCAAACCTTGCTTTCCGGGCATAGCTGCTGACTAAAGCGGCCGAAACCGAGTAGGATATAATCAAATCAAATCAAATCAATCAAATCTCCAAATCTCCCACTTTGCTCTCCAACCTCTATCTACATTTGGCTGGACCCCTTGTGTAGACCGTGGTTCTCTACTAATGTTCATGCATATCTAGGCTCTATTGAGGTCTTTCTCCTCGTGGAACGGTTCAGCGTACCTACAGTCTCCCCCCAATGTTCAGCTTAGTCTGGTGTGTGACTCGACCCCGTGTTGCCCAAGGATCTCGGTCTGTTCTATGAATCGGATTGCCTTGGCGGCTGCTTTGCGCTTGTTCAGTATGACCCGGAGATTGTGTCGTCCTGGGAGGGTTCCGAGTTCCTGGCGCCGGAGTTGTCGAAACCTGCGGCATCGCAGCAGGATGTGCGATACCGTTTGTCGTCCTTCCCAGCATGAGCAATTAGCGCTGGTTATGCCTGGTACTCTTCGGTTGAAGAGGAAGTCCCGGAGCCCGATCTTTTCTGTGCGCATCTGGACTAGGAGTGCGCTTTGGCGTTTACTGAAGCCTTCGTGGAGTTCGAGGACTTTCTTCGTCGGCTTCGGCGTGAGACGGAACGATGTTCTCCCTCGCGTCTCGGTTTCCCAATTGGTTCGCCACGCGTGGTGGGACTGTTTATGCGACCATGTCTTGACTGTCGACCTGAGTTTGAACAGGGCTCTCGGCTTGTCTGCCCTGGGACCTGTCTGTCCGTCTGGCCTCCATCCCGTCGCCTCCTTGGCTGCGATGTCTGCTGCTTCGTTGCCCTGGATGCCGATGTGGGCAGGTACCCATCGGAGCTCGACTTCGAGTCCCTGTTCTCGGAGGGCTTGTGTCTTTTCTGCGATGATCTTGAGGAGGTACGCGCCGGATTTCCCCTTTGGTTTGGCTGACGATCTGATGGCGGCCTGATTGTCGGTGTGTATGAAGATTTTGCTTCGGGAGTTTCCGCTTTCCTTGTCTGCCTGCGCCATCTCGAGGGCCAGAACGATGCCCTGCAGCTCTCCCGCGTAGACTGTCGATGTCGTGTCGTCCCCCATGTGAGATTTCCTGGTTTGCTGTGTGGTTGTGCAGACTGCTGCCGCTCCGATCTGACCGTCGATGCCGCTGCCGTCTGTATAGATGTGGGCTGCGTCGGTGTTCTTTTCCAGACAACGTTCGTGTTCTTTTTCGGCCTGCTTCGTGCTTCCGGCGATGTGGATACGCGGTCCTTGCCACCACGGGGGAGTGATGAAGGGAGGTATGTGCTCGTGTTGTTCGCTGATTGGCCCTTGTCCATCGTTCAGTCGTTTCGTTACTTTCTGTCTCGGACTCATTCTCTTCCCTCCCCGCGGGAGGGCTTCGGCCATGCCTACTCTGTTGATGGTGTCGATGTTGTGTTTCCAAACCTGTTGTTCGACTGGCAGAAGATGCATTTCCACATCTAGTGCTGGGAGCGAGGTTGCTCTGTATGCTCCGCACATTGCCCTGGCCGCTCTGGCTTGGAGCCTCTGCAGTCTGTTTAATGTCCTTTTCGTGTAGCCCATCTCCCCCCAACCGCTGTTGGACCACAGCGAGCATGCGTACATCATCTGTGGTATTGCGACTCCCCTATAAATCGTCCTCATCTCTCTCGTCATCACGCCCCACGTGGAGCTGCCTAGACTGCTGAGTGCTATGATGGTGTTCGTGACCTTACGTTCTGTCTCGTCGATGTGTTGTTTCCACTTGAGGGCCGAGTCCATGATGAGGCCGAGGTGTTTACAGGTTGTCTTTGGCTCGATTTCTCCCCACGGGCTGTGGAGTGTTTTGTCTCTGTTGATTCTGGTTTTTGCTCGTGTGAAGTGGGTAAGCTGGAACTTTTCGGGCGCGAAGACGGACGCGTGAGTGGAGGCCCATGTCTCGGCTTTCCGGAGCGCTTCTTGGAGCTTCTAGCAAGTTTCCTTAGTGCTATGTCCTACGGCTAGGATTGCTACGTCGTCGATGAAACCGGTGGCTATCATATCTCCAGTCTCGTTGCAGCTGTCTAGGAGATCCGCGTTGTAGAAGAGGTAGAGTATCGGTGAAAGGGGTGATCCTTGTGGGATGCCGGTGTCGAGTCTGTAGGTTTCGGATCGGAACCCGTCCACGTGAATCTCCGTCTCTCGGCATCCTAGGAAACTGGCAATCCACCGCACCGCCGCTTCGTCGATCCGCCTTTTCCGCAAATTGTGCAGGAGTCGGCGGTGCGAAACGTTATCGAAGGCGCCTGACACGTCCAGGAGAAGTAGGCTTGCTACCGTCCCCGTCCCTGAACCCCAGGCTTCGTATATCTTATCTACGATTTGATGCAGTGCGTGTTCCGTCGACCGACATCTTCTCCCGCCCATGTGGCTGTCTGGCAGCAATCCATGTGTTTCGGCAAGGTAGCTCAGTCTCCTCGCTATGATGGCATCCATGATCTTGCCTACCGTGTTGAGGAGGGCTATCGGCCTGTATGCTTTGGGCACTGTGTAGTTGTCTTTGCCTGGCTTCCTGAGTACCACCGTGGTGGACTTTCTGAAGTGTTGGGGACAATATCCTAACCGGAGACTCTGGTTGAATATGCGGGCGAGATGTGGCGTGATCCATGGTCTCGCCACTTGGAGTGCCAGGTTAGTGATGCCGTCGGGGCCCGGGGCCTTCAGCGGTGCTGCTTCCTGGATGGCGTCTTCTACTTCGCTTTCCGATACTGGCGGCAGGCCAATCTGGTTGCTGTACGATGTGTCGTCGATGTCTTCGAGGTTTGCCTCTGGCGGCGGGGGAAAGAAAGTCTCCTTGAAGAGTGCTGCTTTCTCCTCAGGCGTTGTGGCGACCTGGGACGTGTTGGGTTTCTTGATTTCCGGCGTAACGGTTGGCGGTTGGCTCTGTCTGTTCCGGGCCCATTTGGCGATCTTCCATAGCGATCTAGGTGACTCGGCCGCTGTTTCTACCGCTTCTCGATGTGCCTGTTGGAGAGCTTTCTTTATGATGCGGCCCTTCCTGTTGCGTGCCCCTCTGTACGCCTCCCAGCTCTCCTCTGTCTGTCGCTCGCTGTAGTTGCGGCGAAGTCGTTTCGTCTCGGCCAGGATGGCTGCGCACTGCTCGTCCCAGCCTCTCCTAGACTTTGGTGAAAGGGTGCTGGTCGGGACCGCGGCTTTGATAGCGGCTGAGAGGGCGTCTATGATTGTCCCTACATATCCGTCGAGCGCTGCCTTCGTTCTTGGCCTTCGTAGCTGCGGCAACGATCCACGGAGCGTCTCGGTAAACATTTCCTTATCAACAGCTTTCCACTTCCGTTTCTCCTCTCGCCGTAGCTCCGTCACTGCTAGGTGCAGGGACGTCGCTATGGGTAGATGATCGGAGTCATGGTCGATGTTATGATCTACTTCGCATCTGATCATTCGGTTAACGAGACCTACGGTTACGAGATAGAGGTCGATAGTTGTCCGGTGATCTCCTTCTTCGTACGTTATAGTTCCCGCTCTCAGTTGACTCGTGAGGTTCATGTCGCCCATTAGATCTAGGAGCTCGGTTGCTTCGCGGTCCGGCGCTCGGATATCGCTGCCTCCCCACAGCTCATGGTGTAGGTTGAAGTCACCGACGACGATTTGCTCGACGTGCCGATGTGTTTCCAGTGTTGTTCGTAGCTGTTGTAGGACCGGTTGTCGATCTTCCTCCCGCGGTGACGGGTTGTACACATTATGTAGCACTAGGCTTGTTTCGGCATCGTCATCTGTTGCGATAACCAGAGTGCAGAGGTCTCTGCTGACCTCCCTAAACTGCCAACGAGAGTGGTCAAGCTTCTTGTTGATGAAGAAGCAGACCCTGGCTGGGCCATTTTCCTCGCTGGAAGGGTAGCACAGGTGGAACCGGTCCTTGGCCGGATGGTGCGTCGTTGCGCTGTAGGGGTTCCTCCACGGTTCCTGAATAGCAATGATGTCGTAATTATCGATGTTCGGGCCACGGAGAAGTGTCGCCATGACGGTATCCTTCGATTTTCTTACGTTGTACTGTAGTATTGTGAGTGTGTGTTGTGCGTTCATTCGCTATCGTTGACGACGATCTCCATCGCTGTGCTGTTGCTTATCGTCTGCGTGTCTGTCATCTGCGTGTTGGGGTCGAGCGCCTCGAGCGCTCTTCGCGATCGGATGATTGTGCGTCTCGGACGCGTATTCTCTGCAGCTACAGTAATCGTCTCTTCCGTTTCCTGGGTTGCTGTCGGGTTAGGCCTCTTTTGGATCTTCTTCGTCGGGGACCTGCTCCGGCTCGGACGATTCTCCTGCGATTGGCCTGGTTCCAGCGTCGGCCGTGTGGTCCTCGGGTTCGGCCTGATCCGGGGTTCCGGTCCTAGGGCCGGGTGTGGGGCCGTCTGTTCCGGGTGGTACCTCGACCGTTGGCCGTAGGCGGCCTTGATCTTGGCCTTCTCGCGGATCCTGGTGGGGCATCCGCCGTGCCATGCCTCGTGTTTGCCGTAGCATGCGGCGCATTTCCTTGGGGTCGTCGTGTCGCTTTTCGAGGGGCAATCTCGGGTCGCGTGTTCTTGCGCGCAGTAGCCGCATGTTGTCGTTGCCTTGCACTGGGTTCCTATGTGGCCGTATGCGCAGCACTTGAAACACTGCCTCAGACGGCACTGTCTGTCATATCGTTCGCATTGGAATACCTGGCCTTGCCAGATGAGTCCCTCGTCAATAAGTTTATTGGCGTCTTCTGCCCTTGAGAGCTCCACAACCACTGATGATGCCGTCTTTTTGCTGGCTGACTGGGTCAGCCAGCCTACGTACTTAATGTCTGCTCTGGGGATGAATGCTTTGTTATCCTGCAGCAGGTCGTCTCTGATTTCTGTGAAGCGGTCCATGTTCATGGAGCTGGTTCTGATGCCGTGCGCCAGCACTCCGTAGGTTGGGATCCTCACGGCGGCTCCGTTGCCGATGTGGTTTTCCCAGTCCTCGGCAAACTGCCGGAGTGCCTCCATGTCTTTCGTCGTTGCTGTCTTGACGCTTAGGTCGCCGCTCTTGAGTTGATTGGCGGACACGGCCTTGAGCTTGCGGGTATGCTCGTTGCTGCTTTGTTCGATGGCGCGGTCTACGTGCGCCTTGAGGCTACGGGGGTTCATGGCTCTCAAGCTGGCAATGGTGGTGGGGTCTCTAATGTTCACAATGATCTCACGCAGAGTCTGGGTCTGGGACGCTCTCTGATTATAGGGATTATGCATGCTCCCCGCAAGTCCTCCTCGGGCGGCTACGCTAGCATATGACTGCACGGTGTTCCCCTGATTCATCGGCTCCAGTGCTTTGATATCCTTTACGACCTTGACCGCCAGCTCGCTAGCTTTCCAAGCCTCCTTAGCGGCCGCGTTGGCCGCGCGCGTTGTGTTGGTATTTTCCTTGAGTTCGACCGTGTTCTGCTGCATGGCAATTCTGATGCTTCGCGTGTCGCGGGTGGTGTTCTCGTTGGCTGTTTTGGTTTCTGCACGTAGGCTTTCGATGGCTTGGTGGAGGTGTCCGAGTTCGGGCAGGTTCTGCATTTTGGCCAGCAGGGAGATGGTGGCAATGAGAGTGGCTCTCACGACTTGCGGGTTGAGGGGGTGTTCGTTTGCGGTGTCGATTGATTTGAGTGCTGTCTGAAGGTGTCTGCTAAGTTGAGTGGCGTGCTCTCGATGGTGCGTTGGCCATGTTTGCTCCTGGGGCCATGGGGTTGCCATGGTGCCTGCGTCGCTATGGGCTTCACGACGAGCACACGGCTATCCAATTGACCTTTCGGAGTGTGTTGTGGCGCTGTTTTTGCTCCGATTTCAAAAATTTCGTTCTCGCTGTTGTTGGTGTTTTTTATGTCCATGATGCCTGTGTCGCATTGGGCTTCACAACGGCTGGCATTATCGGTACAATGTTACTCCGCTGACTAATCAGGCTACGTGCATTGATACGGTCAACGAATTCATCCCTTACCACAGACGTAAGTTTCCATCTTCCCATTCTGTTTCCTCTTTCTTGTCGCGACATCCGGAATCATGCCGTATCAAGATAGGGCAAGCTTTCAACACGTACGCATCCATCGGCAATGCGGAGCGTGTGGGTTTCTATTTGGTATCGGAGACCATTTGGTCGCACGTAAGGGCCTTTCACTCCTTCCATGTGTGATGATTTCGGCTGACATATATCTTTACGCAGTGCGCGCCTCTTCAACGCGCATTGTCGCCCTTGATGCATCGACATTTGCAGCAACAGGAATGCCACAAATCCGTGACCCTTACCGCTTTTGTCGGCATCCGCATTGCGAAATGTGCTCGGCGGCTGCAGAGACGGCGACCGTTCATAGGGATTGTTTCAACCTCTACAGCTCGCGAACAGAACTTCCAGACAAACTATCCAGATTGCTGATGTATTCACTTGCGAGGTATCCGTGGCCTCAAAGCACGGCCCTTCTCCTTCCTCCGATCGCGGATATCACGCGCGCCAGCAAGCATGCCACCACGCACGCCATTGCTAATTTTCATCTGCGCAAACTTGCAAAACTTCCCACTGAACTGATCACAATGATTTCGGGATATCTTGGGCAACACGCCCTACTGCGTTTGTGTTGCGTGCTTGAGACCATCGACTTCGCATACCGCAAAGACGTTGACACCCCCCTTTCGCGGCCACTTCGCCAAGTTCAGTTCTGGCAACGTGGAAAACTTCCAGTTACAGCTACAACAGGCTCATCCAAACCACTTCAGATGACGATTGATTCAAGGGGCATTAAATGCATAGAGAGATCTGGGTGCTTGACCGCTCAGCTGCGGTCAACATTTGATTTATACGCCACTGTTAGCGCTGATAACGACTTGACAATTAGCTTTCAGGTCAGTGTCGGTTACGTTTCTAGTGGTCGCTTCCTTTCTTACGTCCCTTCTAAGTTCGGTGTCGGCCGGCTTGCAACGCCCCGAAGGCCAGCAAAGCTCCAACTTACGGACACGCCTAATTTGTCACCAGAGGCGGGCTTTCAATTTCCGTCTCCAAAACACGGTGGTCGACTTACGACTATTGATCTAGACCACTGCTCAGGAATCACTTTCTTCCTATCTAAGAGGGTCTTGCTTGCGATTCATGCTCATACTCCCATGGCGCCGACCGCAGATACTACCTTCGCAAAAGTCGAATCAATGATTCAGCCGTTCTTGTCGTGGTTCTACGTGCCAAATCCACCTCGAGATAAGATCTCAGCCTTTGGAGTTCGAATCGGAACAGAACAAGGCGAACTTCAGTTGAATCAACGGACATATCTTGTAAGCCAAACTCCAAAGAGTCAATTGGTTTGACTTACAATCAGAAGGTCAGAACACCTCATAGAGGGGGTTTTTACATTGGTCCACCACCCACTGGCTCGGGACAACAATATGCCGTCCACACTACGTCGCGATCGACTCTTCTGTCAGTCGTGGCGCGAAACAACTCCGTCGTCATTCGTGGGGTGTTGAGAGAAGGCGAAGCCTGCTCAGTTGTCGTCCCTCCAGCCCCGGCAAACCCTCCATTTCCAGACGCACTCCATGCACTGGCTACGCTATCGTGCGTGAAATCTATCTGGATATTCCGCGACGAGGAATCTCGATTCTGTCGGGGCCTTATTGTTGAGTATGATGACGGCACGGAAAAGGCTTTGGGGCAGTGTCGCATAGGGGTTGATCTAGCCGAGAGATGTGGGGCTGTGGAACAGCTCTCATTCAAGGTTGTTCAGCAGCAAGAGCGCCCAGGTAAGCGAATGGCAATGGTGATGGTGATGGTGAGAGGTTCCCGGTCACAGGGGAGTGACGCTTGCGATGATGGGCAATGGACGGTTTGCTCTCATGGGGACACGTTGGAGGTTTGGGCGACAGCAACACAAATGGTGATGACTATAACGAAGCTAACTGACAGCAATTCCCCGGATACACGAGTAAACGTACTCTCAGACTAGAAGTAGTTGTTCTGAGCGTTGAAAGCCCAGATGCGGACCCTGGGCCCGCAGACACTGCACGTCCACATTCTTTCCCGTTCGGGGTGTTCTGTGTAGTACTCATAACAAGCGGAGTATAGGACGTCTTGTGGCCCAGCTCTGCCCTTCTTCAGCTCGACCATGACCTGGATAACCAACTCCCGGCCGCTATACCGTTCGATGATAAGGTCGACCCGTCTCCTAGAATGCAGTTGTACTGGAGGCTGCTCTGAGCCGATGACAAACTCCTTTTCGGAGAAAATCTCCTTCGAAAAGAGATGACCCCACAATTTTTTAGTTGCGAACTCATCGAACCTCAACGAATCGTCAATTAGTATTTTAACCGCAGGGTCATTTGATATAGCCATGGTGAATATGGCGCTTGCTGGCGGGGTGGGGGGGTTCGTTGCAAGAATGAGAGGTGGGAGAGGGAGAGAGAGAGAGAGTGTGTGTGTGTTTAACGGACGAACCCCAATTGCGTACCAACGTGAACCTGCAATTTATACTATTGGCAGAGCTTCGTTGTCGCCGGATCATGCCCATGACACAATTATTACCCCAACGATTTGGCCCAGGGTTCGGACTATGCGCCGACGGATGGACAGGGGCTCCGAAGCTGGCGTTGCGGGGGCTAATCCCCCGGAAGGAGCAGTTGGGTGGGCACGGCCATGCACACCGGGGAACAGGTGCGGCTGCAGCCGGTTGGTAGCCAAAAGACGCCCTTAGGGCACACGTCGCCGTCTGGCCCCGACTCAACTGGCGACACGCTGGAGAACAGCGCCACACCGGGCGCCAAAAGTCGTGTAGGGGAGGATCCACTTCTAAGTGTACCATGCAGTTCGCAGTACACCCAAGGGTGGCCCAGCGCGGCAACCCGTCGAACGCCAGAAAGTTTCCAGTACTTCGCCCGAGGCGAACGCCTACAGAGCCGCCCGCCTGCGGCATCCGAAGCGTGTCAGTCTGCCTTGCTCTGACTCGTGAAGCTGGTCGCTCCTCAACAGGCATTGCCAGCTTTGCGTGATCTCTTGAGTCCGCTTCACGTAGTTCTCAGCAGACCGCACGAATACAATCTCATGCGATCTTGATCGACCATTCGCAGCTCATCGTATCGATCAGCAGCTCCCGTTTCAGGTCGTGCTTCGGCAGACTGCCAACAACCCGCATTGTGATGCTCCGCGATTGTTTGCCGTGATGAATGCTCTGAACCTGGCTCTAAGGGTGGGTTTTGCCGTAGCGGGAATCACAAGACCTTGTCCATCTTCTGTAGGCTCGATGATCCGCCACCAGTTTGCCCTCACCCGTCACACTGCACGTAAATGCCCGCGATCTGCTCGGCCCAGTTATGAGCGTGGCGACTAGTCAGCGTAGTCGCGAGCACACTTCGCACCCTTGCAGGACATCGGTATGTGACGGTAAATCTTTACTCTCGTAGAGCCTTGCATATGTTTGCCTTCACCGTGGCTACCTGGTCCGTGACGATCTTACACAAATATGCTCTCGCTGGTCCAGCCAAGTTAACTTCGCCCTCTCCGCGTATGTAGTCGCTCAACCAGTCATCCACGCATTCCTTAACCACGACGGCGATGGCGTCTCGCACCATCTCCTCTTGCAGCATGTCCTCTTGCAGCATGTCCCGAATCGTCCGTCTCACCAAATCCCCCAGCTCCTCCAGAAAGCATAGCATGTGCTTCTCGACCTCGTCAAGTTTCCCTTCCAGCTCGTCAACCTGTACATCGAAATTCTCCAGCTCGTCCTTGACCAGATCTTGTTGATGTTCCAAACCACCACAAATCTCTTCCACCTCGCTTTGACGTTTCGCACAGCTCGTATTCTGCTGTCGCAGTTCTTCGACTGTCTCTTGTAATAGCTTGATCTCATGCCGTAATTGGTGGTTTTCTTGTTCTTGCATCACCTGCCGGTTTTCTTGCTCAATAACCCGACGTGATAAGTCGTGCAGCAGCATGCAGCCGTCGACATCCGCATTTTCGAATTCGAGTCTCCTCTTTTTTGCATCAAGTCGTCGCACGTTGGTTGCTGAAGCCGAAGCAGATATCGCGACACATGAACCTAGCGAAGACACTCGTTTGGGACTTGGCTGCGGAGACCCGCCTTCATCCACCCATTGGCGCACGCGCTTGAGAGCCATCGGCGTGTCGCGAGCCTGTTCGATGTCACCATACTCCGGCGGCGGACACTCAATAACGGAGTTGTCGACGTTGGCCGTGTCAGCCAGGTTCGCCATGGGTTTCTTCCCATCGACGGAGCCCGCGTCATAATGCGGAGGAGAGTTCCGTTCACGCGGAACAACGTCGAAGCCCAATGTCGCGCACGAATCGGTCTCTTGTCGAGAGTTACTATCGTGGTCGTCGACGGCTAGATCACGATCGACGGCAGCGTCGTCATCATGGACGGCAAGCATCCTGCCACCGCCGCCACCGTACAGCCTCTGCAGTTGGACCGCTCGTTGATACGACAGAAACTCTTCTTTTGTTAACTCTGAACATCGCTGAACAGCTTCGACGCAAACGTCAAGCAATTTCCTGGATAGTCGATTGGCCGGAATGTATAAGGAGAATGACGGAGAGGCCGCGATCGATGCAACAGTGTCAAGGACATGTCGAGATGGGTCGTCGAGAGCCTCGTAATCGGGAAGTTTATGGGGTACAATGCGCTGTAGGTGGACGCCATTGCGCAAGACGAATCGAAGGTGAGTTAGGTCGCCCCTGCCGCCCTTGCGACCCAGCCGCCTGCGCAGTTCGTCAAGCTGAGGTAGGCCTCTATCCTTCAATTTGCAGGTCTTATAACGGAACGAATCGAGATCGTCAGATGCAATTTGCAGATATATGGGAATTTCGTTGTGTTCGCCACCCAGGATGGTAAAAGTGAGACGAAAACATGCTGTTTTTGATGAAAGGTACACGCTGGTGAACTTGACTGCCTGGTCTGCGAATTCATGCCGCTGTTCGCCTGGATTTTGGTACTCCAGAAAACCTTCGACTGGCGATAGTCGCTTGGCCATGCTGTACGATGTGCCGCGTTCGTTCGCGACAAGATTCCTAGGTATCCACGCACGGGAAGTAGCAGACGGGAGGCTGGGTACTTACTTGGTCACAGCATTACACTTCCTCGCCATTTGAGTTTGGAGTCCTTCACAAGTCGCCGTGGACAAGATAAGCTCCGACGTGGCCACGATCCAGCTCGAGGTGCGTTGGGGGCTCTTGGTCAAGTAGTAGGATGACCAGGGCCGCGGGTCACAGATCCAAGCCAGACGCTATACAAAGGCCATGGCTTGGATGGGTTCCGACAGGATCCCAGTCCTACTCGCGCAGAGAGTCAGGCAAGCATTCAAGAGCGGTCGAATGACCAGTACGTCGGAGACAGATTGATCGACCGACGTGAGCGTGTGCGTGTGGGACGGGAGTAGATAAGAAGACGTTGGCGAGGGTGAACAATAAAGTACGGTCGAGTGGGGAGTGTACGCGGGACATGCACAATATAAGGAAGAGGCAGAGACAGAAATTGGGGCTGAGGAGTGGGGATACGTAAGCTCGGCGGCTTGTTTTTCCCCTCGTGGGAACCAGTATCGTCAGACCAGTCCGATTCTGCCTGATTCGATTATCGGGCCCACATTGGATGGTGCGAGGGCGTTGAGTGGCTGGCCATCCCAATGAGCAGCAAAATAATCGGGCGTATCTGCGTTTTAAAATCATGCCATCAAGCCCCGCTGGCTCATATGATTGGGCATGTCTTCCACGCTTAATTTCCCGGATGCAAATCCTGTTGGTCTGCTGTGCACAGGCAGACGCCGGCGACTGATGTCCTGTCCTGTGCCGCAGTATGAATGGCGTAGCGCCCAAGCTGTCCCTGATCTTCTTCACCATGACCAGGCCATGTTGGGTAGCAGCAAACACGTGCGGCAACTCGGGCGTGGGCGGATCTCGTGCTCACGTCGTCTGCTCGGTTGGTACGCGCCTCGTGGTGAATTCTTCTACGGCCGAAGTTGCCTCCGGCGAACAACAGCGGGTTTCTAGTGCGCACTACTGAAGCTCTACCTCCCGATGGGCCAGGCGGTGGCAGCCGTGAGACTTTTGTACGCCGTGAGTGGATGTCATGGCAGCCAGACTAGACATAGGTTGCGATTCTACCAACTACCCGATTTCTTTCGCTTGCGTTACCGCTGATGAGGGTGGATGGCGGTATCACCTTCTGCCAGCAGGCATGGAGGATTCGCGCACTGCTGCTACGCGATTATCCAGCAAGCGAAGTTTGTAGCACGTTGTTGATAGGACCCTCTTGATAGATTCAGACGTGTCCGTGTTTCGGTCGGCGCCACGTATCGTACAAGAATTCACCACAGCCTATCATGCCGTGCGCGCCAAGATGCACGCGTTGGCGGCCACTCCTGAGGTGTGGTTTACAAGGCCGAATGACCTCCAAAGGGGCCTTGCCGCTGTCTACCGGGCGGCTATAGCCCGAGAGACCAATCCCGATCGGCTGGGTGGCTGGACATGGATATTCTGCTTCGCGGCATGACAGGCTCGAGCTCATCGAAAAGATTGCCCCGACCTGCAGGCGGTGTCTAGCGGGCACGATAGTCGCGACCACGTTTCGTGGGTGCTTCGCACAGTGCTGACCGTTATCCTTACGCCATATGTGTCAGTAGCGATGTTTTGTTCCCAGCCTCCGTTTTCGTCAGCGGGCACCCGGCGACTCTTCTGTACTGTACTGCATATTGCAGCATTCAGCGAGAAGGGCTTCATCCTGTCGACGGTTCTTGCATCTCTTTCCGCAAGGACATCAGAATTCTTGGCGCTCACTGTACATGTTCCAGTGCTGTATGTGCCGTTCGCCATCTAATTAAGTTGAAGTGCATCTAGCAACCATTGGAGGAAGGGCGTCGGCTTAGCAGAATCCACAAGACAGATGGCCGTTTCACACTGAATGGCCACAATGGCCATGGCCAGGTACTGACCCCAAAAAGGCCGTTCGGCAAAACTAGGCTCCCCTTGATGGAACCAATGTCAATGGAAGCTCTTAGCTGCAAGATCCAGAAAATGGTGCGGTCATTCTTCTGTGGATTATCTCGGGAAATGCAGACTTCGTGCCCTTCATGAAAGAACACAGTGACCTAAAAGGCAGACCCACGGTGAGGGCCTGCTTATGCTGCTTCTTTCCATGGTGCAAGTTTTGGCTTCTGATTACCATCAAGATACCCGTGGGTGAATCGATACATACTTACAGCAACGTGCAAAAAGCATGCCCTGTTCAATTAGACTCTGTTAAGTCTCTGAGCGCACGGACTTGTCTTGACAGTACGGAGCAATGGGATCTCGCAAAGGGTACTGGGGATCAGAACTGAATACTCTAGAAATGGCTTGCGCCAGGAACGGATGAACACCGTGGCTTCCTCGTTGGGTCATGGCTTTCGTATCCAAATCGGATACAGTAGAAATCAAAATCTGTTTCCTTCTCTGCGGGCAGAAATTGATCCGCGCACAGATGTTTGTGAATCCGTCTGCCAACAGAGCACACGACAATGCCCTGACGGTACCTGCTTGATGGCCCCCATAGTCGGAGTCAGGAATTGCATTTACGCTGTGTCCATGGAATAGAACCATGTTGTCCACAAACAGCGATGGCAAGTGTAGTCTCTATGTACAGTATGCAACATAGGTCGAAAAGAAAACCTCAGTAAAGAAGCGATTCTGGCCTTACTGTGGAGGTCATCGATGAATGGACTTGATCAGCATGTATCCTGTCAGCAAACGGGACCATATATGTCTGTGCACAGATCAATTTCTGCCCGCAAGGACGGAAGCCAAAATCGATATGTACTGTACTTATTGCATCTCCGGTGATTGTGCATCGCCTTCAAACCTCTAGGCCGTACAATCCTTCTATTTGCTCAGTACAATAGCTTCTTGGTGACGGCTCCCCATACAGTCTTTCCACCGAGGCACGACAGCCGCTTCAATCGGCGTGCAATCTATGGAAACTTGTAACCCGTGGTGAGACCCAGGCCCCGCTTCCCGCTTCTACTGTACTACTCCCAAGGCCACGAAACTATTCTCCGCGCGAACTTTTGCCTCGTTGGCTGAACGTAAACCCCGGCAGGGTCCAGTGAGGTCCCTGGTCTTCGCAGCAGGGCGCTACATGCCCACCAATCGGCCTGGGTCAGAGAAGCTACGCGGGAGCTTTCTCCAGTCCGTGTACTTGTACGCCCTGGCCACACGGCAGAATATTGGCGGTAGAAATTGTTCAGATTTCCCAACATTGTACCACGTGCTGGAGCTCGGCAAGGGTTTGCCAAGAACAGACGTGGCAGAGTATCGAAGCGGGGAATCCGAGGAAGCCCAGAAGATTAGATACGGGGGGTCGGTGAACCATAGCTAGTTCACCGACCTGGCAAATCTCATTACTAAGGTAGTTGGTCAAACACACTCCACCAGCGAGGTCCCTCGTGCCACTGCTGCGTCGCTGACCGGCACCGCCCGCACAAGGCAGGGGTTGCGTGACATGGCCTGGAGACACCTGAGTGTTCCGGAAAACATCCACTAGCTCACCGAGCAGCCGTGAGTGATGCTGGAAAGCACACTGTGTCAAGGTTGAAGTCAGCCAAGCCCACCCACCATTGCCAGCCCAGCCAGACGTCTCCGCTCAACAATTTTCCCGCTCTCTTCTTGAGGCAGCCAACGTCCATAAAATGCCTTGTTCCCTTGTGATCGCCAACGCATCTCGAGTCACCCTCCTCCACTGAAACGAGTTTGTTCGTTCTCGTCCGACTTCGAAATGTCGACCTACGCGGCCGAGGGCGAATGGGTCTATCCATCACTTGTTCACTGCCACTTGTTACTCGCTGCGGCAAATGACAATGTTCAAGCACTAGCACTCCTCGCCTGCCAGGGTTTGGGCCACACTTTAACCACAGAGAACGTACCAATACTCTGGGAAATCGACGTATCCATTGCAAACCCGGATGCTCCGAAGACAAGTTTCGCAGTCATGTCGTCGACTCCTGACGGACGTCGTTTTCTCAACTTTGCGGCCGCTTTAATCGCATTTGTCGAAAACGAAGACGGCGCGAAAGCGCTTGCGCTCTTGATGGCAGCATCGGTATCGGTTCCTGGACAGAGAGTGCCAAGCTCGGAACACCTGGAAACGATTCTCGAAGCTCTTGTCAAGTATCTGCCTCTGGAAAGGAACGAAGACCTTGCGTCACAGTACTCGGCAGCCGCGCGGCACCACTCAGATCCCGAGGCCGTTGACCTGGCTTCTTGGATCCAGGATTGGGTCGCGCGAAACCAGAACACTCACGAAATCGCCCAAGAAGACATACTTGCGCTTCGTCGTCAAATTAAGGCATTTCTAGATTGGTGCCCTAGACCCGAGGGAAAATCGCTGAACGACTCGGAATGTAGGGGAGGCAGTGGTGTATCCTGATAATCGGCTTTAGGCCCCAGTCATAGATAGCGCTGCTCTTTTATCATACGGGGTGCTACATTCTTGCGAACCCAATATCGTCGCTTTTGAGTGGAGGTGTTCTGAAGATCAAGCTGAAGGCTGGCGCTCGGTGGTCCGGCTCATCTTGGTGCTCGCGGTGGGTCAAGCCTGCATTCAAGCTGAGGTTATGCGCGCTCAAAGACATGATTGTGTCTCCTGCGACGGGATAGGTTGTAGTCAAGTCGCGCTCAGTTGAAAGAGTGCTTGACGTACGCCGTAGCCTCACCAAAACAAATTCAATCGATGTATTGCCAGTTGCGTTCAACCCCTTCTCGTACTATACACCAAGTTTTGATAGGTACACACCGAGTACATGACAAAGTGACTCTCTTGGCTCTTGGTTAATGCCTCAGTCCACTAAAGTCAATGCGGGGGCGCACTGCTTGCTGAAAGCTGATGCTGCTCATGTGTGACAGAAGCAAACAGCTCCACGGCCGTCTTGTCGGCGGATGTGGGCCCCGCTCGGTAAAAGCTAACGGTCGCTCTCGGGGAAGCTCGCTAATAGCCAAGGGGAACTGCTAGCTTCGCCGATATGGGACCTCAGAATGTGGGAGCCACGCTTGAAAAGGCGTCGTAAAAGATCACGTCCAAAAATGCTCCGGCCGGGTGCTCCGGCCGGGTGCTCCCGGAGCAGATGCTAGCTACATATGTGGCTGCATCCACGAAAAGGAAAGTATGGATTCCTCGCACCGCGGCCTTTCCACAACCTCGTCGCATAGTCTGGGCCTGGTCCAGATCGCACCCACTGGAGGGCAACTACGGTCGTTTGCTCACTCGAAGCTCGCAAGTTTGACGCTTACTATCGCAAACCCCAACCCAGTGCACGACCTATCATGGATCAAGAGCTGAGACATTCAGGCTCTACCATTCCCTCCTGTGGTTGGTTCATGATGTATCCTACAACGACTAATTCAATGCAGAGATATGAAAGCGAATGGGTGCCAGGTGTGGCCACCGCCACGTGTTGGGAGTTGCCTGATGTAAGATCTGCTAGTCGATGGGCCCTTGCGACAACCAACAGGGTGCTTGCCGCCTCTGACGGAACTGTTACTTGGAAATCTCGTACCTACATTCAATATTCATCTCCGTTTGCACCACTTCCACAGGTCCCCTTTAGATGAGCAGGGCGTCTTTCGAAGCCAGCTACAGTATCTGCAATACGTTCATCCGTGAAGGGATGACTTGCCGGCGCCCGCTTGCGGCCACCAATCACTAACCCAATCGAAACAACCACGTGGCAACATTGACATAGCACAGGGCTCTGGATATTGGCTAGCCTTAGGTGTTGCATGTGGCTACACGCCCAATTGGTACTGTCCCTGGCGCCGTTGTTGCAAGATAACGGCCGTTGACGCCAAGCATCATGGCTTGGTGCGTAACGAATGGGCTCTCGAAATGCCCCCCAAATTTTCCTAAGAGGCAAGATTGTTTCCATCAGGGGATCTAAGCATGCATAGCACTTCATGGTAAGTTATTCAAGTTGCCCGGAGCGCCATGGCCCGAAGACCGGGAGATGTTCCGAGTGATAACGTCAGTGCCCTTCAGTATAGGGGTGCCTGGCATACCTGCTCACAAAGACGGTAGAGATCGGGAAGAGAGCAGACCATCAAGATCGGCAAAACTATTATCCATCAACCCCTGTATTACCTACGGTCCCTCTGAGCACTCACTTTGTAACTGATTGACCTCGGGTCGCGCCATCTTGGTCCGATATTTTGGCACATAATCCATGCTAATCGTGAGTGCGCGAATTTGTGACAAACACAAGGCTCAATACTGACTGATCGCGCAGTGAGTGTCCTTGGCCATCCGGAAGCCGCAAAATCATCTCATTCAGTCCCTAGTAGCCTAACCGTACAAGGGTAGTTTGTTCTCGATATGGATGGCAACAGCAACCATCGTGCAGCTCTCTTCGCGTCTGCGTCCGCATCACCGGGAGTCGAAGAAACTCAGACCTCTAAGGTTACGTCCATGCCCCCGGCGGCCCGTGTAATATATGGAGACTTCATGGAAAAACTCGAGTCTCTAAAAACTGCCGTTTCCAGGAAGGGCGACGAAGATGACCTGGATGACGCTTTGAAGCTTGCAAAAGCGCTTGGACAAGTGACGGCATCCCTGATGTCCACCATCAAGCAAGAAGTATCCGCAGTATTTAGCGAGGAGGGCAGCGACACTGTTGCCGACCTTGACTGGCTGCAAGCTCAACGAAGTTAACCTGAGGCTATTGCCTAGGAAGGATGATTGGGTTCTTACTAATGCCCAGGGGAGGGTAGGTCTTAGTAAGGAATCTAGTAGTGGGAAATCGGCATAGCTGAGCGTGGGAAGGGGGATTTGACGAGGCTGTTTCTGGACGGAGAGCACAATCTTGGGAGGTGGCGAAAGGAGGCGCTTTCCCTTGAATAAGGCCTAGCAGTATTATGAGTAGGTTCTCATGGAGTTGGTCTTGAACGGTGGTCCTTGATTGATGTGCTCTTGTTGCCGTGCATTTGTGCTTCTTGACTGCACCTTTGCACCACCAGGATCTTTTCCCTGGAGAATTCGCCTTGTCACCGCCTGTGCACTGAATGCGCATAAGCCATTGCCTCCAGCTTCTCAGGGAAGGTTTTGCATGCACGGATCTCCGCTTGTGGGGATTCGGCACCATTTAAGATGTCATTGCCGAACTCGGCGACCGTGCTCGTCCTGCTTGCTGGACTGTCGACCCAAGCCTGATTCAAGAGCACTTCCCCTATGCTCGCCTGCAAGACCAATTGTCGACTAATAGAGGGCAGTGGAACTGAACCATTCTCTACCCCTCCACGTGGCTGCTTTGGTGCTCAAACAGCTTCCATGACTCGACGATTCCTGTCTTGCCCCCAAGCAAGGTCCAAACGGCGTCACTACAGGATGGGGCCGTATCAGCTAGTCCTAAATCTCGTTTGTTTCGTATCATGCTGCCTATCACATAGGCGCTCTCGAAGAAGCGAGACTCGTCTCCTCTCTTGTTCACCCTTTGTCTGTGCAAATACATTGTGTCACTCATTATAAGCTCAGATTGTGCAGAGCCGGAAGCAAGTCTGCCTCTGCTCTGGCGACTGCATGGCGACTGCATGGCGACTGCATGGCGACTGCATGGCGACTGCATGGCGACTGCATGGCGACTGCATGGCGACTGCATGGCGACTGCATGGTGACATATTCTCCGCCACGACTTTCCCCATGTTTGCTGAAAGGTCGCAGCTTACTCCGTCGGGGAAAGGCAAGCCAGGTTGGCCGCAAGCAAAGATTGACGACTCGCAAAGCCTGGGGCATACAGTACGTCACTGCCTCCTCGTACTAGGTCCTAGATCTCTCCCGATTAAACCCCGCGATCATCCGCCAATGACGCAAACTCAAAGAGCATCATCTACCCAATTCACCTCCATCCAGGCCCGCCAGCTTCTCTCGCCATATCCTGATGTTCCCGACGAAACGACAATTGTTGCCGACGCAGTCTTGACACTTGAACCAGGCATCCCCCGGCCGGTAGTTTCTGATCTGAACATGCGTTGTTCCAGAGAAGAGAAGCCCATCTCTCACACTCAGACCCTCCTCATTCAACAACTTCTTTTGAGTGAGACGAGGGAACCTGGTTGCGTCGGTGGTGCGTTCACCGAGCAGATCACCAAACCAACAGGAATATCTGTTACGGAGGTTTGGCTACACATATGTCATGACTGCCATTACTTGGTGATGGCAGATTCACTAGGAGCAAGCGTACTCCCACGCTGGGAAGCAACCAAAGGTACCAACATACGTACATAATTTATTACGTCCCGGCTTAGCTGGTCAGGACTCGCATGATTATCTACACATTCTCCATCTTTGTTGATATTCTTGCTCCCCGAAACCGTACAGGTCACAAAGGGATAACGCGTGACACCTTGTATGAAGAGGGTGCCACTTTTCGCAACTAAACTTGCGTACAGACAGACTGGTCTTGACTTGGTCTATCATGTAAAACCAAAACGCAACAAACAGCCCCTTCAGCTACTTGATTGGGGACTCCTCATTCCGTATCGATGCGCTTAATTATTGAATGCCTGGAAATATTGAACGATCTGGTTTCCACAGCAATCCATCCAGCCGTACCTACGGTTGCCAAGAATAACAATCCAGCCCACAGGCAGACGATAGTGGCAAACTGCCACGCCTGTGTCTCCATCAACCACAAAGCCGCTCCGACAATCAGCTGAACGAACGCACAATCTAGCAGAAAAATCGGGATCCATGCAATGATTCGGCCAGAGCTAGGAAAATCGCCAGAGCCACCAGATGCGAACGAGAGCATGACTGTGATAATTGCGATGAATGGCGTCGTGATCGCAGATGAAGATAAAAAGAAGCCCGCGAATGCAGCCGTGATCGATGTGTTTCCCGGAGGTGCTTTTGATAGCATGGTCATGGCGGTTACGCTGAGAGTGACGCATGCGAGTAAAATTGGGACGTATACGCCCCGCAGTTGTTGCATGATTGTGGTAGCTGCAGCATGTTAGTCCACTTCGACACTTTGCGTTTGTTCTTCTTCTGTGAAAAGGCGTGAACCTTGCATTTGTCTATGATGAAAGAATTTGTCTCCGCAGCGGAAAGCATCGCATAAGGAGCACGCGTTTTGCTCCGAGGACCCGAGGACGGCGGCTGCACATGTTATGGCGGCATAAATATCCGAACGTAGTGCAGGATCCGCCTCTGGCTAAGTTTGGAGCGACTCTTCCCCGCGCGTCAGCAGCTGAGGACGCCAAGCATCCACAATCTGCTTTCCGCGACCCAGTCAAAACTACAAGAACCGATTATTTCAGTGCGCGAAACGCCTCTTTGTGAGGTTTGGTGCAGGTTCTTGCCGTCGGAACAGTGACTGCCCGGTTGACGCCGCGATATGGAGAGTAATTAGGCCCCCACTGTCGGATCAGAAGCATAACATACCCGCGAGTCTGGTGGCCACGATGACCACTGGCGATGAGGACATCGACCGTTCGGCCGCCAGCCAGCAGTTCGTCGCAGGAAAAGTCCCAAATCAGCCCGCAGAAGTCAACTTAGATCAGCCGATCTCCGTCACTACCAGAGGCGTACGATTCGACTCTTGTCCCTGTGGCACTGTACGGACGTCGGCGCGGACCTTGTTCCCACTAAGGAAGACAAAACCTGCCGAACAGAGCCATAATGATCTGATTGCAAACTGTGTTGCAAGCAACATATGGACTTGATGTGGCGTGCGAGAGCGCGTGGAGAAGCGAGTTTTGGGACGTATTTGAAGGCGTACAAGCGTACTGTAGCCTTCAACGACAGCGTCTCTCTGCTCGCCGTGAGTCAGCAGCAACGTACAGTGCGACACGCTTTGTATTGGCTGATGATGGGAGAACTCAAGATAACTTTAGGGCAATTGAGCCAAGTACTAAGTGAACAACAGCAGGTGTTCCAGGTGATCATTTGTCATCTTAATTCGCCCAATAGACGCTACATACGATAACTACACGTAACGTTGTAATGCACAGTGTGCACAATATGTTCAAAAAAACAGTCTCAAATACTGCTCGCATCTTGCATCTCGGTTACAGTAGGAGTCCAAGGATCTGCAGTCACGGAATCATGACATCTGAGAAATGTCAGAAATACTCGGCATCGTGCGGGGTGCCTCGCGACTCACATCGAAGCCTGTAGTGTGACTTCGTTTTTGATCTCGTCTGATGTTGCAGACGCTACATAGCAGCACAAATAAGAGGAACAACGTGCCTGCCAGCCCTCCAATTATGCCCAGTTCGATCGGCGTCATCACACTTCTGTTATGGGTAGGGTAGCTTCTAGCGACAGCAGGTTGGACGTTTCCTGCAGGCGCAGTCATCTTTTGTACTCGAGTCGTCACCCACGGGAAGATCGAATCGGCGTTGGCTGGACTACATTGCACCCGAGACCGTAGCAAATTGCTTAGCAACACACGCTTATCCGTGCTTCTGACCTGCTCCTCCGGGCTCTCAAGTGCATACAGCACGAGAAGCTGGACGTGGCTGAGAGAATCCAAAAGCAGACAAGACCACAAACTTCTGGGATAGAGCAGATTCTGACTTTGATCGAGTAAAATAGTAATGTTGCACATTCCACAGATATAAAAGGCAACACAAATCCGAAGCAGGCGCATTCTAACTACTACTATCATCAAGTATCCGCCATGGCGTCTTCGCTCGTCAGGGTCCTGGGCCATCTGGGTGTGTTCTTCAGTGTCCTACGTCACGTCTCGGGAGAGCAGCATGCAGATCGGCTTGCGGAAAGGGAGACGTCTCTCCAACCGCGGGGGTTCCTCGGGTCATGCGTTGATTGGGGTACTGTCGAGAACAGAAGGAATGAGATGGCCGCGTTCTGCAGGACCACAACAGGCGACTGGACATGGTCGGTCCTTGACTTGAACCATTGCATGGTGAATGACGATGGGTCCTTAATGGCGCAAGACGAGTACGTCTTTTCAAGGGGCAATGCTAAGTCATGCTGACGCCTGCTAGGGGATATTTCTTCCGGTCTGCTGGTCCCTGTTTGTCTGATAACACGACGGTATCGTGGGCCAATTATAAATGCAGCACGCAAAACGACGATAGTGACGGGCGTCATGTTGATCACGGGATAGACCTTAGTAAGACGTACAAACTACATTGTCGTCGCACGCGACTGACATGCCTCAGATTTGGTGGTCGGCAATGACAACGGTACTCTGTTCTGTGGGCGCCAAGCCTACAAGGGGGTTGTACACAGCCAAGATCAAATCAGCTGGTCTGATATAGGAGCAATCAAGGTCAGCGACTAATGGTTGGGGCATCTGGAACGCCCCAAGAATTGTCCCGGCGATAGTACTATCGTCCAGGTCATGGTGGAGAGTTCGCTGTTCCGTGATCGTTGGAGAGTGTCGTGAGCCGTGTGAGGATGTAAGAACGGTGGTATGAAGGGCTCTTGGGACTGGATGAAGTTTGTACACAAGGATAAGCAAAGTAATACAGACATTACGCATCCCATGATTTGAGCTTGAATGACATGAAGAGAAGGCATGACGGGCAAAAGCCACGGTCCGGACTGGTGTAGAGATCGTGAAAGCCTGCTGGAAGACCCGTAGCTTCCTTCACGCATGTTTTGCCGGAAATTACTTGCGAGCATCTGGGTACATCGCGTTAGTAAACAGTCTCAATCTTGAAACCTCTTTCATTGTCGGCGATACGTCGGCGTCCAGTAGTGCAGCTGGCGGTATGTAGATTTGAAAAATAGGTCAATCAATGGAGTTGAACTTGAAGGTGCACTACTTCAATTGTTGTCGATGAGACGTCCGACTTCGAGCCTGCACTCGACCACCCGGAAAGTTCATAGAAGTTTAGGTCCTCCAACCCGGCATTTAGCGATGGCAAGTGCTGGCTGTTACATCTCCTTAATGCCTCAGTCCATCTGTAACGGCACGGTCAACGTTTTGGTCGCAGTGCTCTCTGGGTGTCGCCGCACGCCGGGTCGCGGATACCCTGCTCAATCTAGAAGAGGCAAATGCAACCAGCCAAGCAATACAGAACTCGACGGATCTAATGATGCGTTGGTCTGGCGAGCTCCCGCTCGATAGGTTGCCGTTCTGAGACGTTGGAATTTTGCCATTTTATTGGTTCAGCGCATCTGACGCGCTGACTCACTGACCATTTCCTCGACGGCCAATTACATCCATCGTCTACGCAGCAGCGTAAACCTCGTGTGAGATCCGAGACACACTGATGAGAGATGCCCTTTGCTAGGGCTCTACCACAAGCGGAGCTATACAGCAAGTTCCTACTGCAACAGCCGCGGGTACAATACGGGAAAGGCTGATCTCTACGAGCTATGAATGGCAGGGTCGAGGACCTTATATGGCGCCAAACAAGCGCCCAATGTGGATTGAGAAAAAAGTGGAGGCTTGCGATTGATCTTGAAAATGAGAAAAACTCTGGAATCAATTACATTTCGCTAATTACTTCGATGCTGCCTAGATGAATGGATGCTAGCAAGGTAGGCATAGGGTTCTAGGGCTTGATTCACACAACCCCAACCCCAACCCCCTGGACCACGCTCAACTCCCAGAGCCGTGAACACTTCCGTGACCCTTCGCCTGAATGTGCTTCGTGTGCCCAGATCGTAGGCTCCTGTCCAGCGATACTCTCTTGATCAAGAAACTCATCAGAAGCGCCAAACCCGATACGCCGACATACAGTCCGTAGACGCCTCGCAGGCCGTAGACGTACGCATCCACGATCTTGGATCGAAGCGCAGCATCGCCAGCCGTGCTCAACATGGCGTGAACAGCATGAGTACCTCCGTGTGTGCCTGCGGGTGCCATACCATCGGCCTCCAACTTGAGCAGCATGACGTTCTGAAATGTGGAACCGCCGACACCGACTCCGAGTGCCATGCCAAACTGCCGGAGAAAGGCGTACATCGCTGCGGCAATTGCTTCGTCGTCCTTGTTGTCACAGAGGGTTTGCGATGCCATGTTCTGTGCGTTCAGGATGCAGCCATGGCCGAGACCAAGAAGGACGAGCGTCGGCGCCCATACCTTCGTCGGCGTCTCGACGTCCCACAACATCATCAGCCCGGAGGCGATGGTAGCCAGAGTCCAACCAGCCCAGATCGGCCACTGATAGTTGTCGAACACCGTGACGAGTCGACCGGTGAGGATGGATGCCGGCACCAGCGTGAACATGACCGGGAAGAGCGCGACGCCGGTCTGGACCGGAGTAAACCCCTTGACTTCCATAAAGTACAGAGGCACGTAGTAGAGCTGCCCGTACATCTGCGATCGTGATCAGCATGTCATACTACGCGCTTGATGCTCTATCACTCCTACCACAAGGCCTTGGATGGCGCCGCAAGCATACGTCGCGATTGCGCTGGCGGTTTGGAAAAGTCGGCGTTGCAAGAACGGGGACACTGCGAAGCGTGACTCGTAGATCACAGTCAGCACCATGCCGACTGCCCCAAGCAACAAAGGTACGAGAGTGCCGGCGCTGCGCCAACTGTAGCGCAAGCCTCCCCAGGAGATAGCCACCAGCGACAAGGTGGCCGAGCCGATGAACAGAGCGTTTCCCATCCAGTCAACCTTCTTCAAGTTCTCGTACACCTTACCAGTCCGAGAACCAACGTTGACTAGCCAGGGCACAAGAGCAAGCCCTGCCACGCAGAATGGGAACATGATGTAGAAGACCCAGCGCCATGTTGTGTTCTGGGCAATGACGCCGCCCAGTATGGGGCCAACGCAGTTACCCAGCGCCCATGCTGCCTGGCTGGAGATGGATGACGGGGTCAGCGGAAGAGAAAACGAGTCCGGGAGGGGTTCCTCACACCAGGCCGTACCATGTAGGTCGAAGCGGCAGCGGGACAATGTCGGTGAAGATCAGCAGGCACAAGACGATAATGCCAGCACCGCCGACGCCTTGGAGAGACCGTCCAGCCAACATCAAGGCGATGGAGCGTGACATGCAGCACAAGGTCGTGCCTAGAGTAAAGAAAGCGACCGAGATGGTCAGGCATGCCGTCGACCAAACACGCGGCTCAGATCCGCAATGAATAACATTAGCACGGCGTTGGCTAGGAGGTACGCCGTTCCTATCCAAAAGCCGTCGTACGTGCTGAGCTCGAGGTCCGCAACGATAGCCTATGACTGTGAGCATGCGATGGATGGAAAAGCATTCGAGAGCATATCGAACCTGCAAAGAGGTCACAATGACGCAGGCGTCAAGGGCGACCATGAGCGACAACAAGGCGGCCGTCGCCATGATGGCCATGTGGCGTCGTGAAGGCTCCCATTTGTCTTGGCCTTGACTGATCTCTTCATCTCCTAGCTCGCCAGGATGAACGGTCTGCGGATTATGGACGAACGGAGGCATATTCAAAGACAAAAGTAGAGTAGTGTGAAAGAATTACGGGCGAAGAGTGACGAAAACTTATCACTGCGCAAATTTCCGGCTTTGGTTCAGAAGGGCTCTACCTTTATATAGCAAGAAGTGGTGTCAAGGCACCCACTCGGAAAGGGACATCGATGATCGTCGGCAAAGACGCTTCTGAAACCCCGACGTCAGGCCCGTCTACAAGGGATGGCTTGTGGCCATAGCGAGAAGTCAGACCAAAGTCTGTTTGCGTTGCGAACGAATGAGAAAAGCAGCTCCTAACCATGTAAACGGCAACATTTGGAGACCTCGACAGTGCCTCCAGAGCAAGTCTTCGACAGCAAGATATGGAGATAGGTTAGCCTGCGGAAATGTATAAGGCCCAACAGGAGATCTAGACAACTGACCGACGCTTCGTCACGCTATGTATCATCAACATGAACGATCATGAGATCTTCCGTCATCTTGCTACATACCCTTTCACCTCCGCAACATTGAAGATGTTGCAATGCGCTTTGCGGGTCATTCAGAAGCGTTACCCGCTCGCCTCTCTTCAAAATGCAGGGGAGGAAGTCTCAGAATACCCGCCGCAGGAAGCTTTCGAGCAAACAGAAGTGCCACTACATGTCACCGGCGAATGGATCAACTTGATGAAGATTGTGGCCGATTCCATCGACACCCCAGAACAAAGAGTGTCGTTGTCGTTGCGACTTTTCGCTAGAGGCGAGCAAGCAGAGGTCGATATGATTGCGGAGTATCTTCGCTTATTACGGCCGGCTTATCCGTCTTTCCACTTTAGTGATCCAGTAATCTTCACGTCTGACGATACAGAAATAGCTGCGAGGCTCTGCGGGACTCTTGACGCTACCACGCTCATCTCATGCAATTATGATGGGGCGTGGTTCGCGGCCGTTGCTTACGCAGATTGCGTGCAGCTATATGGAGCACAGGCCGAAAGCAGCTCGAAACTGGGGCAACAGGCCCAAACCTTGTTCCCTGGCCGTACGATCTGTTTCTCCGAGCCACTTGTCACGACGCCGGACAAGGACACCGGAGCATTGATGTTATTGAGCTTGCGAATGCTGGCCGGTGGAGGCGTGCCGACAATGTGTGCCGACGCCGCCTCCTTGGAAAATTTGCGAGCACGAATATGCATAGAGCTTTTGACCCAGAACCTGGATGCAAGGGACGCTGATGTTTCCGAGCGGCTTCAGCAAGTGCAACTAGAACACTCTGCCTTTTTCGACGAAGCGTTCATACACGAAGACAATTCGCCGTCGCCAGTCGGCTCCACTTTCACAGCTGACATGGGAAGTGGCATCGGTCCGTCTACGTTCGGTGTCTCTCCCTCGCCATCTCGGCTATTTTCGCCCGTCGGAGAAGGGCCTCCTTCAGCAGGAAGAGGTTCAAGCGAGACTCCTCATACGTCACCCAAATATCCGCACCGTCCAGCGTTGTCTTCGCGTGCGGTTGGTCCCTCTCCGAAGGTGACCAAACTACGTAGCGGCCTTGTTTTTGGCACGAGAATTCATGGAGTTTCACACTCAAAATCACCTCCCATGCCGCCCCCCATGCCAGAGGAATGCAGAGTCATTCTCGGTATGCTCAGCGGGGCCGTGGCCTTTTACCGGAGCTCTCGCCTGTCGGCTGGCAGTGATATGGTCTGCTATCAAGAGCGGCTCCAAGAGCGAGTTCTACCGCCGCTACATGGGTTTGCTGTTCTATGAGAAGATGGTCCGCCTCAGCAGCGATCAAGAGGTTGCCCTACGTCTGAAGACCAGCATCACCAAGCGCGAGCTCGGAGAGATGAGGCGTCACCAGTCGGACTTTCAGATCTGGCACGACATTTGTGATTTGCGCCGCGACTGGGGGCCGGGTCGATTTGTGCTTCTTTGTGCGCTGCCAGAGAGCTTCCAGGTAGGGCGAGGAAGCAGAACGGAGCAGCAAGTGCAGCTCAGAAGAGTCTGTAAACGGCTTAAAGATGACCGCGACCCCCTATCGGGATATCTGGACGCTGCTAAAGAGCTGTGTGCTGCTTTAGTTGGCGTAAAACTCCCATGCGAAAGATTGATGATCGATGATTACCACCTCAAGGCATACCAAGACATGTCGGAGCCGGAGTTTGCTGCTTACATGAGCCTCAGTCCCCGACCAGTCATACCGATATCAAGGTGGGGAGCCCATTAGTACACGCCATATGTTACCTGTAAGACGAGCCAGTAGTGGCGACGAAGGAAACGCGGGATGAGGCGTTCATGAAATCTAGCGTGATCTGCGTTTTGCATGTTCGGTAGCAAGCTTCCTGTGTACTATAGCTCAATTGATTTGTGCGTAGTCTATACGGGTCCAAGATGCGACATGCCATGAATTCCGGGTCCTTCATCTGTCCGTCCGTGTGTTCGGCTGCGTTTAGTGATATGGCGGCTTTCTGAACCGGCTCCACCTCGCCACACGAACAGTAAAGCAAGAAACGACTTTGACAGCATCGCAGTTCGTGCATTGGCACATCCAGAGAGCTCATTGGTGCTTTCTGTAGTTTTCGACGAAACTTACGCAGCAGGACTTCCGAATGTTGGCAGGTCCGCAGAAACCCACAAGCACCTGCGGCAAACACTCCTCACACATGAACATTCACAGACTACTCTGGGCCTCAGCTGCAGAGTGAACTAACATAGTTTTGGTGAGCTCGTACAGTATATATGCGCTCGTTATCTCCAAGTCATGCGGTTCGGCTTCCGTTACTCGTCATCCTTGTTCTTACACCCCTTCCTCTAGTGCCATGATTTCCAAGATCGTCATAGCCCTACATGTTGTCTTGACACTAGTCGTACTCGCAGTAACCGTCAGGACTCTACAGGATGAAGCGAATGAGAAGAAGGGAGTAGTGCAGGTTCTGGTGCGTAACTCATCACGCCGACAACGCGGGACTAACGGCAGCGAAGCTACATGAACAAGCAAAGCGCTTCGTTCAGGTTCCTGACTTGGTCGGGTCCATCGCCACGGCGGTGCAAAGTGCCGCAGCCGGCGTGGTCACTGCCGCGGTCGCATCAGGCGAGTCCTTGGTCGCCGCCAGTCTACCGTCTAGCATATCAGTGGGCACCAAATACGCGTGCGTGGCTTCAGAATGCGCCGCGATTCCTGGCCACGCCTTTCGTCTGATGCAAGACCTGGCCCCGTTTGTCCCTTCGTCCGAGGAGATCGAACAGCTGCAGAAGCTGGTAGATAAATGCCCTAACCTGGAGACCGTTTTGTTCGCCGGGCTCGGCTTGGTTTTGGTGTCGACTACACTGCTACTTGCCGGGCTCAAGTTCAGGCTGCTTCGCTTCGTATCGCTGGGGCTGGACGTTGTCGCCGCCGTCGTCTTCGCGGTGGTCACGGCCTATACGGTCTCTCTCTACAAGACATCTCAGGCTGTGGCAGGCCTGCTTGGAGTCGAAGCGAGCAAGGGAGACGTTTTTGGAGCATCTATCGCAGACTTGACCCTGTGTCTGATTATGACTGCGCTCGCTATCGCGCAGACTGTACTGTAGAAAAGGGATTGAGATGATCGGGGGTTCCGGCGGGTGATGTATGATTTCCCAGTCAAACAGGGCGCTTTTCGCATACAACATCATATAAGAGACGGCGGACAAGGGACGGAAGTAGCCTTCTTGAGCAGAGAGCAAAACAATCAGATTGCATCGACGGCTCAAAGCTCATTTGGACCAAGCTGAGTGCTTCGTATACATAACAGAATGGCCGCATTCCATTCCTGAATAAATTCATCAAATGTAATGTCGCCATCGTAGGACATGATCCCAGCGCCCCAGAAGATATCCTTAGGACCATCGTCCCGCGGCAATTCTCTACACGTCATCTCATCGTTCACAGCCCATTCTCAGGCGTCAGTACGATTATACATGGTCAGCATGAGCGTCCGTGGTGTTGTGTCCCTGAATATCACGATCGTCTTCGTGTCCGGACTGAGCGGGCTGGCGGGCAGACCACTTCATGATATCAGGCAGCTCATGCGCCTCAACACGGACTCTTGTCAGTCGGACGCACCGGATGATCCTCCTATGGTCATCAGCCAGCAGACGTTAGAGGAGACTCTGGCGCGCCTCGGAATCTCTCCTGAAAAGGTGCGATCTAACAGTCGGTCGAGAGGCGGGCTTACGGCTCTCGTCGGCTGCGATGCCGCAGGATCGGCCATGGAAAGTCCCCGCGATGGCAACCACGTCCCCGATCCGGTGTCCCCGAAGGCCACGACAGCCGGACTGCAACTTGTCATCGATCGCATTGCCTCGAGTATCCAGAGACTTGATCACCAGCTCCGTGTTCTGGGCGACGCACAAGAGCGATTGCGAAAGCTGGCGTTGTTGACGACAGAGGAGGTGGATTGGGATGATCCCGTCACACAAATTCGCTCGGAGGAAGCGCTCTTCGACTGTGAATCGGAGGTAGAGGAGGCGTAGATAGAAAGGTTGCTTGGCTACGATTACCACAGAGTTCACCGTACATTAGCCTTGAGGATTGAATCAAAAAGATGTGCGTGTGTGAGTATGCACCAGGGGAGCGCGCCTGCAGAGATATTCACAGAGGGTGAGCTTTTTGAAGCGTTCACGTGCCCAGAACAATGAGAAGAATCAACACCCTCCATCCTCCTCTATGCAGAACTGTCGTCCAGATGACTTGCGGAGTGGTGGCCACAGGGCTAGTCCTTGATCCGTTGCCGGACCTGTCTACGCCTTTACGAATAGTCTGACATGACGCGACCGTGATGGCATCAGATTAGATGGCCCAGCTAGAATGCCGGCGGCCTTCTGGGTGCTCGGTGGTCTTGAAGGGGCTCACGTCTGTATGTGTTTCATTCTACCGATCCATGATCACATAAGTTTGAGTCGTTGAACCAGAAGGATCCAACCTGACCCCGACTGGACACCACCGTCACCCTTGACGAGGAACACATCCGGGTCAGACGTCATCCTTGCCGATGGTCCAATCCGAGCGAAGACTTGAGACGACCTCGTCACTGGTAGCTGTGTCATTTTTTGATATCTCGTCTCAAGCCTCACTTCACAGCTTTTTGGGCAGCTATCGTATCGTCGTGGGAAAGGCAGGCGTGGATCTTGGTGAGCGCGCCTGTGTGCATTTGCCAGTGTTTGTCGAAAAAACACCAGTGCTTGTCGAGAAAGACTATTGTCTTGCTTGTGGGTCCCACGTCCGATCGAATCACCGCCGACAGGTGACAATCTTCTCAGTTCGACGATCGTTGATTGGTGAATGGGTGCTTTCTGAAATGTGGCTTGAGCACTCGAATTTGCGACGGGTAGGTAATGAGCGACCTCAGCTACAGTACGTCCCATTGGTCCCACATCTACTTGGTAGAGGTGACCTTGCTAGTGCAGTCGACCGATCTGACGCAAAATCGCCATACAACGGACAGCGGCAGCTCCAATGGGCCTCTTGCAGCGTTCCCGGCAAGCCAAGAGCGGCTGCAAAGTCTGGTTGCTGATGAGGGGCGAAAAAGCTATCGTCCACTATTCCGTCTCAAGCCCAGCCAAGTCCCCAAAGCGCAAGAACTGTCCACTGCGGACTGAAAAGTCGCAACGAGGTGGGCCTTGCTATTTCCACATTGCGCGCTAGGATACAAACGTCTCGCCCAGGAAAACACAATGACGTTGAGCGGGCGAGGCCTAGAGCGGCAATGAGCGGCGAGTCCAAAACGGAGCTTCTCTTGGCCTGTCCGAAAAGCTTCCCTAGTCCCTCTAAGCTGCACCTATGTCGCTTTTTGCTGTAGCCGGCCATCTCGAAGTTGTTTTTCGGCATCTTCAACGTCTTCTCGGGGGCTGGCTGAAGCCAATTTTGCGGTCGATGGCGAGTGTGTGAAGGGATGTGTTGCTTGAGGATTGAGGGTCAAATTGTTCCGTCGATGACTGGTCTGCGCACCTAGTGTCCCTCTCCGTCTTCATGACCCCCAGCAATCCACTCCTCGAGGGCAGCCATTTGGTGCTGAGTCGAACGACGTTGCAAAAGACGCTTCTGGCTCCTCGAACCACCGTGTTGTCCCCGCAAACTCCGAGGGCAAATGCTACCGCGCCGGCGATGCCCCGCCCATAATAGTCCCATTTCTCTGCACCGCAGCCCAGAAATCAAGGCGTCAGCCCAGATCTAGCCTCCCATTATTGCCGCGACCCGATCCGCCTCCGACCCGCGACCGGCCGCGTCTCGCACAAAGTGAACAGGGAGACAAAGCAACGTCCACGCCGATGCGGCTGTACGCGCTCCGCCTGCCGACTCTACCTCAGTTCCGATGTCAAATTCGATCGTGGAGCGTTGTTTCCCGCAACCGGCGGTCGCGACTTGACTAGGTCTGCTGCCGTGGCTGGTTCTCGAGAGCATCCCAAGCACAGCACCTAAAGTGCGATCATTCCCCTCCCACCCCATATTTTCACGATGCCTTCCGGCCCAAGTCCGACTGTGATGCCTCCATACATTGAGCTGACCCATGTGGCTCCTTTTTAGTCGGCGCTACTGACGGGCACGCGGGCACGGATGGTGGATGCCATCCCAGTCTTGTGCGGTATCCAAATCAGCTAGTCACACTGGGGGCTCTACGTAGGATCACCTCTGAAGACCGAACGTCGCGACGGGAACCATTTCGCGATCGCGCTATGGATATCCACATGTACAGCATGTCTTTTCGCTCGTTTCCATTTTTCTCCCGCATAATTCAATGTATTAGTCAAGCAGCTAGACGAGTCTTGCAACCATTATGGTCTAGAAACCCTCAAACATCCATTACCAGTTAGAAGAAAGACTAGCCAAATACAAAGTGTCAGACATATCAGCCGGCCGGCTGGTAATCAAGCTCCCGCAGCCACACATTGGTTCGGAGATACTGGCGCAAATCTTCTTCTCTGGAACTCGGAAAACAAAGGGTGGTTATCGTCCATCCGGAACCCGCCCGCAAGATCGTAAAGGACGTCCCGCGTTGCATTTGCAGCAGATACTGCGAAACCGGTCAGAAAGCATTCATCATCGAGAACACAGAGCGTACCGAGGACCAACATATCTCCCATGTTTCCAAGTGCGTCGGGCGATGTGCGGCCGAACAAGTTAGACGCTTCGCCCCATAGGCTCGCCGTTAGGTCAGGGCTGCCGACATAAAGCCGCGCTCTTGTGCCAAAATCCTTCACGCGAGTCGGCTCACCGTGTGATCGATTGCTGCCGCCGTGGAGATGCTTGTTGATCAGCCGCTCGGCGTCGGCCGCCCAGGACATGTGTCGGGGCGCACGCAGCAATCTGCTCGTCACTGGCACACTCTGGTAGCAGGGTCTGGAGACCGCCGACAGACATTCCTGTGTCTTTGTGTCCAAGAAGATGGAAATATCGAGGATCTGTTCATGACCAGTCAACCACGTCGATCAACAGGAAAGGCTAGGTCACGATGTACGTACGTAGCCGTTATCTAGCGTGTCGTCATTCAGTATGGGATTCAGGATAGACTCAGCCGCATGCACGATATCTGGTGTAGTCAGTCACAGAGACCGCCTCGTTCTAGCACGTCTTCCTCAACTCACCGAGGTTGGCTACCTGCCAGATAAGGTGGATCTGCCGCGTGCGACCTCTGCAGTGGTTGTATCCGTAGACCAGCTTCTTGAGGTACGGCGCCTGAGCTGCGATTCCATGACCCGTAGCCACCATGAGCACCGCCTCGTAGTCCCACACCGGCACGCTGACGCCGTGCGGGCCGGAAAGAAAGGTCAGCCGTGGCACGGCGCGCTCGTGGGAATACCGAACAAGACTGGAAGTGAACCCTCTGCACGGTTCGATAAAAAGATCGACGATGTCCTGTTCCGCCTCGGCCCACGAGGTCACGACGAAGGGGTGGCTCTCCAACAGGCGGACTCTCGGCATCCACACAAGCAAATACTGGCCCGCCTCGAAGGTAAGTGGCCTTGATAGCTGAATCGAGACGCGCACGGCCCCGGCATCATGATTGATGTAGGCTCTGCCAGACGTTCGTCCCATCGCCTTGTTACGGAACGCCATCAGGCTCATTTGTGAAAAGGTTATCAGCGCCGTCACAGCAAGATAGACGTACAGCCAAAGCCATGAGCGACCGGCCATCGACCGCAGATGGAACGCTAGCCCCACCGCTGCCAGACAAGCAAGCGCTTGGTGGGCTCTCAGACAAAGCTCGTAGATACGGCGTCGGAAAAAGGGGAGAAAGGTCATTGTTGCCGCTGCCACCATGGCGATGGATCCCTGCGAGAGTAAGCCGAAGAAACAAAACGTGCTCATGGAGATGAGTCGGCTACCGCAACCATGAGGAGCTCGCTGGCACCTTCAGAAACTTGGACCGAGAACTTGTCGTCTCCCATAGCGCTGAGGATGTGACCCGCAAGGAGAATTGTGGCGACACGACCCTGCCACCTGTGAAACACCGCGTAGTGCCGGAAAGGTACGGCGAGTATGTCTGCGGTGAAGTCCAAGCAGGGTCCAGAGAACAGGGGAAGCATGTTGAGGAGAGCCAGGTTCCCGGAGCGGGCGAGAAGGGTTGACGGTCGGAAAGTCAGGCAGAACACGTTCACGCCTAGGAGGAGGGTGGGAACGAGCAAGGAAATAGCGTTCCAAGGACCAAGCAGCGAGTGGCGATGAACGAGAAGCCGGTAGACTAGATACTTCTCCAAAAGATGAGCAAGTTTTTTCCGAGCCCGTACTGTGCGAGACAGGACGTTCAAGGAAGCAAGACCAACAATCATGCCCGCAAGACAGATTGCGTAGGAAGCAGTAACCCAGTCCATGAGCGCTTGTGACTAGGAGAGTGGAGGTCCGGGAGGAAAACCAATAGCGGTGATATATGGATAAGTACAGACGAATGATGAACACAGGAAAGGACCGAAGAATCGAAGGACTGAAGTACATAGTCCAGGGAACATTTGCAACGCTATGGAGCATATGAGTGACAGGCATAATTGGCCATCCGTCTTCAGCAGAGCAGGAAACAGCCGGAAGAAGATCATTTTGGCACTGGTGTTGCCCCGGCCCCACATAGATACTCTCGCGGGAAAACCGCAACGCGCGTCAAACTGACGAGACCGAGAAGACACTCGGTATCACGATGTCTTAGAAGCGGGTGCTGCAGGTCTTGGTTAGTTGTCTGGCTCTCTGGCGCGAACCTCAAGCGTAGCTGGCGATACGAACACTTTGCAACTCAGCGACGGACGACGCAGAATCGATCGCGACGAGGAAAGCAAACCCGTCCGAGTCGGGCGCCCAGCGACCGAGGTCGTCGATGCCTGGCGTTTCTTTGCAGTACTTTTGCATGAGGAGTTGAACGACACGGCTGAGAGCCGTGAGATGACGGCGGCTGTGGCCTCTGAGCGGTTGGCAGAGGTGCTGTTCGGCTACACGGTTTCTAACGTCAGATGCCGGAACCCTAAGCCTGTACTGATTGGGAGGTAGGTCAATTACCGATCTTCACCACTCCCGCGTCAGTCATCAGAACGTTCCCTCCATCGATCGAAGTGTGCTCCAAGCCTTCTCCCTCTAAATAGCTGAGACCGTCTACGACCTGGATTGGCGCGGGCGTCAGTCAGATCTTTGATGGCTCAATCGCATCCATCTAGCTCCATTCCTCTGCTTACCTGCCCGACTATGGCACCCAGCTGCGCTTCGTCGGGATATATCGGACATTTTGCCACATGTAATAGACTGATAGCCGTGGCCTCGAAGACGGCGTGGAAAGATGTGGACGTCATGTACGCCTCGATAAACTCGACAATGTTTGGATGGCGAAGCATTTTCAGGTTTTCCAGGATTTGTTTCGACTCCGTGCGGGCCAGTTCACTGATGTGGAACAGTTTTCGATGTCTTGACGCCACTATCAGAGTACCCCCGAGATCGTTGAGCTCGAATTGTGCCTGGTAGTGTTTCCAAGGTGAGCCCTTTTCGACGTGTGATGGGCGATCCGACATGTTGTCGTGTTTCGGGCTATGTAAACCTCTCTCCGGGACCGCGGCCAAAACGCGCTCCTTTTTTTGGTTCTCGGTCTGCTGTGGCAGGTGTCTATCATGTTTTTCTACTGTCGCATGAGCCGCAGGTCTGGCTCTAAGATTCGACGCAGCGGCATTTGAGGCGTTATAACCATTGGAAAAGATGGCGATCTGGGTCTTTCTGTTGGATTTCATCACGTTTGCTTCGATGTGTTCTACAAACGATCGGGCATCTTCGCAAGTATTTGATGGTGTATTAAGTATACCCATGGAGAGCAGATTTTGGCATTGCGCAACGTGCACGGGAACGGTCAAGCTCCGGAATGAGATGTGACTGCTTCACACAGTCGACAGCTGGTTTGGCTCCACGGCGCAGCTTGTAGCTTTGCCCTCAGCCATGTGGGCTGCACGAACAGTTGGCCCAAACGTCATCGCTCATCTGATGATCGCCTATGGTGACCAAGACAGGTGGGTTCAATACATACAGTATGCTAATTGTGCAAAGTCATTTCCAGGATTGAATGCAGGGTTTCGATGTAGGTAGAGCCAAGTTGGGCAGAGCTCAACACTGTGCCGCAGAGAAGACTGACAGAGATGTGGAATTCGGCTGAACGTGTATACAGTATTCCCGGCGAAGCCAATATCCATCGTGTTGTTCGACATCTGAGTGATTTCACATTTGAGTACGGCTAGAAACAGGGCTATACATGTGGTAAATGGCTGTACATCTGCTCTTGCCCGAAGGAAACATGAGACCAATCCTTGGATGAACTGGAAAAGGAAGCTAAAGAAGACCAGCTCCCTACAACGGCTTCCGAGCCAACATTCCGTCTTGCGACGTAGTCCATCTAGTAAATATTGGTAGACGCCGCACAAAACGCAAGATACAACCAGCCACCAGCCGGTGACGGTTGTAGTAGCTATCGACGTTGCAGACCATTGGCCCCCGTGCACAGTATAGATGTTGAGGATGGTAGACAGAAACCCGATGAGCGAGTTGACCAACGTCGGACTACAGCTTTGTGAGTGTCGACGCGCGCGGAACTTCGTCAAGCACGGCGTCCTACATTATGATATGTTGATGCACCCAGACGTAGTTCGCACGCCACTTGAACCACAGCCATGCCAGGCCGATGGATGCAACGCCCGAAAGCACAGAGGCAAGAGCAATCAGACAGTCGTTGACCCAGTATGACACCGTCTGCCCAACCTTGCCCATACTTTCGAGAACTTGCGACCTCTTCAGCGAGGCGAACGTGGAAGGAAACACGATGTAGCCTGCCAACAATAGCCACGAGAAGATCTTTGCCAGCAGAGACCACCACCAGTCTATCTCTTTGTCGTTTTCCAGCAACATCTGATCATATCTAGAGACGGCATAGGTCTTGAAATGCTCCTCGCTATCGTACGCGGGAGGGGTAGCGTCGTCGTCTTTCATGCCCGTCAACTACGGCACGTAATGCCGTGAGAGTGCTGAAGAACAGATCAAAGAAAAGGCGAGGCGAACGATAGAAGTAATAAGGAGCGAAATGAAGCTCCCTTGTTCAGAAGGAAAGGGGAGAGAGAAACGCACGGAGCCTTCATGTGATCCAAAGAAAGAAAGAGAAAAGAATTAAAAAAAGAAAGAAAAAAAAAAACAGAAAGGCGAGCGAAGCGCTTCAAGAGCTCACATGGACTCCGACCTATGCCGCCAGACTTTCTCTCCTACCCAGCCGTTCCAGTCTATCCGAAGTCCGCATAAATTCGGCTTCTTAAATTCGTTCATTGTCGGGTCTTGATGTAGGTGATGCCTCCTCGCAAGTTGGCAACGGCACAGACCGTCGAATCAAACTGCTTTGACGGCCTAGAATGCGGTGCAATTCGCCAGATAGTTTGCTCTTCCCTGCTGGATCCGCAACCGGGCCTTCGTTAGCAGCTCCTCCAGCTGGTCGATCAACTCAACGATGCCATGTACGAGACCGACGATGACCCGCCACAGCTGCCGTGCCGCCCTGAGCTTGCGATAGAGTGCATTGTTCTCCTGCTGCAAGATGTCGGAGACCATATCGTGCTGCTCATCGGCCTGTTTCGTAAGCCTTAACAGCAGATCATCAAGCCCGAAGGTGTCGGAATAGACGCTTGACGTGCGACGAGGTTCCATCATTGTTGTGGCACCTTTCTGGTTTGGTGACGATCTGATTAAGTACTTTGGGGGCGTCCACATTTAGCTTCAGGGCTGCCAGCATTAAGTAGGCTCAGTTGCCATACTCGTGGATATGGAAAGTTCTTTTGCGATTCGATCGCAAAAACCCTACGGCTGCTGCGGTGCGGCTGCTGTGCTGGCAAAACGCAGATTCATCGCTGTTCGAGGGATGCTTCCCAGCTCCAGTCGCCGTCGGCTATTCACACCGTCACTATTCACCAATCACCCGTCTTCGCCCGATTGGCGGACATGTCGTCAGACACCCACCGATTTGAACTGTTCTGTCGGCGGCCTGCTTCCCTACGACTCGTCGCCGGCGTGGCTGAGCGCATCCTTTCAAGAGTCCTGCCCATCGGTAGCGACATATGGAACATCTCCTCAGATTTGGCGGTCTTCCTACGCCGTCTGCTGCTACGGGCTGATATCAGTGGTGCGGTACTCTGTGGTAGTCTCATCTACCTGGAGCGGGGCCTCCAGCGGCCACAGAACTCTCCAATGACGGAGGCGGATCGGCATTTACGCGTCCTGTCGGCCGTCATTCTGGCTCGGAAATATCTAGAAGATGTCACGTACAGAACGTCATTCTGGACCAGCCTCGCGGCCGAAGCATGCTCATTTCATTTTGCAACCGGTGATATCAATGTCGCGGAAAGCAAACTTCTGACGGATATAGCTTGGGACTTGAGTATAGATTACCGGGAGATGCACAGAATGGTAAAGCAGATCCGTGGCTCGAATACTACCCCAGCGCTATTGAGCCACGAGCCCATCTCTACCCAATTCTAGAAGCAGGAGTGACAGCGTGTGACTTGGCTGAACTGAATGCGTCGGGATGTAGAAATCAACTTTACCATCCATGATTCAAGCTGGCTTTTGGCTTATCAATTTGGGTTTCGTCCATAACATCGATGATTCCCTATTGAGTTCCCCCTTCAACATCCACAGGCGAAATGCCGGATGGTCAAGATACGTTAGCGAAATGAAACTTTTCCGTCAAAACGCCCGGTAGATGTTGCAATCACAACGAACGCGGGACCTGCAAAATGATCGTCGTCGAGCAAGAAGACGAAACGACCATATGCTCGGACAGTCCGAAGCGACGAACTAGAAGACAAGTTTCAATTCCTGCTTTTGAGAAGCACCGTGGGCTTCTCCAACGGCGGGAATTGGTCTTTGTGTACCGTACCCTTCCGACGGGAGCAATCAGCTCCCAATGCGCCAGAAACACAGCTTCATTTTTGAGAGCCCGTCTCAGCTGCAACGACGGGGATGTGATTCCCAATGCAGTGTTCAGCCCCTGTTGGAAGGGTCAAAAGCGGTGCAACGGTTTCCACTGCTACAGCCAGAGTTGCGCTGGTCGTCAAAAAAAGAAGTGGATGAGAAAGATACATTATTAACCCCGAGGCACTAGCGCCAGATTCAGCGCAGCGCCAGATCTGGTCGTAGCCAAGAAAAGCCTCAGACGATGAAGGCGGACCCGTCTGAGAAGGTGGAGTGGACGATCACATCAAAAAGATGCTCTACTGGATGGTCCCGCCAGATGTTGGCCGCACCCACTTACGCCCGGGCCGGAAGCCGCCTGCGGAGCCACTTCCGTCTCCTGCTGCTCTGCAACCGACAGTCCAGATCCAGCACCCCGGTCACTCTACATTTTCCTCGCCCCGTCTGGACCTGGTCTAGACCCCGCCCGCCAAAAGGCAACCGCCGGCCGTTTGTTCATCTGGAAGCCGCAAGTATAATGTTTTCCGCCAGCCCCTGCCACAACGCTCACTAAGCGATGGTCCAAGATGCAAGAATAATTGTTTTCCCAAATGCTACAGTATATTGTACTGTACGGTCTGCGTTCAATGGCAGCTAGTTGCCGCAGGAGTTCTGGTGAGCCTGTTGCCGCCTACCGCGGCAGATCCCGCACCGAATCCCTAATGAATCTCAACTTTCGTTGGATGGCATAGCTGCACGATATTGCCCATGTCAGAAGCCGCGCCCGATATTCCAATCAGACAGTCGTGTGCTCCATGTCTCAATGTGAAATGATGGGAGACATCCACCATAACCTCTAGTGACCATCTGAATGAATCCTCCGCCGATGCATCGAGTGCCGGCACAGTGGCTTCTTGAATCCTCTAGTAAGACATAGTGATTGATACCAATCTTGCCTGAGCACGGCCACATGGCGGGTGGATGATCCGGTCGTGACATCGCACGCGCGCACCATTTGCCGTCGCAACTTCCTGGCCAACGGGTATAGAATATCTCGGATTGGTCTTTCCATGCCCCATCGTTTGAATGAACCCTCACGAGGTGCACTCTATGCCAGTGACTGGAAGAGGCGGGGCGAATCGGGCATATTTTTGTTGCTGGATTCCCCTTGTGGACGTATGCGCCTGATGCGCATCACGTAGTTGGTGTCTGGCTGACTGTCTTCTGGCATGTAGTCTCCAACTTGTAAGTATGTCGTGAACGACATGGCACGCGCTCGGCTGATGTGAATTGACTGCATGAACATGGAGGCTCTGGTACACTCGACCCTCTCAACCAGCTCTTCGCAGGTGCGCAGCCGGCAGCTCTTTCTCACGTAGACACAGAAGCTCGAGCGCGTTGTCCACGACGCCGCTCAAAGGCTATGCGACGAGTTCCTAACCCATTGCGGATGTGGTCAATTCGATATTCCCACGGGATACGGCAGCTACAGGCCTTGAGTCACCAATGAGCACTGCTTCGGAGAAACCCCGTCTTTTTCTGTCAGCCCGGTTCGCCGATGTTAGCGATGGGTGATTTTGCCAAAGAGGGCTTGGCAAGCCATTGACAGAGACGCATATAACACTAGTGTGCAGACGGGCCAAAGCACAGGGGTTTTGTCAATGCTGTCACCCGACTTGCCAACCGAGCAGAAAACAGACGCGCGACCGTATGTTGAGGCAGACGCATCCCTCGCTGCTGTGACCGAGACGATAGCGACGGTGCTCGATCTTGTGAACGTACTACATGCTGAAGAGTACGGCTATCCTGGCGGAGATGACGCCATATTCTTTGCTGGCGAGACATCTGGAAGCGTTGCAAGATTGATTGATTTGCGAACGACTGCACCTCAGCTTTCGCCTTGAACGTTCCTTCTCGCTGCCCTATGAATTTTCTCGGGCAACTTCTTGCGTATGTCGTCCCTACTCAAGCCTAGGAACTCCGGACGAAAGAGTATCTCCTCGTGTTTGATAGAGCCACCGTCGTCCTGTGCCGAGCAGGACCAGTAACGCAGCTGCCCGCTTGTATTGAGGCACCCGTACACAGCTTGCCGCTGAGCGCCCGAAGATGCTAGCCAGCCAACCTTTACGTACCGTAGACGCATAGGCCTTCTAGTCGGTACTCTATGTGACGATTTTCGTTGCGCTCTGTGCTTTTTGGGCGCTTGTCGTGAGGATTGCTTTTTGTCGTTCGGTTGTAGTCGGGGGTGTTGGTGCTGTTCGGGCCGAGCTGCTGCTTTCGGGACTATGAACTTGTAAGCGCCTGTTCACTATGCGTACACAACACGTACCTGGCCTTGAACATAAGAAGATCACGTCGTCGTTAGAGTCGTGGCCCAGTGGTGATGTCCTCGTCGTTGTGAGTGCCGCGGCTCCTGGCACTGCGTCTGTGGTAGATTCTGGTATGCTCCACGTACTAGGCCTCGAGCCTAGATATATCACATCGTGGTGATGGTTCCCATTTGAGCTCAACGCCGTCGTCCTCGTTTCCGATACCATATCCAACGACCAAGTGTCTGTAGTCCATGCTGAAATGACGTTGCAAAGGAGCGCGCCACTCACGGCTGGTGCTTTCGTTGGGATGGTCAGAGAAGCTCGGACCACGTCAGCCATCCACTGCTGGATCAATCTGGCGGGCGGGATCAAAGTCTCCCTGCCTCCATGCGGTCTGTTTTTGCGGCAATCCGTCAGTCTGGGACACCTTCACTTCACGCTGTTTCTGGGCGCACGACTACCCATAGAGCATCCATGTAATTGGCCCAAAGTCAATGACTATATTGCTTGAAAGTTCGAGCAAAGGATCAGCGTGACGGAGTGCCATATTCGCACTGCGCAGGCGAAGCGCAGCGGCACGGACTCGCCTGCAGTGATGCTGCGTTTAAAGAGAAGCCTTAGCCCCAAAAAATCATTCTTCTTAGCTACGCTACGCATATCAATTCAGAGCTACCGTCATGCGTCTCTCTTCTATCAAGGGCACACCCTACCGCTTGAATCTCGGCTGCTTACGGCTTGCGCCCTTGTCCTCGTCGTCGTCATCGTCCCGTCGCCGTTTCTTACGATGATCAGAGGTGCCGAAGCACTGCTCGAGCTTTTGGCTCCGCACCAGCTGCTGCACGGTAAACGGCGAGCCGCTGATGCCGCGACCCTCATCGGCGGTCTCCCATAGGCAAACGGCGAGCGCGGTCTCCATGGCGAGCGACTTGCAGTGCGACGCGCGAAACTTCACGTCCAGACGGAATTGACCATCCGGGAAGGCCGCCGGGTATGACGCAAAATCACAAGCTACTTTACGGCCGCCGACGCGGAAATACGCCTTGCCGCTCGCGAGCTGCCGCATCAACGCCGTCAGGCTCTCGGAGCGAGCGCGCAGCCGGCAACAAATCTGTCCGCGGCAGTCGTACCCCCCATCGGAGAACAGGTACGGCCGTGAAGCACGCAGCTCAAAGATGAACAGCTCTGCCCTCGCGCACAATCTCAGACGTCTCAGGGCGGGGAGGCCTTCAAAGGTGCACCCATCATCTTCTTCGTCGTCGAAGCTGGACAGGCTGTCCAAAGGTGGCTCGGAGCCGTCGAACTCGACATCGAAGCGGAAGAACTCACCGGATCGACCCACCTTCTTCTGTGCGACGACCCGCTGCCAGTCGTTCTTGTCGCGGTTCCGGAACGCTCGCGCCAGGCGGAAGAAAAAATCCCGCCACCCGCCGCTGGGCGAGCTCGAAGAGCCAGTGCCCATCGAGGCTAGAAGGCTTGGGTGTGGCGCTTCAGGGAAAAGGGAGGCCACCTCTTGCAGCGCGATCGAGGACGGGTTGTTGGCCACTAAGCCGCCGTCCTGGAAGGTGCCGAGGCCTTCAATAGACCAAGGCGTGAAATAGCTATGGCATTGTTAGCGGCGTTTCGCAGCACCCGGCTGTAGTCATTGTTTGCGCCATCCAATTGTAGGATGGCGAAAAGAGAGCGAGACGTAAGAAGAGGAAGGGAAAAAGAAAAGAAGAAGGAGAAAAAGAGAAAGACGAAAAGGACAAAATGGGGGAGAGAGAGAAAAACAAAAACAAAAAGAAATCAAGAAGGGCTGGCACGGACTACGGAGCAGCGGTTGCACATCGGACACTGCAAACCGGATTAGCCATCTAGTCACCGGAAGCCACAGGCCTCACATAGAATCACGCGGGAAACCACAAACATCTCCCACAAAGCCACGCGGCCCCCATCGGCGGTTGCCTTCAAGAGTTCATAATCTATACAGTTCATCAGCATCGGCTCGCGCGCTTCGAATGGCCTCGACGGGGACGGAGACAGGGACGGAGACAGGGACGGAGACGGGGAGGCTACCGCGATCGCCGGCCCGCTGGCCCACTCCGTTGTAGCTGGTGAAGATGCAGGCGCTTGCGTCTTGACCGTCATGCCAACCATGGCACCCATCGTGTCGGCCGCCGAGTAGTCGGCGATGCTTGCCGGAGCCGAACATGTCTCGCAGAGCCTTCTCGATGTGCTGCGACGGGTACCTGCTGTCGAATAGAAGCAAGGCTGCGGCACGCACGACTGTGGCAAAAAAGGGGATCCGCATCATCAGTCGTATGAGAGGGCCTATGATGGGAACAGACGGGACCCGGCGAGGCGTGAACGCGTGGTTCGAAAGGGACTCGAAGCGGGCGATGCACTCATCCACCGTCCACCCGTTGATGCAGAGGGCGCCAGCGCTGATGGCACCTGTCGCGATCGGTCAGCCAGGGGAGTCGCCCCCATCTGCACCTGCAACAACGACAGCATCCCGCGACATACCTGAGCTCGTCCCGAAGACGACGTCAAAGTTCTGCTGTACCGGATGGCCGGGCAGCCCGATGTCGTCTTCGAGCTGCTTCAACACCTTGAGGGGGTACTTGCCCCGCGTCCCGCCGCCGTCGATACACAAGACCCGAACCGACGCGGTGTCCGGCTTCACACGTATCTGCATGTCAATGTTTTGTCCGCAGAGGATACACTCGGCCACTTCGATGAGCCACGGGTCGGCCGCACTTGCGACGCCAAATACCTCGACACAGTTCAGACAGTGACCGTGGCCGCACGCGGGGAAGACCTGCGGAGCGCGCCGCAGACAAAGGTAGCATGTGCTGTTGGACCGAAGCTGCACCCAGTCCTCCGCGAAGGCGGCGACAAGCTGTCGATGCAGCGACGCTGAGGCTTGGCCCGTCGTCAGCTGCCGGAACATACGGGCCATCTGCCCCTCGACCATCTTGGCGAACTGAGACGGCAGGAGGAAGTCGGTGGACCCTTCGTGCGCGAGGACGGCGGTGCCGCACACGTTGTGGCACACGTCCTTGTAGAACATCTGGAAGACGTCGCGCGGATCGAAGACTGCGGGCCGTCAGTGAGGACAAAAGGTGACGCATGCTCGCGAACGTACGGTGCATGTCCGGAGGGTACTGGTCCAGTATGAAGCTGGAGGCGATGACAGGCACGGCGAATCTCTTCAGGTCGTCGACGGAGTCGCAGTGCGTGAGGAACCCTGCGAGGTGCGCCGGCAGATCGGCCGCCACCGGGTTATCGAGCCGGGAGACGGCGAGGAAGTCGAGGGGCGGCGCGCCGGCACCGCCGGCGTGCTCTGTGGCGTGGCGGAGAAGGCCGGCGAGGTGGGTGGCCGAGAAGAGGCAGCTGGCGAGCACGCGCTCGACCCGTTTCGTCTCCGTCATGTAGGACAGCTCATTGCTGAGTATGTCCCAACGCAGGGAATCGAGGCGGCGTCGGAGAGACTTAGGTGTCTTGTCGGCCAGGCTGATGACGCGGACGCCGTGGAATCGTTCGGACACGTGGGCGTTTGTCCTCTGGCGGATTGACTGTAGCAGGCGACTTCGTGCGGAATCCTCCTCGTCGCCGTTCACGACGACCACTAACCAGGGCCGCACCGACGATGTGGACGGCGTACTCAGGTCCAGCCACGACGCAAGACGTTGGGCAACGACCTCTACGCCGCCAATATCGTCGGCAAAGAAACACACAGCATCAGCAAACGGGAGAAGCATGCGATTGTAGATATGATCGCCAGCCTCTACCGTCGTGAGCGGCATCGCGGACATCGTCGCGGACGATGCTGTGGACGGCATGGTGGACGTGGTGTTTCCACCGTGAGAGATCGTACGACTTCATGGCAGAGCGTGGATTTCCTCGGCCTCCCGAGCCGCTTATGGGGCGGAACGTCGGCATCGGCAATCAGCGTCGGCCTTGCGCCGGACGCGCCGACAGGAGCCTTGTTAAGATGGATCTCGCCGTGGCCCCGGGTCGTGTTGGGCCTGGTGATGTCCACACCGAGTCTTTGCAGGGCAACCCGCTTGGCCGCGTTTCCAATCAGCACGAGGATACTCGGGTACTGGCTATCCGGGCGTGGCAGACTGTCCAGCAGTCTCTGGGCACGATCCGAGCCTTCGACGACGTACGCCTGGTCTTTGGTGGCCACGCGCAGCCAGCCAGTGTGTTTACAACGGGTCATGTTGCGCACTGGATGAGGGTCGTCAGCTGCACCGGGCAGACGAGGCGCGTGTCTGTCTTATAGGCAGTGCAGAAAGCAACTCGGAAGCCAAAATGGGCTGGGTAGATGGACTTTGGGCCCGACGACCTGGATGAATCTGTAATCGTCCGCGATCCAATCGCCAATGCTCTGAAGCCATTTGCGTCCCAAACTTCATTCAAAGTCAAGTGGAGGTCCATCCGGCTTCGCAAGCGAGCGTTCCAACACACATGAAGAGCGGGAAGATTGAATTGGCGCATGCATTCTCTGGCATGACAGCACATATCGCATGTATCCTACAGTATTCACTGTCTGTGTTCCTATCTCTCCGCCGTTCGGACAGTGGCCCATCCATACCCCGTGCTATAATGTACTTCTAATGTGCCAAGACCAGATTCAACAGTCAGACCTCCCATTGCACGCACGTTTCCGACGGCGGACTAGAACCCACCCCCATGCTCGTCCACATGGGAGCAAACGCTGTCGGGGCGCATAATGGCACCATTTCATTCACGTCTGTCCAACAAAAGTTTGGTCGGCCACAGAGGCAGCTGCAGTAGGGCCAGTGGACGTAGCGCCCACTATCCAGGTTCCAGGCCCATAGCGGATCATGCAGCTGCTCCAAGCCATCTTGCGTCGAAGTAATCGGCACCGGCGTTGGATAATCGGTAGAGGTTCCGCTTTCAGGCTGGCTGCTCTCGGGCGACGTGAAGCCGCCGTCAAATGACCAAAACCTATCGTCGCCGCAATCACTTCCAGACACATTTTTGTTCGAGTGATCCTGCAGAGTGAGTGCGCAAGGCGGAGGAGGCGATGCTACGCTGATCTTCCATTGGTATAATCCCTCTGCCTTTTTCCTGCGACTCGCTCGTCGATCCGATCGGGGCTTACGCGTTGGTTGGAACTCCGTCAACCCTGCCTCCGCGAGCTGCCAGAGGGAGCCTTTACGTTCCACTCGTTGGAAGGCCTGTGCAACACAGATTACGACTTAGCAGGGAAAACTAGACCGTCACAACGCTGGCGCAACTCGCTAGCGTACCTTGTTTACGCTCAGGTTCGAACGAACGCTGTTTTTCCATCCTTCGCCTCCCTTGTGGGCTCTCCTGGTGTTTTGCTCAAACCAGTGGTAGAGTTCGCCTAGTCCCATCGCCTTTTTTTCTGTGCTGTGGAGTGCGATGTAGATGAGTTGCGCGTACGTCATCTTCTGCTCGCCTTCGTCCAACCGCGTGTCAGCGGTCGGCGATGATCCGATGGCGGTGTCAGGAAGGCGTGAGAAAGCCGGATCCACGCTGAAGCTGTGTTGCGGCGTGCCATTTTGTGCTGGCACTGGTTGCGGCTGGGATTGCCGGCCACTCTGGCCTGCGCTCTCGTCCTCATGAGATGTACGGTTGTGTGGTGGTCGAGGGGATGGAGGAGACATGCATTCTGAAGGAAAGAGGGACGTGCGAACCGGGTCCATTGGATCGAGTTGTTTGCTGCTTGACGATGGGCAAGCCCTGCATTCAGATCAAACAGTCGAAGCGTTCAGCTACAGTCGGCACGCCAGTGAGTCCAACAAATTCACTTGTTCGACAAACGTTCGACAAACGCTCTCATTTCGCGCTCTTATTCGTAAGCCATGGCTTGGTGTTTTTCCCAATTGCAGTCTCCCAGTCGTCGGTGGCATGGTATCCAGCGCCAGAATGAGTTTCCCCCAAAAGATGGACGCACTTTCTTCGCCGTGTACATACCTACTGCGGATCAGTTGCTGTCAGAGACCCATAAGCAAGAAACCACGACCTGCTACCGATTTGCACCGCTGCACAGCGCTATGTTCTGCTCCGTCGGCAGTGGGATCCAGGAGTGTATCCCGCCGCCAAAGACCTGCCCTTACGAGAGCGTTTGGGAGCCATCCGTGCTGAAAAGCCGAATATGGATGTCGTTGTATGGGGCTCGCGGAGTACGCCGCAGCCAGTGGCCGATCGTTGCTTCTACGCTGGTATTGGATGCGTGCTGGAGAAACCCACCCCCTTCCCGGGACCAAGACCGGGCCTCGGCGGGCTCGACTCCCACAAAGCAGCAGGGGCCCATTCGACTTCCCTACCGACGGCACTCAGAAAGAACGGCCACCGTCGTACCGGTAGGCGGGGCCCATTCGACTTCCCTACCGACGGCACTCAGAAAGAACGGCCACCGTCGTACCGGTAGGCGAACGGCCAAAAACGGCTGCGGCTCCAAGCATCTGGACCGGCTAGGCGCAACGCGGGACGGACTCCGCGCACATTGCTGCGGGAACATGGCGGGCTTTGGGGTTCGTCAGCCACCATTCATCCCATCACACGGCATGCAAGGTACGATCTCAATCTCGACCGCCCACAGGGCTAGCGTCATGGCGCCTGAGGAGCACTGACATTCGCTAGCATCGGGTCGTCTTCAACTTCCCTTATCACTCATTTGCTGTCTGTCGCTGGTTTGGTGCCAGAATTGAATTGCGGTAAAGAGATCGCCTGGCGAGCCACTCACGAGCAGGGAAGTGGGGCTGCAGCTCTACGTAATTAGAGACGGGCGAAACTCAGGTGTTCACTGCACCAGAAAGGCCCCAAAAAGAACCGCCCACCAAAAGGCCCAGAGGTTTGCACGAAGAAAACATCATCACGACAAGGCTCGGCGGCAATACGGCCTGGAAAACTGCAGCTGGAGCATTGGCAGACTTTTCGATGTATCCTTTGGGACATGCACTATGGCTTCCATCTCTACAAGGAAATACCGTATTCGATTCATGTACTAAACTCATCGCTGTGTGAACTACCTCATGACTCGTTGCGCCGCCTTTCGAGTAGCCAGACACCCGTCAAACTCCAACGCCAATAACAATGTTGCCGTGTACTTCGCCTTTGCGTCGCTCCTTTCACGGAAACTTGCAGCAACATGCCTCAGCAATAACCCCTCATCATGGCTCATCATGGCTCATCATAGCTTCTCATAGCTCATCATAGATTCCTGAAAGATACTGTCCCACTCTCCCCTTTCTCATGACTTGCTGCTATGTGTTGTTGCTACGCCCAGAATAGGCAGGCGGTGGGAAGGGCGGAGGACTGCCGATCGACCTCCACCGTGGTCGTCACAAGCACGCCGTCGCCCGTGTGCTGCGGCCCGGGGCCGCTGTCTCTGCGTATCTGCGTCTTGTGTCGCCTCAGTCTGTCAACGGACCGGGTCCACCTTTTCGGACTGTCCTTGCTGAAAAAGCTTTCCGACGCCGTAGACCGACGTCGGGGCCAGACGCTGACGAGCAGCAGACGCAGACTGGGCAAGCTCGCACACAGCATCGCCGTCGACTGCTCGATGAACGACCACGCCACAATATCGACATGGTCCCACGTCTCGTCGAACGTGGTGCTGTACTCCACCAGGTATCTGACCCGGACCGCCGACGTCACGCACGCGCTGTCTGCCGTGTGAGCCCTCTCCTCCCACCCTTCTGCCGGGACGTGAGACTTAACTCACAATGAACCAATGCTGAACAGCGCGATGACGGCCAGGCGTCGCCGGAGAGAAATCCTGAGCCGCCACACGTAGGGGATCGGCAGGAGCAAGATGGCGATGTCCTCCGCCATGGCGAGTCCGCCACTGCTATAACCCACAGCTTGCAAGTTTAGACATCGGCGGTCGGTGATGGTGCGGTCCCATATCGACTGCACAGGCACGCATTGCGTCGCGAATGGGATGATGAAGAGCGTGCCGTGCAGAAGTAGAATAACCTGGAGGCCCTGTGCGATCCTTCGAAAGGTCTCCGACGGGAAAATGCGGCCGAGGAAGAGCACGATCGACAGCTTCACGGCGGCTTGAAGGACGGTGTAGATCAAGTTTCCGACGTACAGCATCTGACTCGACGTTAGGACGGGATACCACGATTCGCAAACATCCGGCGGGCCCTTATCACCGAACCTTTCTGATAACGACCCCATTACCAACCGGTATCGTCCAGTAGTGCATGCCGAAGCCAATGCTTGTAATGTGTAGATAGACCGCGGCCAAGGCGATGAGGAGTGCCTGACAGACGACATCAGAAAGGATTTCTTGAAGAGTTGGGGTCAGGTACCGCCGCGAGGATGGTCATGTAGTCATCCCTCCATAGACCACCCGCATACTGCTTGCTCGTGAAAAGACGAAGCGCCACGATGAACAGCACAAGACTGCAGCTGATGATGAGCGTCCGCCGGACTTCCGTCCTTCGCGATGCTTTGGGGTACCCTTCGCACAGGGCCCCCTCTACCGTTGCTGCAGCTTCAGAAGGTCAGATGGGCTTCCAGAGAGGAAACAGCGGGGCCAACTCAGTTGATCGTCAAACGGGCAGTTCGTCTGCACACATGTCGAAAGCTCCGATTGGACAGCAATGTCGAGACAGATGCACGCGGTCACGTCTTCTGGATCGCAGGCGGACGTGATGAATGTGCTGCTGATGCACTCCGACTAGATGGTGGATGCTTTAGCGCGACGAAAGCCTGGCTGATGCCACAATCACTCACAGCACACGAGGGGACCTGCGAGAGGATCTCGACGGCCGACGCTGCATTCACGGCGGCGACAGCCAGCTGGAGGGCCAGCACTGCGAGAGTCCATGATCGATGAGACATCGCATATGAGACGTCGATGAAAAGCGCGGAGATGCTGACACAGACTTTTGCGGTGGTGTCACCGGTGTTTCGACGCCGGCCGACCTGGCATCTTGCAGCGGGAGGTCATTCCGCTGCGGGAGAGATTCAATGAAATAGACGGGGTGTGTATGGTTCAAGAAGGCACTTCTGGTTCTGATCGTAGCACAGTCAACAAAACTTGCTTCCTGCGCCGAGGCGCCAATGACAAGAAGCCACTTACGCCGCTGGTGGGCAGTTTGCGGACGGATTCCTCGACTTATCTTTCCGGTCTTTCGCTACGAGTTTCGCAGCATCATTGGGCTCGTCACTTGATGCTTCGTGCTTTGCAACCTGACTTAAAGGTGAGGGAGGTGATCTCCGGCTCCATGCAAGCCATCACCAGCAACACCAATGCATCGCACATGCCACAGCCTCAAGGGCGGGATCTCCGTTGCGCAATACAGGACACAGGGCATGGCATACAGAACACTCTCTGGACGTTTGGGAGATACCGGCGTAGGTCATCTCTTGACACGCAAACGACATGGAAGGAATATAAAGGAACATGAAAATTTCCAAGGATAGTTATGAGAGAATTATTGAATAACACCACCCCATGCGTAATGAACTCGGCAACTACTCTATATCTACTCTATATCGCTATCGTCTTCTTCTGCGCCAGGCCCATAGCTTTCGTCTGAGACGTCTGAATCACCATAATCATCGTCTAATTCCCCTCCTTCCGACAGGTCTGAGTCTTCGCCAGATTCAGCGTCAGACATGTCAGAACGGTAAGACTCGTCGCCCTCGCCGTCAAACAGGTCCTCGTCCACGTCACACATTGAGTGCCCCCCTGCCTCCAACTCGTCGTCGCTGAGCGTGTCGAGAAGTAGCTCGGCCGCATCTGCAGAGCTCATCTGGAAAACGGCCCGTGTCCGGTGCATGGTCGCCTCGTGAGTGTCGGGAAACAAGATTCGTACGCAGCAGTACATGTATAGCATCTTTCTCGACACCGAATCATCGCAGAGATCGAAAGTCGCTGGCAAAGTCCCGGGGTGAACGGTGTCTTCAGGCGCATGGATTTCCCAAATCCGCGCGGAGAACATCAAAACCTGTTCGAGCACTTTGATGGTGATGAGCATGTTTCCAAAGTCAAAGTTCAGTGCCTTGTCAAACTCGAACAACAAGTTGGTTCTGTTGTCCGACGGGCCATCGTCATGTTCCTCGGGTGCTTCGCGGACTTTCAGGCACGCGAGAAGCGCCGCGACCTTGACGACGAACTCTTTGCCCTGTAGTGGCCCACACAGGCAGCTTATGATATAGGCGATGAACCGATCTCCCGCGGTGCTGTTCATGTCTTCTCTGACTCTGTTCAGCGGCGGGTACCACGTGTCGTCGGTCAGTCCGTTGTGAGGGCAATTGACCGCCAGGCAGATGGCGAGGCAGCACCGCTCATCTTGTCTAAGCAGGTTGGTCCTAACTACCATTAGCAGGATGCCTATGTGACAATGTGAGAGTGCGCCGCTCACCACATGGAATCCATGATCTCTTCCAGCGCGTCTGGGGTGACTTGGTAGCCCAGCTCATGTCATCGCCAATGAAGAGATTTATATCGTTCGAACCATGGCTCTAGACTGCCTTTGTTTTTGGACAAGACACATTGTGCTCTTCGTACGTGTAAGCTCGTTACGACATCCGATACCGCCTTCTGAGAAGCGAGGCTCTACGCAACCGGGTTTTGCAGAAGCCACCAACGGCTCGACGGTCAGCGTTTCCCTCGAATGGCCGTTTTTGCAAAGCATCTGCAATGGCGCCGGGGCTATGGAGACAGCTTCAAAGCTGATCATTATGCTATACAGTCCATACATACCCACGGCATCCATGCATAGAGTATGCTATATCAAGACGAGATCATCTCCTGGCTCACGCATCCGGGAAATCTCTGGTTCTTCGCTCATCGAGTTGGCGACGAGAGCAGCCCGAAGAAGACCAGACAACCTTGCTACGCTTACGAGAATTATATCTCGTCTACATCTGGCGTCAGTTTCGCGGTTGGCAAACGCAGTGTCCGTCCTCACATAAGGTGATCCATGTCACGTACTTCGCTCGGCAACCCAACAGCACTCCACCTCATTTCTATGGCAATCCGACATGGCGGCCAGACCTTTGAAGCGCCCTCGCCGATCAAACGGTCTGCCGCGCCTACCAAGCGACATAGACAACGCAGTCGCGGCCCTGGGCGGGAGAACCCACGCAACCGACCTCGCAAACAGCACCATACAGTCTCAGAAGGCACCGGTCAGTAAGGAACAACGTCTCGAAGAACTTGTGAGAGACTCCGGCCGCCTCAGGCAAGAACTTGACTATTGGAAAAGCTTGGCTCTCACAGGAACCGCCTTCATGTCCGACATCGAACAAGTTGTGGTACAGCTGCGAGATGTTTGCAGCCGTTTCGAGAGCGTTATGAATGAAACAAACACTATGTCTGTGGAGGATAGATTGGGCTCTGGCCATCCGTCCGAATATCGACAGAGGGAGGACGTGGAGGTGCAAGCTGGAGACGAACCAGACTCGCCATTAGTAGAGGATGACCTTGACGTGCTCTTGGCCCCCATCAGGCGGGGTCGAGAAGGCTATGACTTTGAGGCCGTCAAGCCAGAGTTGAAGCGGAAGCAGCCACCATACAATCCCGGAGGTTGGCTCTGATAGGAAGCGCACATGGCCTGCACCGGAATTCGCCGGGTCCATCTTCATCCTGTGATGTCATAAAGAGGAATAAAGAGTTCATGCCCATGCATACAACTGTACATATCACCGCTGTCATTCACGTGAATCACCTCTGTCATCAAGAGTTATAAGGGTGCTACGCTGCTGTTGGGCATGGCCCAAGCCCTTCAACGTCGTCGTCTGGAGGCGTCGTACGCGATCCGTCTCTAATAACGTCTGGTCTCCAACGCCTGAATGGTGATCTGAACCTCTTTCCCGTGGCTCGCTTCCATCTCTGACAAGCCATGCAAATGGAAAATCCAGATTCTGTACGTAGACTACAGTGCTGCTTGCTTTCTTAGGAGAACAAAACGGCTCATTCGCGTTGCACCGTATCTCGTTGATATTGGAAATCAAGCCTATTCAATCCTGCGACTGTTCCAAGACTGGCTGATCCGCTATTCTCTTGGTCCCATATATGACTGCGAAACGCTCCAGAATCGTCACCAACCTACCAGAGAAGATACTTCACCGATGAGCCGAAAATGCCCTTCTTGACCAGTTCGCGCGATCAACACCATCATTACTGATTGCCGGCTAAAATAAGCTCCACGGCGATGCAACAACGAGATGGACACACTACCTCGCACCGCACACCTTTTGAGTATATCATATATAAGGGCGACCTCTAATCACGGTCTAGCAAGAGCTCAGCTCCGACTTGCCGCTCACATTATTCCCCAATGCCCAGGTCAGCGAAGGAAGTACTCGATTATGTCATGAACATCTTCTTCAAGGACAACACATGGCATGAAACAGCCGCTAAACTCAAGGCCAATCCCATTTTCTTTGGATCTGACCTCGAGCGACTTGCGCTTGGTGAAGACTGCCACGAGCTTCATCTCGCAGCTGCATCCATGGATTGGGTTGGAGATCTCCAATACGAAGCCAAGGTGGCCGAGTCGCTGAAACGGCCTCGGTGTAAAAGCTCTGGGGACCTTTTGCGCCATCAGGGCCCGAGCCAGCGGTTCACGTTGAACATCCAAGAGGAGAGCGATGATATGGACGACCATACCAGAATTCGAGCTTATGGCAGCCTGTTCTGCCAGAAGAGTGACGAATTGACAACTTGCGTACTGTATTATAATAAGGGCCAGGGGTTTCTGGAGTATTTTTACATTCCGCGCCACCGGCTGCCTTGGAAGGAACGATACACAATACCTTTGCAGCACTCGTTGTCAGGGTATGACTCGAGGCCGCTCGACTGGGTTGTGGTTGAGGATGTGAACATAAAATAGCATTGAGACGTCTTGTCGCAGTGCTGGCTGGCACACGAGTTTCTGCTGGAACCAACCACGCACGGCACCTACCGCTAGCCCTCCAGTAATTGATTGGGTTCTTGCACTGGGTCCTTGTACGGAGTTGTTGCATATGAACGGGCAGTAAGGTCTGTGAATTAATAGAGACATGCGTCCTAGAGAATTCAATCATATAAATTGAACATTGACTTGCATGGCTGTACCACATGTCCACTGCCGAGC